GTCTCCACATTCAAGGCCAGGCTTAAAGCACTTTACTTTAATTTAGCATATAATTAGGTAATATATAATATATGGTGTATATATTATATATGTATGCTGTATTATGTTATATATTATGTTATATATTATACAATAATGTATTGTGTTATGTTGTATATTATGTTATATATTATGCTGTATGTTATGTTGTGTATTATTTATGATATATATGGTATGTATGGTATATATGATGTATATGATATATAATATATAATTAGGTTTGCACACCTGGTGTGCAATCCCTGAATCTCTTTATTCAAGGCTAGGTTTAAAACACGGGGAGAACATGCAAACTCCACTCAGAAAGGCCATGGTCCGGCCGGGATTCGAACCCAGGACCTTCTTGCTGAGAGGCGAGAGTGCTATCCACTCAGCCACCGTGCCGCCAGCCATAAACGCCCACCACAATTATAAAGCCCTTTAATGACTGTCAATGCATGGCCCTATATGAATAAAATACTTTCTTACTTAACCTCATGTGTTCTAAAGTGACTGTCATGGAAACTGGTTCTAACTTCAAAGCCCTGCAGGTAATGACAAACTGAATGTAACTCCAGGAACTAGACACTTCAAAACATGTGTGCAGCCACCTAACCAGCAACATGTATACTTAAAGAGGAAACAGTTCTTTGGTTTCATCTGGAGTTTAAAAGCTTAGAATACACAACCAGTGGGTTTATTATGGGACTGAAGCTTGTAATCCTATGGAACTTGTGATCTAAAGCGCTTCCAACTTCTAATGATGTGTACAGTAAAGCTTTACACACATCATCCAGCTATATATACACAGAACATACACATACTGTATAGGCCTCAATTACTATGTAATAAAACACATTTAAATCCCAGGAATGCTATTTATGTACAATCAGTTATTTACTTGGTGACAGAGGCTACAGTAAGAGGCTATGCACATGTTTCTGTAATAATTACATCTACTGCTCTTAACACTTGGGGAATACTGGCAGAGTGAATGAACTGTATACAGTTCATTCACACTGCCAGTATTCCCCATAAGGTCATTTGAGTTGCAATTCAAAACACAATTTTATTTGGGTTTTTTTAATTATTGAAAAGATTTTTCATTTGTTTGCGTGCATATACACTATAACAGAGAATATTGGGATAATAAATGTATCATTATTTGTGTCCTGGACCTGTGTGTTCATACTTAGTGACATTTTTCTACATTTCAACAAAGAATAATCAAGTTTGTTTTGTAATTCTTAATCGAATTGAATTGCAGTTGTATGTATTTGTTTATGTTAATCTTACACAACAATTCAAAGATTGTGTAGCTAGCCTTTTTGTGTTTGAACCAAATCTTGCCAAATCAATTAAATCTATTAAAAGAACTCATTAAACACTCAAACATTGAATGGTGCAGGAATCCAGACAGCAGCTCCACTGTTTCATCTTTTATATGCCAAAAGATAAATTTGGCTAAACCAGAGTGTTGTTGGATTGGCATCAGAGCAAGGCCAAATGGCTAAAAGCAGAGTAGCCAAGAGCAAAAACAGCATTCTTCCAGAAAAAAGCCTGCTCCTGCTGTTTTATGTGACCCCTAACACTCAGTGGATTGTGATACTGTTGTCTCAGCAAAACCAAGTTATTGTACAAAAGAAATTGCACTTTGGAACTGGACTTTCTCTCACCAAAACGTAGATCCAGCTTAACATTGTGCTTAGTGTGCTTATATGAAGTATTTTCTAATTAGGGTGTTCGTTAGTTACTCTTGACGAAATGTGAAAAAGAGGGGAAATGTGTGTTGTAAATATAGGGGAAGTCCTAATGGCTCCAAATTAATGGTTGTAAGTCTGTTAAGTGTTGTCCCTGTGATTACTGACCAGTGTCCATCCTCAATGCCCCTCACATCCTGAACAGACTCTTGACACTCCTTTTTGATGACAGATCTCCCCTTCAACCATGCATTCAGTGCCTGTCACTAACAACTACACCTAATACAGTCAATACAGCTCTACTCCGGTGGAGAACCATGATTCGTGCCTCCTGTAGGTGACCCCGCTCACTGTGCTATATAAATAATGATAACTAACTTACTAAACTCCGAGTAAGAATTTGTGATTTTCATTCAAACCCACAAGGTTGCGGTCTCCATCATGTGGGAGGTTGTATCTTAATTAAGTAAATAATTTCCAAAACATAGAAATGAAATCCTGAGGTCCCCAAACTGTATCAGAATGTTGTCGTGTTGATAATACAGCTGACTCATGTTTTCTTCTGTTTTCATGGATAATCTTTTGCCAAAAGCAGGTCACAAACTTTATCGTTATTGTTTCTGATGATTAACTGACATTTAACTAACCACTGGTGTCATGTTATTGACCCTCATCTGCAGGCCATAAGTATGTATCTTCTGTTCAGCTACATGCATTGGGTTTTATAGCTACCATTATGTAACCGCAGCGGTCCAGATTGTGATCACTGGAGTGTGGTAATTACAGAGACACTTTGAGACACTTTCAAATGTTTATTTTTACCATTGGGTTTGTTGGACGGAATTAACGTAGCTTGAAATGGCCCTAATTAAGATTGATGTGAGGCACAATCCAAACACAATCCGTATAATGTAAACCAGTTTTTGTACCATCATATAAAAAGCCTCATGTGATTAATTTAACAAACAAAAATTCCATTGAGATAGGTTCTTCTGAAGTAACCATATTTGACTTTCTACAGTCGGTCAGAAAACGTCCAGTTTCAATTTAATTAAAATCAATTTATTCTTGTATCGCCCAAAATCACAACAGTAGTTATCTCGGAGGACTTTACACAACCGTTGAATTCGCCAACACAGATCAGAGAATCAAATAGTAAAAACACAAGAAATGTGATGATTAAAAAACACATAGAGCCATTGGTCCATGACGGACATAACCACTGTCCATAAATGTTGATAAATGTCCATTAATGTTGTTGAATGTCGAGAGTCCTGGATCATCACCACCGTCCTTTGGCCCTTCTGCATCAGCAAGGGGAAACTCTAATGAAATATATTCTAGTTTCCACTATATAAATGTGGTCGGTTTGCCACTATGGGACACTGTTTTATACATTGTACAATGTTTTTGGGGGGGTTTGCGCTTGCCTCAGTAGAAGGTAAAAGTATTATTATCTGGGCACTTATAGCTACATATATATGTATTCTAGTTTTACATAGAACCACATGTATTTTCATTTATTCATTTTTACTTTATTGTCATCACGTAAGAATATATGTTCTGTTCTGAAAACCTGACATATCCGACTTAACACTGTTTTTCTCATATTTTCTCTGCATAAATTTGCTCTGAGCGTTCTTTAATTTGATTTGTTTGTTTGCACTTCTAACAAACCCAGCAGTTGTCCCATTAAGGGTATTTTTCTTATAGTTTATTTTTGCCTTGTTGCTCCCAGCATTTACCAACATTTTCTGCCTTTTCTTTTCAGCTTTTGATTTGGCCAACTGTTTCTTTTTCTTCCAAAGTTTGAATTTATTTTTATTTTTAATGTCGTCGTCACTTGAGATCCATCTGAGCTTCAGTGTAGCAGCAGTAGTAGTAGTAGCTCTCGTTGTTGTAGTAGTAGCTCCAGTAGTTGTAGTAGTTATAGTAGTAGTGGTGGACTTTGAAGTTGCATAGGGTCGCCTTGTTGTGGGTATCTTGGTAAACTTTTTAAGAGGAGGTCTTGTTGGTTTCTCATTGATGTCCAGAACTGTCACTGAAAGCACACCCACTTTGGTTAAAACATACTAATATAGGCCTAACTAAAACTATGAGCATCACTGCAAAAGACAAATTTGAATAAACTTTCAGAAAAAAACATAGTAAACATGATCACAATAAAAGATTTTCAATTGAGTTAAAAAGGAAAATCCCAATAGTGCATCTGATAACTCATTCCAAAAAGCCTGTAGATTAAAATAGTGATGGACGGCAACTGAAAAATCTTTCCAGGTAACTATGGCAGCAGTCAAAAGTCCGATTTCTTGTCTTGGTTTATAGCTAATTTCACATTTTTAGGCCAATCCACATGTTCTTTGTTAATACATATCAACTATGGTCTATTTATTTTCTGGAGGAAGTGTGTGTGGATCGGGAAGTCCGTGCCTATCCATTACCAGCAGCCTGAGTAGGCAACGGAAAACGCGTAGGAAAATGGATGGATGTATGGAAGGTGTCAAGAAGTGGTGACAACATTCAAAAAACACTAACATGATTTAGACTTGATCCGGTAAAAAGACTTTTGGACGTAAAATAAATAAGGCAAGTTTGTGCATCTAATCTCCATAAAGATTAGGGAAAACATATAAACGTTTACTTTATCAACATTCCTTGAAAATATCTTATTTACATAGAGTTGAAATGGCTCCTGTCCTTCAACTGAAATGTAATTCCAGAACATTAACAACTTGTAATAGTTTGGCATTTATTGAATTCAGATTACAAAGCTTGTGCTCAAACTGTTTCAGCTATAACTAATCTAATACCCCCCGATCAATTCATTTTTGTTCCGTCATCACAGTGTGTGGAATGATTGGAACAATATCTGAACTCTGAACATTGTAAAGCGCTTTGGGTGACCTTGGTCTGTAAATATGCGCTATATAAATAAACATTACTTACTTACTTATGTTGTACAGACTATTCTAATTTCACATTATGATCATTTTTAACTAGATATGTCCTGTGATTGCGTTCATGGCTTGGTTTCAAGTCTCGCTCAGAAGGGTGTTCATTAGTGGCTCTGTGGTTGTGTAGTGAAGTCTGAGACAGCTGGCCTTATCCCGACTATCATCAAATCTCTTACATACACGCCTATATGCTGAAACTGCAAAGCTATGGTTGTAAAGAAAGAGATTTTTCAGTTTTTATTGCAGGGACTGAGTTGGGATTGGCAGCACGTAGTTACAAGGTCTGCTCGGGACGAATGCCTCGAGGAGAGAATCTGCAGCAATCTGTTCAAGCCAAAAGCTGTAATGCTTCTGTAGCCTCAAACTTGATGATGATGTCGACTGATTACGTACATGGCATTAATTGTTTTTAGTGGTTTTATGTCAATGGCTATAATAAGAAAGAAAAATGAACAAAAGACCCTAATTAACACTTTTTTGATTAGCATAGAGCAACTTTATCATTATCATTGACCAGCAAAGCTATCTAGTGTATTTCAAAAACAAATTAATATATCCTTTTTTTGTAATTGTTATTGTTTCTATCCTACAATTGTATTCATATTTTTGAGACAGTGTGTATTTGCTGTAATTACAGTGTAAAGATAGATTTTGCAATCATGCACACAAAAACAAACAGCTGTGCTGCTGTCTTCAGTTATGTCAATAATACATTCAGATTATTCATAGAAAGGTAATTGTAATCTTTATTGAATGTATTATTCACTGACACCACCAGGTGGTACTCGCTTGAAGTACCACAAGTACCGCATCAAAGAATGGAACTTGTTTGAATCTTGTAAATTCTTGCTGGTATTGATGGATGCTATGAACTGTAATATATGAACCAGTATGGTTCATGTTTATTCATGTAATGTGTTAGGGGAAAAGCACCCATAAGTATTTCTTTACTTCCGCTTGCTCCTTTTGAGCTCCATATAGAATGTTGTTAAGTTTTGATTGGATGCACAACTGCAATTAGGATTTGACTCTGTATGCACTGTTTACACAGCTCAAATAAAGTAAACAAACAAACAAACAAACACGGTTTAATAAGTTAATGAGTTAAACAATTGCGCTCTATTGTTGAAATATCAGTTTAATGTGTTGATAATATACTGTTGCTGTATGTTTAAGTTCAATCACAGAACATATCGGTTTAAAAGAACCTGTCTAGTATGTAGCACTAACAGTATGTAACACATGAGGAATGATGAGATAAAGCAGTATACTCACCCTCTCTGGGTGTGAAGGGGATCTTTTTACCCCGAACTTTGACTGGCTGTGCTTTCACCTTACACTTTCCTGGTGGAGCCCGTCTGCAACAACACAACACAGAGAAAATGCATATCAAAGGCACAAAAAAGAAGAAGTTCATGTGTGCTTATGTCACATGTAATGACATTATGATCAGCTTAAACAATAACTAACTTTGACATCAGTCCCACAATATTGATTTTTCTGCAGTCTTGACAGTCTTTGAAGTTCAAGAGGCGGGAAGTCAGTGACGATCTTGGTATAGTAGTTTGCATTCCTGAATATGAATAGGGCTTGACTGTAATCATGCCAATTAAATCCATATACTGTGGAACCGGCAGTCTCCCATTAAAATAGGTTTCCAGGCCTCGACTTGCTTAGCTTTGGAGATCCAACTAGATTATAGGTTTAAATGCATTTTTGGTTGGAATGTACCTCGATATAATATAAAACATGCACATTACTTTCTTACAGATGTTTTTACCAATTCTTTCATTTACATGAACATTGATTTTGCATCAAAAGTCACTCAGATCTCATACCGTTCATTTTATGGTACAAAAGTGTGTTTTGTCTGTTCAAGATTATGACTGGCCGCATGTACTGTTGCTTGACACAAAAGTTAAAATTATTTTATCTAAATATTTATGGAACTAGATTGTACAAAAATATGATTTACAAATGCAAGAAGACGTCTGTAAAACCTGATCACCTCCATCCATTTCTATGAAAAAATAAGTTTATGAGTGCAGAAATTGCAGAAAAACTGAGAACAATGTGACAAGTGCTCTCATTTTACATAGTGACAAACTCTCAAGTAACAATCAGGTTCAGGCCTACATAAAATCTAATATTTCCTATTTACCTGGAAGGGTCCATAAATTTGTAGACTGTCCCATGTGGAGATGTGGCACTGGGGTAAGAAGTAGCAAGAAAGTACAATTCTCCTATAGAACGAGAATAGCTGATGATTATCTCTGATGCATGACAACCAATTATCGCTGTGTTTGCGATGATGGCTCCTACCAGCTTCATCTTCTGCAAATGAGATGATAAATTTATGGTGGTGGTTGATGAGTCCAGGGAAGGAGCAGGTCTTGGTTTCTCCCATACAAACGCTGCGCTCCTTCCACACCCCGGTCAGTTTGTCTTCCTCTAAAGCCATAATCCGCCTAGAAAAAACAGCAGAAATTAAAATGCTTTGTGTTTATTTATAATTATACATTTAATTTCTCTGCGTCTTTTGAAACCCCCATACACCATGTGACAGATGTCTGAGTTGGCATGGTGTGGTAACAGGTGTGTTTTGAAGTCTGCACACCTGTATCCCTACAGGCATAAGACATTCATACTGTATACCATTCAAGCCATAAACAGGACCTCGTCTTCAATAGGTCTATTTTATATAGAGGTGTACTGTATAGAGAAAGTGGTACTTTTTTATTTAACTAATACAATTACAATATGTATACATGTTTTCATGTTGGGGAAAACTCTTAAACTATTTATTTAGACACCAGATGCCAATTAGCAAAAGAGCTACTGCCAAGAAATAAACAGATTTTTAAACCACGCTTTTGGCGTTGATCAGTGTTTTATTTCATACCCACTCATGAAGTCTCCAAAAATGTAGAGGCCGTTCAGATTGGGTGATTCACAGCCACGGTACACATAGCCACCTGTCACAGATTTCCCAACGTGATGGCTGTAGGCAAATATAGGCGCGATGTCATCTGGTGAGAGACCAACGGGAATTAGAGCAAACATGACAGAGCAAACTACGGGGCATAGTAATAGAGTAAAAAAAAAAAAAGGTATCTCGAGATGTAAACACACTCACTAAAAACACATTGGTAAAAAACACCAATAAAATTGGATTTGATACACCAAGGAAGGAATTAATAAGTCTTGGAACATCAGTGGTCATCAGTGTAACTATTATATGCTATACCTCCATGTCTTCACCACTGCCCAGTCCTGTGGGCACCTGTCCCCTAAGAAATCTTCTACGGGAGGTGAGCTGTGTTTTCTAAGACGTATTTAAATTTTATGTTCAAATCACGTTCCACGGAGCCACTTTTCAGGTGGAGGTCTTGTCTCTGAAGGAGATTTCTAACTTACTGTTTGGCGAAATCAAATAGACGTTTAATAATGGCATGTGATTCTAGACTATGCAAAAAGACATGTACTTGAAATGCTCATTGAGTACTACTCACTCAGGGAAGAGTTGTGGCACAGTTTGAAGTCGTAGCACTCAAACCCCTCCTTGGCTCTCCACCCATAGTTTCCTCCCTTTACAATGATGTCCACCTCCTCATATCTGTTCTGTCCCACGTCTCCACAGAAGATCCGGCCTCGACCGTGATGGGACACTGGGTCCCCTCTGTCCACGGAGCACCTCCACGTGTTCCTCACCCCGTATGCAAACACTTCAGCTCGGGCGTCTGGCTCATCTATGAAGGGGTTGTCAGGAGGGATCTTATAGGCGTTTCCACTGGGGTCTGTCTGGTCTATGTCGATACGCAGCACCTTTCCCAAAAGAGCACTCCTGTGAAACCCCATTGACCAACCTCATCATTCAAGCTCATACAAAGAACATATAATGGGCCTGCATGTCTGACCACGGAAATGCATATAATTGAAGTGGAATCTTTGTTTTGAGCATGACTTACTTGTTTTGTGAGTTGCCATATTTCCCAAAAGGGTCTCCTGCTTTGCCTCCGTCTCCTGTGAAAATGTAAAGGTATCCATCCTGGCCAAACAGCAGCTGGCCACCATTGTGATTAGCTGCTGGCTCTTCTATCTCCAAAATGACTCTGGAATAGAATGAATAGAATACGTACATTTAGTTTATAGTTCTATGTTTTCATATAGTTGTCCATCATAATTTAGTTTTTTGTCCTGATCGAGCATTGGAAGGATCGGTCAAGTGCAGAGGAGGAACAACCTTATGTTATGAATGATACATGTAATTTTTCCCCCTGTATAAACATCCTTTGCCAAAAAAGCAAGAAAAAATAGTCGTCCCATTTGGTTCCTTCAATATTTGGCAAACATTGATCTTATTTTTTTTTTTACAAAGAAGTATTCTAACTAACACAACACAGTTTTAAACGTTTAATGTTTAAAATGATTGGTTCTACCCACAGGGATTATTATCATAACTTGGACAAATATTCTTTGAATCCTCCATCCCCTATCCCTTTATCAATTTCCGGATTGGTGGCAGTTAGAGCTGCACCAGCTCCTCACTGGTTCACAGGAGAATGCTTTTCAGTGGGGGATTCTGGCAAAGTGGGCCCACTTGCCCAAGGACACAACATCAGTAGACATCAGTGGGAATTGGTGGAGAAGGTCTCATGGTGGGCTTGAACCCACAACGGGCGGCACGGTGGCTGAGTGGATAGCACTCTCACTTCTCAGAAAGAAGGTCCTGGGTTCGAATCCTGGTCGGACCAGGGCCTTTCTGAGTGGAGTTTGCATGTTCTCACCGTGTCTGTGTAGGTTTCCTCCAGGTACTACGGTTTCCCCTACCACTAAAAACATGTACAATAGGTCTGGCATGTGCCTCCAGTACTGGCGACCCCGCTCCCATCTCTGTGTGGAGTGAGAGGACAAATGCCCAAAAATAACAATTGTGAACTGCTTTGTGACTCTGGTCAGTGAAAGGCGGTATATAAATAAAGATTACTTACTTACTTACTTACAACCTTCAGGGTCAAAGACCAATGCTCTACCAACTGAGCCATTGTCACCACGCTCACCCCTGTGACTTAAACTTTACTCTACTACTTTAGAGGTATTGAAATAAGTTTGTGGTCAGTTTAACAAGACTTACACTGGAAATATTCATACATACTGTACATTGTTTACGAGAGTTCATACTGTGTAAACAACCAACAACTTAGAATGTTGCTCTTACTTTACGCTTTAGCTGCAATTTACAATTGTACAACATTTGTACCTTTTGGTGATGATCTTATACAACAGTGCGATGTAAAAAAGTGCGTTTTTGACTTTTCCTCCCAAAAAAATAGATTCAGGATATCAGCAGGGCTGTCAGTGGGGCTATGAATGTCACTACATGAATAAAATATCTTAAACATGTGTATACCAATGATGTCTTCTTGTTTAATCTACATGTTGCTCGCATCAGGCCATTCAAACTTCTCTGTGGCTCTTAAAAGCATTGAGGTTGACCCGATAATGACATACAAACTATATAAAGCTAAGAGCATGTTCTTGCAGGCCATTCAATTACAGCTTCAATCGTCAAGCCAACTTAAAAAGATTCAGCTGCTACATTTTTCCATCAACAATGAAGGAACTGGGGAACATTGCAATGAACACCTCAAGCAAAACTAAACATCTGTCTAATATGGAATCCCAGTAATTCATGTTGAATTAACATAGCTGTAAATGTGAACTGTGACATTAGAACAAAGAGGTGTCAAGTCTTTGTGTGAAAATGTCCAAGAGATGCTCTTGTTCCATTTGTCAAACACATAAGTTTTGGACATTTTTCAACAACATTGAAACTACTGATGAGCAATAGTATAATTGTTGGTTATATGAGAAGTTAATAGGAGACATTATATTATAATCTCACATTGAATTAAATCCATACCTTTCTGAATACGAATCTGCAACATTCATGTCATAGTCGGACACTTTCATTTCACTTATCCTGATCTTCTCAAGTTTGCTGTTCACTTGAATTGAGTAATAGATAAAGAAACGTCCATTGTGTTTGTATTTTGGATGAAAAGCCATGCCGAGGAAGCCCCTCTCATCCCCTAACCATGGAGTGGTCATCACATCACCACTCATGTCCAAAAATGGCTGCTCTAACCGGCTACCATCCTGTAAGTAGACCCACACAAATCCAACTTGCTCTGCTATGAACATGCGGTGAGTTTCATCCCCACTGTGCAACATCAAGACAGGATTTCTTAAATTATTTGCCACTTCAGTCAAGCACAATTGTAGGCACCCACTAGGGTCCTCTACCACTTGTCCCAGATTACTATTAAGTCCAGATATTTTGAGGACATTAGGATAGCAGTAGTCTTGATCAGCGAGGTCCACCATTGTGCAAAATGTGGACATGTCCCGTTGACTGGTGTCTTGGAGGAGTTGGTTTTGGGTCAGATACTTGATGGCATGTCCACATTTACTGTGAAAGTCCTGGCAGTAGCTAAAGCAAAGTCCTGGGAGTTCTCTGACCGGAGTGTAGGGATCCTCTGCATCAAACAGATGTGCAGCATAAGGCGAGCACTCCTGGAAAAGACCAAATACATTTGATTAAAAGAGACTTCAAGATGACGTGTTTTTCTTTCCTCCTTATTATGACTGTTCTATTTGTGAATACATACCGAGAATGCGTGTTCAGAATACAGTTACAGATTTGGTATTTGATCATAAATGTTGGTCTTAAAGGGCATTGAAATAATTATATACCATAGGATGGTGGAAAAAACAAAACACTTTTAATTCTGTGATGCATTTAAAAAAATAATCAGTAATATCATATACATTCACATTTCATTTATCTAATATTCAGTATTCAGGGTACTTTTATACCTTCATTAGATTACTTTGACTGAACCATGTACCAGAATACACAAAAATATATAGTAATACAGGTATTTTGTAACTCCATCATTGGTAAATGAGGTATTCTCCATAATGTGAGACACTGCTCTTGTCAAATAATATAAAGGGTCTATTGACCATAAATATTAAACCATGACACATTTTTAATTATTTATTTATCTGTTATTTTTTATACAATCCAAACCCATGTGAAACACAATTTACATAGTTTATTTTTTTCCTTTGTGTTATTGTCATATTCATAACTAGCTTCATAAAATGATTTGCATTTGAAGAGATTTCAAGATTACTGCAGTATGCTATCCAGCCCAGACTCACCTGGCACATCACTTCTTTGAGGCTGTCTGCGCAGAGGTCCAGTCCACGCGTTTCCAAAACCTCAATAATGTCCCAGTATCTCTCCGCGATCATGTTGTCAGTCTTTTGGTCACAGCAGCCGAACTCTTGGTACTGTGAGCAGAACTCCAGGTGCCACGGAGGTTGGAAAGGCGGTGCGAAGTCTAGACACTGCGGGTGAGAGGAGACCAGCGGCAGGAGAAGGGTCACCGCCGCCCAGAGCGCATGATGGAGCGGTCCAGCCTCCATCCGTGTCATTCTGGCACAGCACGCTCTGGTGTTCGCTCTGTTTATGTAAGGGGCATGTTAATATATCCTAAGCACGAAGTCTTAACGCCCTCCTTCGTACAGTGAATCGTGTTCTCATAGGCTGTATATGCAAATGTGTTTCTGAATACCTGTGTCTAGCCATTCTGGATGTTATAAAAGATAGTAGCCTTATTGCAACAGTCTGTAATATAATATAAATAGCCTATAATAAAGAGTTAATCATCTTTTAAAACTTGGCAGAACAGCAATGGCATCAGAGAATTGGAAACCACAACAGTGATTATGTCTCAAACCCAGGTGCTTGGGGGCATCCCTACTCCATCTGTTTGTCCTGGCATGGCATCCTCATTTGAATACAGAGAACTATGTCTGTCATTGAGACGCACCAAAGTATACATCTTGGAAGCAGTTATTCCAAACAGTGACAACACATTCAGAAAACAACTGAAACCGAATAGAAAGAGAGAAAACTGGCTTTGAACATTGACTAACTGGAGATTTTTTCAATGTCAGTATTGGACTGGATCGCGTATGCATCCCATAACGTTTTGAATAGGATGTTTTGCACAAAAGTCTTTTAAACATTTAGAAAATATCGCATTGTCAAAATGTGGATCACACCCTGGGTGTACATAACACAACGCAGTTTATCATTAATAAGACTTTAATATTGCAATCAAAATGGTTCAAAGCAGAAAACGTTAAAAAGAACAAGTGTATAAAACTGAACCACTCAGGGCCAGGGCTTGGGCTATGGAGGAACAGTATTGTTATTTCTGCAGATGCCCAAGTGAGTGCATCAGGGCATAAACAATGTTCCCTACATTTTTAACATGTAAAAATCCTCTTAAACACCAAACCATGTAAAAGAAAAATAATGATAACTAAATAAATAAATAGAGATTACTTTTAAATGTGAATTATGTATAGTAGTTCCGTAATCCAACATGTTTTATTGAGATTGTTGCGCATAATAACTGTAAAAAAGAAGATTCTGTTATTTACCAACTGTAGTAAGTACAGACAGTGTGTGCCATTTATTTCGTCAAGGACCAAACAAAATTGTGATCCACTGTATATAAATGTATTCGACCACCAGATGGCAGAAGTGCGTCTAAATGTACTATCCACGTGATTGAAAGCGGAATTCCGTCATTAGTTTTATTTTGTTTTTCAACAAAAGTACCAAAAACAATGCAAGTGATTTTCCGACAACATTTCAGTTTAAAATGTGTTCCTTGGATTATCATTCTCTCTCGGAGCCTGGTGTAAGGCGTACTGTGTGAATATCAAGTCCAAATGTGTTGTATTAAATGACCTTTTGACTATAACGTCCTTCTCTCAGTAAAAAAGAAACACGCACGGAAAACTGACTAATTGTACCAATTGTATATTTTGTTTTGAAAGGGCGTCCATGACTTCCGGGTCAGTTCGTGATAATCCGGAGCGCTTCACCCGCGGCTGCAGGCTCTGTTTGCCAATTCAGACAACAACATGTAACCTATGTTCCATGCAAACCCCAGCACAGCACAGCACCCTGCCCACATGCTTCATTCTCCGCCAGTGCTTTCGGATGTGTCGCCTTAGTTCGGGAGAGTCACAGCAGAACCACCATGAGCTCGGAACACCACAGCGACAGCAGCGAGGACGCGGGCGACACTCATACAAACAGGCCCCAGGACCGTGGCGAAGGCGGGGGCAGCGACAAAGAGGAGCCCGAGATTGACGACTCGGACGACGACGATGATGGGATAGTCCGCGGGGTCTCGTCTTCACCCCTGAGAGGCAGCAGCGGAAGCGGTGGAGGGGACCGTGGAGAGCGGGGCGAGCTGTCCGAGGAAGAGCGCTGCAAAGACGCTCAGCAGCAGAGGGCTGGGAGCGCCGCGGATGGAGGTGGATACACGGGGAACAGTCTGTTTTCGTGGCTGCAGAATAGGACTATTAGGCGAGGGGTGTTTGTGGACCCCACACGGGACAACTTCAGGACAATGACAAGTCTGTACTGCTCCATGAACCCCGCGGCCGAGTCGGTGAACCTCAGTACGCAGACGCACGGAGCCGTGTTCAACCTGGAGTACTCCCCCGACGGGTAAGACTGGACCCGACGGGAGAGATGTTACTTATACACTTTCTCCATTGAATATTTGGATTTCATATAACATCACTCAGTTTTGTTATAAAAAACATTGTGTGAAAACAATGTAATTACTTAAGTTTAGACATTGTAGTTCATATGGTTCATTATGTTACTGGTTTATTAAAATAGCACTATTCATGCTCAGGGCAACTCGACGTGCTTTACAAAACTGAGGAAGCACTGAAATCGTACAGGTAAAATCATAAATAATCACAATACATATCATTAGAAGTGTATACAATATTTCAGTTGTACAGCTAAATGAATGAATTAAGCTCTATTGTTGGGATGATAAGGGAAGTCTTAAACCTTAATAGCTTATTCATGTGACAAATACTGACATTTAGTAGTTTGTAATGCTGAACTCTACAAGGAATTGGGAATACATAACAACTTGAAAGTTACCCACTCTGTCTGTATAATAAAAAGGGTACATTCATTGGGTACAGAACTGTCAAGAGTGTGTCACACAAATATGATTTGTCTTAATTGTTTTAAGCAAAGTGAAAATAATATGAAACTATTGGCTTTTCTGAACTTGTGAGTCTGCAGACTCGTTGCAGCAGACAAGTGCAGGTCTGGGACTAAATCCTCCTTGAACCAGGTCAATCTCTGAACGTGTCTGGGTCAAAGCACCACTCACAACAGGAGAAAGCTATCTCTCATACGGTGTATGTGTGTGTTGCACCTGCTAATATTATTAAAGCAATGAATACAAATTTACAATTAGGAGACAGGAAGGAAGAGTGGACAAGAATAAGCCATAGTGACAGTAATGACATTGTTACATAAAGATTACATCATTCAGAAAGTGATAGTAGTAGTAGTAATCTATGCGATAGATTAGACGCCTAATAATAGTAGATCTACTATGTGTTTCCTGATTGTAAAATATATTAAAGGATTTATTTAGCAACTGAAATAGGATATTGTATGTGTGACCTCCCTACTCAAAAGGTTTGAGTTATTCATAATAAAATAATTGGTTACTTCCCTTGATCGTGTACATGATGCAAAAATATCAAGATATAATACAAGATGTTTATTTTGAAAATGGGCCCGAAGAAATGATGTGAAAACAGAAGAGGTGTCGTGCTGTGTGGTAAATGCATCGTTAACTCGTTGAGCTAACTCTGGGACACATTAGACGGGCTCCCCATGCAGTTTGAAGCCATTTAACTGTAACCAAACTAAACTTTATCTTATTGTCAGCAAGTTTTTATCTTCCCATTTTTCATAAGTTGATTCTATTGACCTCTGTGTTTAATTCTAAATGAGATGTTTCTCTATTTTTCAGATCTGTGTTGACTGTGGCTTGTGAACAGACTGAAGTGCTGCTGTTTGATCCAATCTCATCTCGACACATTAAAACACTGACGGAAGCCCATGAAGACTGTGTCAACAACATAAGGTTAGTTATGTTGAAGAAATGTTTGTATTTATCTGAATGAAAGAAAGGGATGCCTAAAGCACTGTCTTAAGCATCTCTTACAAATGTTACAGAAATGGTTTGCATCAGATTTGTGTTTTTTAAAGTTTGTATTTTTGATTTGACCAAACCTGGAGCCTTCCTGATGTTGCAGCAGTCTATTAGTCAGATAGTTTGTTTTATTCATTGTTCTACTTGACCTCTAATGCTTGTGCCCCTGCAGATTTTTGGACAATCGCCTATTTGCCACCTGCTCCGATGACACCACAATTGCATTGTGGGATCTCCGTAAGCTGAACTCCAAGGTTTGCTCTTTGCACGGTCACGCGAGCTGGGTGAAGAACATAGAGTATGACACCAACACTCGTCTTCTGGTCACCTCTGGCTTTGACGGCAATGTCATCACCTGGGACACAAACAGGTTTTTGAATTTTTATATCTTAGTTATTCCAGTGGGTGCTATGCTCAATTCAATTTGTGTTGTTTTAATTTAACTTTTATTCTAAATGCTTTTAAAACCTTTGTAAATAGAGACTTAATTCCCTTCTTGTGCAGGTTCACAGAGGACGGCTGCCCTCATAAGAAGTTCTTTCACACACGATACCTCATGCGAATGCGCCTGACGCCCGACTGCTCAAAGATGCTGATCTCCACTTCGTCTGGGTACCTACTGATTCTGCACGACCTGGACCTCACGCAGTCCCTGGAAGTGGGCAGCTACCGCATGCTCCGGGCCAGACGGACGCCACTCAGCTCTGGTTAGTCTAAGTACAGATATTTAATCTTGTATCATTTATATCAAGATTTCATTTTCCACAACCAATCTTTACAGCTCCAAGGTCAAAACATAAAAATATCTTCTATAATTTCCGCTTAAAATATTATTTTGTATGATATACATTAGATTAGGGTCTTATTATTAGTTATGTTTTTTCTCCACATTTACTTTATTTAAAAGCATATATTACGTCTAATGACTGACCTTTGCAGACGGAGGCACATCAGCATCTCGGCCAGCTGGAAGTCGACAGGGAAATGACTCGAGTAAACTCCATCCACACAGAGAAGGTTAGAACTTTTACATTTCACACAATACAGTTGTTTACATAAATGTCTTGATGTCTCTCTTGGCTGTTTTTAGGTCTGTCACCGAGGAACAGCCTGGAGGTTCTGACCCCAGAGATCCCTGGAGAGAGGGACAGAGGGAACTGCATCACCTCCCTCCAGCTCCACCCCAAAGGCTGGGCCACACTCATCCGCTGCTCCAGCAATATGGACGACCAGGAGGTAAAGTTCAAACAATTCACAAAACTAGTGAATTTAAATACTTAAAAATATTTAAATATGCTGTGTAGAGGTTTTGTGTTTTCAAAATTACTGTAGCTTTGTTTGGTAACATTTATTTAAAAATCCCACCTACACTGGCCTGAACAACAAATGATGAATGCTCTGTGTCCCCAGTGGACGTGTGTATACGAGTTCCAGGACGGAGCGCCCACTCGCCCCCTGGTCTCTCCGCGCTGCTCCCTGCGTCTGACCCACTACATCGAAGAGGCCAATGTGGGACGGGGCTACATCAAAGAGCTGTGTTTCAGTCCAGACGGTCGGCTGATCTGCTCCCCCTACGGGTACGGCGTGAGACTGCTGGCTTTCGACGAGGGCTGCGGCGAGCTCTCGGACTGTATCCCGGTGCAAACCAGCGTCCTGAAGGAAATCCGGTCTATTTACTCTCACAGTGATGTTGTCCTCACCACAAAGTTCTCCCCCACACACTGCCAGCTGGCCTCGGGCTGCCTCAGTGGACGTGTAGCTTTGTATCAACCCAAGTTTTAGCTGCTGAAAGAAGCCTATCTGCAGACCTGGGAGTAGAAGTATTACGTTCATATTTATGCATATTGATTTGGCATTGGTTTAAATTCTTCACATGATATCATTATGATTGGCACTGCAGTAAAGTAATGGTAAATTGACAAAATCTTGTATCTTGAATGTCCAAACATCTATGTAACAATACATTAGTGTCAAATGATGAAATATTAATGACTGAATGAACGAAGTATGTCTTCTGCATCTGCAAGAATAAAGTACGTTATGCCTCTTTATTCTTGCAGATGCAGATAGTGGCAGCTACTATCATTATTCAAAGTACATTATGCCTCTTAAAATAATGATAGCTGCCAATATCCTAAATGTTTTCAATTCTGAGGACCAGCTTTTATTTGTGCGGATAAAGGAACTGTACTTTGACATTCAGTTGATCATGACAAAAAAAAATTGCAAATAATTTTGGCTCCATTGCAAGCCTTAAAATAGTCACTTCTAAACCCAGGCCTACAGCTGCATTGACAATGTTCTCATGGAAAGTTGTTGGAACTGAGAAGCAAAAGAAGAAAAACGTCTTACAATCGATGTTCTGGACCTGTGAAGGAAAATGTGCCAGATAAAGAGATTTTGTGTTCAACCATTGACATGCAAAGACAATGACATGGATTGTTATGTAGAGCTGTACGACTAACTCGCTTTTGTATGACCGGATGTTGTTTGGACTTTGGACTCTGAAAAAATTGCAAACCTCTAACACTTGGAGGCATTGCTTTTGCGTGACATATGCCTTTTTCATAGGTGCTGCTTTTCTGCTTTGAACTTCATGACCCTCCAAACTTGGATCTTATTATCTTTAAATCATTTGTGTCTGTTTTACTCCTTCAAGACATTGTTATGGACTGTTTGTGTTTTCTGAATATTACTGCTGGCATTATATGTAGCAAAAGTATTTTAATTCTACTGGATGTAGCTGGTGCTATGAGAGAGGGCGCTATTTGACTTCCATCAATTTTCCTTTTTTAAAAAGAAAAATGTTAACCTTTAAGCAACAGTACTGTAGCCTGTTCAGACATACTAGAATCGGCAGCTTTTTTATAGCGATTGATAGTTTGTATATATTAGGAATATAGTTGTAAACCAGGATTTCAAATCAAAATAAAATTAGAACAAAAATTAGATTAACCCAACCTCAAAGGGAAGATTCAGTTGGTCATCCTCTCAGTGTGACTGAGCAGGCTACAACCGCTGTATCTGACATTTCCACAACAATTTTCAGGCCAACATTTCGGTCCAATTCTTTTTATCTATTTCATATTTTAAACTTTACAAAATGGTTTTGAAGATTTTTGTTTTATTTCCTGCAATTGTTGCCAAAACATTTTAGTCAAATGTTGCGCCTTTTTAAAATGGACTTGATTCTATTGCTTGAGTGTGTTCGAATAGGTTTTGTGTGGAAATTGGTGCCTGTTTTCTGATAAGGGATTTTCACTATGCACTACAGCTTATGTTGAGGGCCTATCTTCTCTAATTGTAACTTGGTGTGTGCTTATTGTTGAGACTTTAGATGCCAAATGCCTTCAAATGTGATGAAGGTGAATTAAAACTTTATTCTGAAGTTCTATGAATGGGACTATTTTAATCTCAAACTATGAATAGTATGCTAAGAAGCTTTAAACAGGTCATCTTAGAATATGGGGTCATAGATTTTTCTTTGGTTCAAACGTGATCAATCACCATGTACAGACTACTACTACTTTCACTACTTCTATCATTACCATTTCCCATGATTTGTTTATCTTTTTTTTTTTTTTTACCTTGACGCCAGAAAATTTCTTGATGTAATGAAAGTATTCCCAGTAAAACAAAAGCGTTTTTAAAACAGAAATTTACACACTGCTAATTCATTTTGGTTCATCCCATTTTACCTGTGGTTATGAGTGCGTTACATTGATTTATCAATTTTTCAAGAGATGGGTCTTGTTTTCGTCCTATGATACTTCACTGAAATAAAAGCTTGCTTCTTTTGCAATACTTACTGATATTTACTTTAGTTTTACTTTTGATTTTATAATACCAACATTTATTATTGTATGTATGCTTCTTGGCAGAGGGCTGGGCTCTCCAGGTGTTTTTTATTCTAATGTGCTCCCAAATGAGCCAAATCAGTGTTACAACTGATACTGATATTATTTATTCCCTCCAACGCATATCAATTGATTTAGTCCAATACTGTATGACTGGTGCCTGCAACGCCTCCTGAAGACTGGAATTTTATCAAACAACACAGTGTACATTCAGAAAATGGAAAAACATTTATTTTTTGTTTGCAGTCTTGTTGGACCAGGTCAAACACTGTCAAAGTACAATTATCAGGCCTGCTGACAATCCTAATCTCTTCACTATTTTACAGACTTTTTTACATATACATTTATAACGAAACAATTTTATACTTAGATTATAATTTGCAGTAGTCGCACACTCGCAATGAGAGATGCCAAAATGTTGTTGAATTTCATCACAAGAATAATCGTAGGACTTGTGCAGGAAGTGACCCCCTCTGCACCCAACCGCAGTACTAGGCCTGTTATAATAACTTACTGACTAATCAATGAATGTTAATAGATGCCAGCTTTAGGGCATCCATCTATAAATATAGACAAAATATATTAGTGTCTATAATGTATCATTGTCTGGAAAATGTTTCTCTCTATGCTGTATTATAAATGTGTCAGTAGCATGACATTTCGATAAGATCGTGTAGAAATATAATGGCTTTATAAATGTGTTACTGTGACATGCCTAATCAGGAGAGATGCAAACATCTTCCAAAAACGTAATCTTGGGTCAGAGAGTCAAATCAACCTGACATGAACATACTAAAACATGGGAAAAACTATGATAAAAATAAGACAATAGATACTTTAATGTTTTTTGATCCTTCAGTAAATTTTGACTGTATTAAAACAATATTTGACAAAATGAAATCACAAAATCACCACCAGTACAGTTAGCAAAATCATTTGAAATGATAAAAAATGGCACTGCTCTTGAAAAGTTAATCTTATTTTAAGACAGCCAAAATGTATTCCAATTATGACTTATTTGGTATAACTCTTAAGCAAGCATTCATTAACTCATGTTTTGACATTTTTGTGTTGTAGATGGAACTCCGGGTTGGTTCTCCTCATATGTAAGCAGACCGGGCCTTCCTGCTTTTCCCTTGGGCCTTTTGCCTCAGTCTGGGTCCCTCTCTCCTCTGGTTGAGGACTTTGGTGCTGGCGCGGAGCTTCTTTAACCTCAGAGCCCTCACCCGCATCTGGACATCCTGTGGGATCTTACCCCCCTTCATTCTGATCTGCTTCAGGACTTCAGATGGAGTTTTGGTGAGGCTGAAGTCGCACAGAGTGGGACGGGGCTCCATCCCCACAGTACAGTGTCTTACGGAAGGGAAGTATCCCAGCGCCCAAACCACTATTTTATATTCACCAGGATTTAACAGGCGCCAGTAGTCTCCACCTTCAGCTGGAAAACAAGGAAATAGAAAAGCTCAAAGAAATGGCAATAGAAAGACAATGAATAATCTTATTTGATTCAAACCTCACTTTTCCCTCTCATATTAGTCTAAAGTCTTAGAACTGATTAGACATGCTGTCTTCTTTTTAGAAAACCTGATATACATTGCCTACATTAGCATGTAATCTTTTGCATATGTAAGAAAGTCCTGTCAGTCACTTTATGACACTTTGGGCTGGGGGCTGATGGGCTGAGGGCAAACACGCATTTGAACACTACTTTTAGAGCAAAAAACTATTAGACAGATATAAACACAATTGTTTTCTGGTTTAAAAGTCACGTACGTCTGATGAAGGGTGGTCACCCGAAACATTACATCTTGTGGCGTTAATTAAAATCTTTTGGGAGCTTAAACTGTGCAGAGTCAACTCCATTTTTTTATTTTTATATTTTGGATATTTTGCACTGTACTCAAACTTGGATGTGCGCATCCACCTCACTCTTACTTAAGAGTAAGGTACCCCAGCTTAAATGGGTACCTGATGCGTGACACTATCTCCTCTGCAAATGTACTGTATCATGAAAACTCTTTAAAGTCAATAGAGAAGAAATTATTACAACTGTTTTTATGAGATGGATTTGCTCACAGATTATTCAGACTTGTCACTTGTTTTGAACAGTGACAAAAGCATATCTGTGATGATATGATGTAATTAGGAAGCAGTATTAGGACTATTCAGATAAAGACTGTAATAAACCATTGTCTCTCTCCTCAGTGACATGACACTTTACCTGATCTGATGTCGTGTTCATGGTCGTCCACTTTGATTATGGCGTTTTCAATTCCTTTTCTGCTCTGTTTGTCCCTGATCACTCCTTTAATTCCTCTGTGAACCTTTAACAAACATTACAAAGCGTTTACATGTATTGTACTCTATAGTTATATTTGCTTGGCCCAGAGTGCCTGACCTGCTCCATGTACACAAGCAGAGACTCCTTATTATTCTCCCACTCCATCGGCAGCTCTGAGACGTGAGGAAACTTATCACATGACAGCTCCACCGTCACCTCGAAGCAGTTTGTGTGGAGGTAACTGAAGTCGTTCATACCTGGAAGAAAGTCACAGCTGTCAACACTGTTTTAGAAATGGCACTGGTTACATACATTCTTTCTGTGAATTTACAGCCAATTATTAACTATAACAAATACTTTTGTGTTCAACAGTTGTAATTAGCAATGCATAAAACAGTATGCTGACATTTTACATTACTCCACCACTGCATTATCAATGTCAGGTGTAAAGGAGCCAATGAGGAGTCTCTGAGTGGATGTGTCGTGACTCGTGACAGCTGATTGGTTCGTGTGTGCGTGTGCTATGACATGACACTTCTTCTGCCATACTTACTTCCAGGGACTGTGTGCCAGGCTCCTCCATTGATGATGTTATTGTGCTGTTGGAAGTTCTCGTAGTGGCACACTCTGCGGTCAGGATTGGACATGACCAGGTTTGTGGAGGCATAGACTGACGCTAACCACCGGAAGAAAGCGTTGTCTGCAGTGGGCGTGTCCTCCTGTGGGGCCCAGTCCCGAGTGCAGTCGTATGGGTACGTGACCACCAGCTCACCCCCGTGAAGGTTGGCACTCAGCACAAACGGGATCTCCTCCATCCAGTTGATCACAGCTCGGGTTTCTGGGGCAACCTGCAAAAGATAAAGGGTTTCCTCTTAATAAAATGTGTGGGGGCATATTTTGATTGATTGTCATGAGATTTGTAAAAGAAAGCATTAGGCAGAGGTTTGAATGCATGAGGAGATTATTGGTCTAACAGCACAGGTAAAAGGTATGGTATTATTTATGGTCCCTATAAGGACGTTTGTCCTCTGCATTTGACCCATAAGTCAATGTTTGAAGTCCTGGCCCTCCAGCTCTGGGTCAGGACTTCAAAACATGTTTTTATCAATGATGCGTGATTTGGGCGGTGAGGAAAAACAAAGCACTCAGAGGAAATCCATTCAGACACGAGGAGAAACATCCAAACTCCAAACAGAAAGACCCAGGCTGCAAAGACTTTCCAAAATGGCAGCGATCCTCTCTTTGTATGTTCGCACCCAGTTCTGTTCCAGGAAATGTGTGTTCTGATCCACCCTCCACTCTCTGTGTCCAGTCCTCTGAGTATCTAGTCTACGTCTTTCAGTGTGTGTGCATTCCAATGTTGTGTCCAGTGAACTTAAGAGCAGACATCCTTGGTCAGCCTTCTCCGAAATAATATTTCCCTTCACAATGTGATTCTGAGATTGGCTATAAGAGCAAAGAGTCCAAACAGAATCAACACAGATTCAATCGTACTACATATACAGTTGTGTTAATGAGATTATCTTTGAAAGGGATTAATTTGTTCCTTATCATATTATTATTTTATTTTTTTCAATTCAAGGATAACAATTCTCCTGCTGACACTATTCAGTTGGATGGCAACTGACATGCATATGTAATTAACCAATAAGAATAAAAGAAAAGTGTTACATTTTAGGTTCAGACTATATATAAAAACAGATTTTTCTTCCCTGGAAACATGCCTCAAACAGGACTACAGTCAAGGGTATGTGTGTGAAATCTCTATTATATTAAGCTGTGCCTTAATAAAATAGCACTAGACTTTTATTGTGCAAGTTTTATATACTCTCCAAAGGATCACTAAGTTGTAACAAAAACGGCAAATACAGGTATGTGTTTATTGTTGGAGTTACCATAGCGTCCTCCTTGGTGTAGTACTCGGGCATGGGGATGTAATGGTTGGGAATTTTAGATATATCCTGGGCCTTTTCCTGTGCGCGTTCCTGAGCATTCCACATAATGTTGTTCAGATCTGGAAAGTTGTGGTTCAAGTCTATTCCTTCGTAGCTGTAGCGTCCATCCGCCCAACCAGCCAGCTCGGAGCCCTGTTTGGACAACAGCAAAACATTTCCAATGAGCAAATGGAAGATAAAAGACGGAACTGTTAGTAAACTTTAAAACCAGTATTTAAAGGAGCAGTATGTAAAAATCTGGACATAAGTGGTTCTGCACACTCCCTGACTCAGGTTGCCAGATATGCAGACAAATCCAGCTGGGACCATAATATCTGAATTAAGAGTTTTGTCAAATCTATAACCAACACCTTTTTCACAAAGATAAAAATCCTCATGTTATTCCTTGTTTTGTCATTAATGACTTGAGAATCATAATGAGACATTTTTTAGTTCTGTGGCCACATGTTACTTCACCAGTAGGATTAGCTCGATGCGGTGAGTTCTGGCAACCCGGATCACGGACTTTCTGAATGGTAAAACGGTGGAGGGCGGGACAAAAAAAATAAAAACAATAACAAGATTAACGGGCTGTAAAACTAATTTTGACATTAAAAAATCTCGGCTGAACTACTGTATTTGAAAAGGGCCTTAATGCCTTTTGACATATTTGGGCCATTTAATGATGTCATGCCATGAAAATCTTACATATTGGAACTTTAAATAGTCTTGTTCTTTAACTGTGGAATTACTGTATTTATTCATTCTCATTTTGTTGGACATAAAATTCATAGCGCACCTTTCTGGTGGGAGTTTCTCTACTTGCATCCTGAAGAAGGTTTCAGCTTATTTTATTCATCTATAACTAAAATATTGCTACTTTACTTTCTTGTTTGACAGTATAGTTGAAATAATTGCTAAATGTGATTAGCACCTCTTAAAAATGGAGCTGTTTTATCATTGCCCATGTCCCATTGAATGTTTCATTTTTTTACTTTGCACCTGCAGTTTAGCACCAGGTTTGACAAATGCACTTAGTACCTTCGCGTAGGCCTCTTCATATCCGTCAGGGTTCATTGATGGCAACAGATGAATCCTCGTCTCTGTAATAAGTCTCGCGACGCGTGTGTTTCCCTTTTTAAACTCCCGACATAAATACTGCATCAGGTTCAGCACCAGCTCTCGTCCCACGACCTCGTTCCCGTGCATCCCTGCCACGTAGCGGAACTCAGGCTCACCTGCCAAAGAATGAGGAGGAGAAAAAAAACACACCTCAGCGACCGGCCTTGACTCAGTCTAAACACAAGACCAGTGAATTCACGAGGGTCAAGTGACAGACAGCTCTCCGCAATAATATGTCACAGCTTATGTCATGAATGTGAGCCCACATAACCGTCTTTTGTGGCCCCGGACATGATTTTCCATTCTTACTATTATCTTGCAGCATTATTCAAAAGAGGTGGCTAGCATGGAACGTTATACATCATTTTAAAGCTAAATTATCTTTAAAAAGCATAATTTTCTCAGAAAAGTTCAAACATTACTGAACCATGAGACCAGCTATATTTTATCTAACTAACTATCAAAAATCATAAGCAAAGAGTTGTCTTGCCTGTTCAAGCATTCATTTTGGGATACTTTAAAGTTAATAAAAGATACCAAGGTTTCTTTATATTCTTTTAAAATAAAATAGTCAACATATATATTTATTTTGATAATAGGCCCGCCTTGAAATCTATGATGACAAAACTGGCTGAGAAATCCACTCAGCACAACTTAAAACAGCTGTTGTCCGGCTAAGTGCTTACAGACGGACGGATGAACAGAGAAGAGAATCCACACTCAGCAAAAAACACAATGCTTTGTTTGTGAATATTTTATAGAAAATAAGATGAATGGAAAGGACCATGACCATCACCATCAATTTAGCCTTTCCCCCTGGACAGGGATCAAACATCTGCCACTCAATGACAAAACTGCTTATACTTCAGAAGCAACTAATGTTTTAGTAGCTATGTTTGTTATAATGTTTGTTTTTTGAGTCGCTCATTGCTGATGCAGAAAGGACAGTGATGATCCGGGACAAATGCTGTTGTGATTTAGAGTTATATAACAGTAAATTGAATTAAATTATTGTTGTGTAATATATGTGTTGAGAATAATGTATTATTAATTATTGAAGTTGAATTGAGTTTTAAATTGAGTGGTCACGTGAAAACATCACATGCTCTCTCTGTTGAGCAGCCAGGCCCTTCCACTTTCTGTGTTCTTTTCCTGTAACACATTATTCCAAAGGTTTGGAGGTCATAAGCGAAGCACTGAATTATAAGAACCCTCCCATTTTACGATGAATAATGAAAAACATGAGTCGTTTGTCTATCTTTGAGTTCTGGCAGTAACTGGTTTGTTTTTATAAGACACTCCATCCTCCCTGTGTGAGGCTGCACAGACATGTCAGTGTAAACAGCAGGGGCCCCACTGAGGCCAGGGACTTGGAGACTCTATTCAGTAAAAAGCACTACATTGTATTCAAGCTATTTTTCAAATATGATTGTAAGGACACTTGCATATCTGTTTCTTCCATATCTTTATTTTTGCTGTGTTTAAGAATGTTCTGTCAGTAAGAAGTTATTTTTCAATCAAAGGTTGATGAATAAAAGGCAACAGCAGCCGCTTACCTAGTTCATGTTTTCCAGGATTATCAGAAAACTCCATGACGTACAGTTTGAGACCCTTGTAACTTCTGCCAATGGTGTAGATTCGGGTCATGTTTGGACACTCTTCATGCACTGACTTCATGAGCTTTGAAGTAAAAAAAAAAAAAAAACAGTTTAATCAAAGACTAATAGGATGAAATATATGAATCTATAAAGTTGCACTTTAAGATGCCAATGTCGTAGAGATATGTCTTAATTCCTTTGAAAAGCACCACACTATGGCATCTGTATCCTACGAATTCACAATCAGGAAAATTTACAGGTCATGGCCTTATTTATAAAGCGTGGGAATGTACAAGAAAATACAACTAGACTTGTAAATTAACCAGATTTTTTTTTTTTTAAGTATAAATGCCAGCCATGGTCTATGTGCATGTTTTCAAGTATTTTTAGTACTGAAACCATCATCAAGCTCATACTGAGGCAAAACAATATCATTTATATAAAGACTGGCAGATTGTGGATCTCATGCTGGGAAACTTTCATCTTTAAACAGTTTATTGTCTGAGTCAACTTAACTTCAGGAAAAAAACACTTAGTCACTGTTACTCATACGCACCGTCCTCATGGCTTGGTAGTCGTGATGTCTGAAGTCCAGATTGTCTTTGGAGGCACGGTCCTCCTGAGAACTATGGATATCAAAGGGATCTGCAAAGAAATGGTGAGTAGTGTTGAGCACTGGTCAAGAGCCAATCACACAGATGTCAAGCAAAAGAAACTAAGTGAGTAAGTAAGATTATTTGGCCAACAATTGCACAACCTTTTCTGTACTTAATAGTGAAAACTCCTTATTGCTAATCTTTTGCTTGGTCTGCTTTTGTTCTTGTACAAGCTAAATAACGCTTTAGAGTTTCTTCAGATATTTGATGTGACACAGACAAAAGGAGCCCTGAAACCTAATAAGAGGTAGCAAACTACTAAAGCCAGGTAGTAATATAGAAGTATATAAGTGTCCTGGATTAAGGAGCTCATTATACTTTGGAGACTAAAGATTTCACAAATTAGAGTTCTTTCTTTTATATTTTAAGTTTTAACATTTTGGGGCACTACAGTTTTGCGAAAAATATTACACACTGATCACAAAAAGGAGCCCTGGACAGAAAGAGAAAGAGGACAATTAAAAACAAAAAACAAAAAAAAGTATATATATTTAAAATTAATTTCAAAGTGGACATTCTGTAACCTTTTTTTGAGTTTCGGAACTGTGGGTTGCAACACTGAAATTTCCCATCGTTTTATGAATATTGTCCTATTTGATTTGAAATTCTTATCAAGACATTGCTTTGGTGAGATCTCCATACTTGTTCTAGTGCGATTATCAGATGAGTGATAAATACGGGTACAGAAACGGTGACATAATGGTTATAATTAAATGTTGATGGAGGTTTAACAAATTAAGTACAAAACGCTTCATTGTGACTCCTTCAGCATTTCAGGATTTCCATTACAGTCACGGAGGCAGCATCCACACACAGCGATAGCCTCGTTCAGATACACCGTGTGCGTCATACCCCTGACTCGACAGCCCAGGATCTCAGCTCTGAGGCAGATGGTCCCGTTGGAGTACCAGGTCTGGGGGTTGATCCGGATGTAACGGGCCACAGTCGGAACAGGGAGCAAGGCCAAAACTGGGATCTCTGTGTGCTGGTTTCCAACAAATATCTGAAGAAATGAATGGCCCAGGATTAAGAGTATGGTTAATGTAGCTCAGTTTACGTGGCTGAAAAACAAGCGGTGGTCAGTGCTCACCGCCTCTTTGGTGCCGTTCATGCAGGTTTGCCACTTCACAGAGTCATTGCTCAACTGCACTTTGTAGGTTTCCACAAAGTTCCAGCTGCAAGTCCAGACAATGACACACACAAAAAACAATAAGATAAATGATTAAAGAAATAGAATAACATGTATTGTATGTAATGATATCCATGTGACTTGTTTCTCGCTCTCTTTGTGCTACACTGCAAAAAGTGATGAAAAATAAGTAAAAAGTATCTTAAATGGGACAAGCAAAAAGATCTTGTTTTAAATAGATACAAGAAATTTCTCCCTTGGAATGAGAAAATAAAGCATCAGTTCTTGAAATAAGACCAAGACTAAATGGCTTTGTCTCATTGGCAAATCTTCTTTTTAAGTCAGAATATATTCAAATTCAGATAAAAACCACTCTTTTACTTCATGCTTTATCATTTTTTGCAGTGCAGCTTTGTTTGTTTCTGTCTCTTGTTTTCACATAAATTTTTTTGGCCTCTGTCACATCTTTATATTTCACATTTTTCAGTTAAAAAAAGCCTAAACAATTATCTCTCAGTATGTGAAAGACAAAATGTTTTCTAATAAGATAGAGAGAGCATGTTGTGGTCTGATTTATTCACACAATGTAACTTAAACAAGACTAATACTGTTGGGACATACTAAATGTATTAAAAAAACCAAAAAAGTGAGGTACTCCAGCTTTAAATGTATTTCACCCATCCCAGTATCTGCTGTTTGCAATGATACATACTATAACCACTGAGTTACCCACTATTTAGACAGTGCAGTGACTGAGGATTACCCAAACCATTTCATTTTTACACGGCTGCGTCTGCATATCCGGAATGCTTTAAACAACACATAATGACACTACCTGACCTCCAGATGGAGCTTCTTCCTTGTAGAATGACTCCGGTGAATCTTGTGAGGTGAAGTGCGTCCACCTCCAGCCACTGATTCTTGTCTTCATGTCTCGCACACCAACCGCCATCGTATATGTCTCCGTCCTCGATACCAGACTGAACCCCCCCCAAAAAAGATTGATATCAGCTACAAAAAAGAAATCCTGAACCTGATCTATGAAAACTATAATTTGTTAAAATGAGTATAAAGTATTGGTTATTCAATTAAGTAAACAGTAACCTTTCACTATTTTTTAAGCATTTTGTTGAACTCAAAATAATGTCCTGAAAGACTGCTACAGTACCACACTTAGATATTTTAGGATCAATCTTGTAAATCCAAATATGTTCTGGTGTTTTTCTGATGAGAGCTACTTTAGTGTTGCATAAGATTTTGACCTTAGAATGATTTAAGCACTTTCAGATGTGGACAAGGGGGATGGGCACCACATTAAACAGAAGTGGTGCCTCTGTGTGTGTCCAACCCAAGTGTTTTAATGGTCAATCAAATAAAGTCTGTATAAAACGGCAGAGAAAGCGTTTCTGTTGGCAACCCAGTTAAGGCAGAATAAGGTTATGTTGTACTCATTTAAACAGTTGAATTTACAATTGAATACTTTTTATTTAACATATACAATAAAAATGACTTTATTTTAGTATAGCTGAACACTGAGGTACATTTTAGGCCGCAAATAATGTAAGCATGTACTGAAATATACTGTATCAAACTCTAAGCTAACAGTTTGGTTCTGTCCCGAGTTTGCACACACGTATGTTTGGTCTCTGTCACTACTTTACATCAGATTTTTCAGACAGAAAATGCAAAAAGAGAGCACCACCTGCACTCGGACAATCCATTCTCAGCTCAAAAGCGACAAATAGTGACACACAGGGCTCTCTAGTCCAAAAGTCTCCAAAAGTTTTTATTATGATGAAGATCGCAGGTTGTTAGGTGCGCCAGCTTTGATGTAAATGTAGAAGCAATTTAGATCAGTTTGAGAAAGGACATATAATAAAAGTTGATAACATAATTATCATGACATACACAGTATATGCAGTACATTTTCTGATTGATACCCACTTGTATGTTGAGGCGGCCTCTGTGAGCGCCCAGGCCGGTGCGCTGAGATGAAGACGCTCTCATCTGACTGTCACGGACCCTCAGAGACTCCAGACCCAGAGGCGGGCAATCTGCAAGAGGAACCACAAATGCTGTATAGAGGAACACCCATCAGAAATGCAAACCGTAATATTGAGAAATGAAAAAAATTGCCTCCGTTTTTTTGAAGTTCTGCCACATACTGTATTATGATCGAGTTTATTGTCAAAACTAAAAGAAATACAGACAAATATCAAATTCAAATGTAATGTATGCATTCTGAATAATACCCAGCAGTCTTTCTGTGCAGTTGAATCATATTATTATTATTATTGTATTATTGATCTGACATTATATATTTTTTTATTTCTATGTGGCATGTCTTGTTCATACTATTATTTTCTGCAGCTGTCAGCACTTTTCCCAATATACGTTTATAACATATAATAATAACATATAAAATAATAATGATAAAATATTATCCTGAGTATGTATGTAGTATTGCTTTTGATGGTGTTTGATTATCAACCTACAAACCCCCGCCCTGTAGTGGTACTTTCTGTGAATCTTGAACCTCAGCCGAATGATGTGGATGCATGTGTTGCCATATTTTTACAAAACAAAATACCATACAACTTTCATCTGTCTCAATTTGTTTTTCAGACCCATTTCTTCCCTTTTATTAAAGCTGGGGTATCTAACTTGTCTTGTACATTTTGTCCATTGTGAGATCAATAAAGTATATCTTATCTTGCCTTTTTCATATATAACACACATTTGTTTGTTCCAACAGAAAGAATAAGAGCATATAACATATCAGACCACAACATGCGTTCTTAATCTTAGTTGTTGTATTTCTACATTATTAATGCATTTACGGCACAGAAAAAAGTCATGTTTTGATGCTGCTCATTTCTTCCAAAGATACAAAGTAGCCATTCTTTGCATAATCACTCAATCAATCTTTATTTATAGAGCGCTTTTCCTACACAGGGTAACACAAAGCGCTTCACAGTCCACACAGGTAATTCAAAACATTAAAACATTAAAATCACACAAGGGATTAAAATAATGAATAACACCAGAGCATTTAAAAAGAATAGAGATAAAATTCCTAAAATGTCATATCCTGAAAATATTAGAATTGATCCAGGTTTGAGGCAGACACATAACTATACTCTCTCACTATAAAACTAATTATACAACAATATACAGTATATGGCTGGTTCTCGTTACTCGTGGTGGTTGGAACATGCCTTGACCCACACAGCTGCATAAGATCATTGTCAAGGGTTTTACTTCACATTTGATTATTTTCTCTCTTACATAATGTCAATTATACCAAATATAGCTTTCTCATTCAATACATACGCTGATATACTCCAGAAACTCAATGTAAACGGGAAATGTAGGTTGTCCCCTTCATTAAACTTCCTACAAATACTACATTTAGCTGCTTTTTGGCCCAACTGAGAGCACCACTAGTGTTGTTATAGTATGATTAGGATTTCCGGTCATCTAACGTTCAGAGTAAATTCAGTGGAAGTGAGTAGGAGTGTGTGAGTAGGAGTCCAGTGTAACTTGAGACAGGTTTGTTTGAGGGGCAAAACCAAAAGCTGCAGGATGAGATCTACAGCTGTGAGGCATTTTACAGCTCCGTGAAAAAACTGCACCGTTCCCATCATCGATCAAAGGCACCCACTGACAGAGCAAAACAATGTCAAGCAAATGATGTTTAAAGGGACTAGTTAAGTACAAATCATAGATGGGTAAATCAACTGTCTACATACTATATGGACACGTAAATAAACCAGTGATAATTGTTGTCTTTTTTTGTTCAAAGTATATATACAAAATAGTATGTTCTTTTACTAATTCACAGAGTTGGCAAAATCCACTCAATCAAAGTTAAGGTTCAGAAGTAAAAGTAAAAGTATAAACGCTTTTAAATTATGCACAAAAGTGAAATGGATTTCTGTTGAATAATGAACAATGTATTTATTTGAGACATTTAAGCGTTGCCTTTGAAACACTTAAACAACATAAAAATGTTGTAGAAATGTTACAAATGCTTTTGTTGATGTTGTAGTGATCAGCAGCACTAGTAATTTTTGCACATAAGGACTGGACAATACAAATATTTGTGTTTAAAACTGAAGAGTAAAAGTAAAACACTGTCGGTAAAGTGCTGATAACAGAAAAAAAGTCTTAAAGTTAGAATAGTTATTTTCCATCTCTGCCAATTAACTCATTTGAACAGGTCCTCTAATTCCTGGCATGTTGAGCCACCTTACAACTTTTTGACTCTAATTTACAGCACATATACAGTACATTAATTAGGCACAGTGCCAAATGCATAGACAAGCGTTGAGTTTTGATGAATCTATCAGCTATAGCCAGGGTAATACGATTCTTGTAATAAGCTACTCCAGCTGTCAAGCCTGTTTACACAAAAGCATGCCAAGAGATATATAAGTCCAGTAGAATTAATCATCTCTCATGAGTTGTGCTGAGGGAAAGCATGCAATATGTCAACTTGCGGGAAAAGAAAACATGCAATAAAATAAAGTTTAGACAAGTTTAATAGTACAGCCATTGATTAAAGGGAGTCATTTAGAGGAGCCTCACTATGCACAAATAGCAATAGAGCATATTATGCCTACTTTGGAACAAGAGTGTGCCAAAATGTGAACGTTTTTATAGTCTTGAAATGGATTAATTAAGCATGCAAATTGCCCTATTACGTCTAATTACCCCTTCCCTGGAGGTCCAGCTCAGACTTACTATATAACTGAATACTTGTTTCACTGACCTAGTTTTGATGTCTTGTCCACTTTAACGTCCTTCTTCTTGACGGGTTCTTTGGTGGGCTTACGCGTCTCCTTTTGTCTGGGCATGGCTGTGGTGAATTTGGTTCTTGTTGTAGAAACAGTTGCATTGACTTTTCCATATTTTGGCTTCACAGTACTGACAGACTGCGTTGCTTTTGTTGATCTAAATAAAGTTGTAGGCTTTGGAGTTGAGTTTGCTAAAGAGTTTCTAACGGTAGGTGCTTTTTGAGCCTCTATCAGTGCTGCGCTTAGGCAAAAAACCGCTGCTGCAGCCAGTAAGCACAATGACTTTTCCATCCCGCTCAATAACGTGTGCAGCCAAAGTGAAAAAAGGAGAAAAAAGATCTCAGCAGCAGCACGAGGAGTCACTATACCCTCCCTCCTCAGAGCACGACTCAGCCCCATAGACAGCCCCCTCCCCAAAAAATAAAAACACAAAGTTGCCAAACAGGATGACGCGTCAAATCAAAAAGTGATGACTTGAGGCGATTTAGGGACAAAGACTTCAAATTAGCAACAGACATATCTTTATTTCAGTCTTATAGTCCATGGCCACTGAAAATGTAGGCCCAGATGTTATTACTTTTCCAGCAGCTCTTTTGAAATAATACTCTTTCATAATACTATCAAATATCAATAATATCTATTTTGGGTTTTTTTCAAATTGGCATTGTTATTCACAGGGGGATATCTTGAATTGTTTTTGTTTTAACTATTTATTTATGCATTTAGAGAAGACACAATATGCAAAATCAACAGCATCGCTCCCTCATCACTCAGACCTGGAGTTGTTTTTAGATCAATCCACGCTAATATCAGGAACTTCTGGCAACAAGTAACTCCGTCCCTTTTCTGTCTAAAAACTCCTGTACTGTAATAGTATGATGTACATTATACTGCAAATGTATTTCCCCTGAATTAGTTTTGGTAATTTCGCAATTTCTATGCAATCTCAGAACTGCATTTGTAGGTGGGATTTTCAGATTTGGAAAAAAAAAGGATCATGACAGCATAGGGGGCTGTAGGATACTAGCATTGTTTACCTTTCATACTTGTTTCATCATATTTTATTAAGATTATTCCACATTCTGAAACTTGGAATACAAAGTAAATAGTCTCATCATCATTCTAGGCAAAAATAATGTCTTCTTTAATATCATGATATTATGTGTCTGCTTGTTTGAGAGATGTTTTAATCTGTGCCTGTTAAGCACTTTGAATCATGCCCCTTTGATTTTTTTTTCCATAAAAAATGCATTTAACATTGCATTAGCCTATTTATTTCAAATATGGTCACATTTTCATATGGAGATGACATACTCAGTTATACAGTACAATGTTTGTAAACGGGTTGGATGGAGGCAGACGCGAATTTGGATTGATTGATTGGTTTGGATTATTTATTCTATATTTGTTTTAAATATCTGAAACACATGTATCATTTACATTAAATGCTACCAATTGTGCTTCTCTTCATTATAGTAATATTCAGTCGCATCCTATGCATTGACTGTAAATATATACAGTCTATGCTGTAAATATCCTATGGTCGCAACAGGGTGAAAGTATTTTATTTTGAAACTCAAAATTCTGCAGCCTGATTGGTGGGTTTGAGTGACGTGTACAGCGGAAGTGTCACGCCAGCAAGTGGAATCATAACATTACGTTTGAAGTGTTTTACTCGCCTTAAACCGCTTTGTTTGTCTCTTTTTACCATGTTTTAGATAAGATTGTCAATTACACATATTAGAGGGGGAGTGTTTGAGTAAAAGGCTTCTATATTTAGTCTGTAGTGCTATGAAACATGCTGTGGATCGATGTAAGAAATGCTCTGTGGTTTCGGGCGAGTAGCAAATGGCTGTGCGAAGGTGAATACGGATCCTGTGCAAAGTAAGTGCATGTTCTCAAATGTCATTCATGCATTTATATTACTTTACAATTCAATATGAACGATTGATAATAATTTCTTTGTTAACATAGTGCTCCTGGGAATGGTTCAATGACCCACAACTTGGCCTCTTCCTGTGAAAGCATAGAATCTAATGCCTATATTAAACCATTTGTCATACATTCTCGTGCAACGAATTATGTTGATAAATCAATTTGTTCATTTTGTACGTGTTTATATTATTGTTCTTATTATTGTTATACAATTCCTAACCCAAAATGTTAAATAAAAAAATATGTATATCCTTCGTCCTAATTTTTAATGACTGTCCAACCCAACTCAGTGCACCAAATTTGACTTGACAAATTATGACCATAGATGGGTCAGTGAAGAGGGTGGAGCGGGTCTTATCATGTATTGTATTTCCCCATGTATTGGGGAAAATTAAATGAAATAAGCAAACATTTGATAAAAGGATAATGTCATTTGACCCATCCCTTTGGCTAAGATTCAAGCAGCATGTAGTAACATGTGACATATCCAGTATTTGTATAACTATGGAAATGGTGTTGATAATAGGCAGTCATGTGTACCTGGTTGTGACTGATGATTTGTTACTGATTTATTTTTTTACAGATGACAGTATTGTGATTGAGAGGATTCTTCTTGTTGTTCGTCCATCAGTAGTCATGTGACACAGATTTGCCTCCTTTCCTTGGAGCCATTTTCATGATGCCCCGACTGGAAGAGTTGGCTAACGTGGCCCTCAGGGTGCCAAGTATTCTGGTGCTAGATCTACTCTATAAATGTGATATTGAAGGTTTAACAGAACATCTGAAAGCCAAAAATGAAGACATGCTTTTTAAATACAAGTATGTCATGTGGAACATGTACTATATTGGTAAGTGCCCATGGGTTAATCATAATCATAGATATATATATGTACTTTATATGAAAACAGTTTAGCAAGATACAATCAACCTTTCACACTTTTATGAATAACTTTACACATTGCCGGTTTTTCATCACCAAAAAAACAAAGTTGCATGTCACAATAGCCGCACAGTACCCCTATTACAATACAGTAAAGCAGGAAAAATGAGCAATTTCCTTTGGAGACAATGAACCTCCACGGGTCAAACTTTACAATTGAAACACTTTTTTATGAATATGATTATTCATGTATAGTGTAATATGTCCCCAGGTCATGTGGTTAACCTGATGGTGTTGATTTTGCCGTTGAGACAAATTGTGACGCTCTACCTCCACATCCTCACTACTCTGCTCCTGTACATGGGCCATCAAATATCCAAGTGAGATTTCCTGTTATTTGGACTGAATGTAATATTTGAAGTAACTCAGTCTTGAGGTATGTAAGAGGACTTAACTTGAACCAACTTTGACTGACTAAGAAGTTCACATTAACAATAAACTGGACTGGTCCCATAATACCAACGCCCTGTACAAGAAGGGCCAAAGTCGCCTCTTCCTTCTGAGGAGGCTGAGGTCCTTCGGAGTGAGCAGGCCTCTGCTCAGGACTTTTTATGACTCTGTGGTAGCCTCAGCCATTTACTACGCTGCCGTGTGCTGGGCCCCGGGCAGCACAGAGCGGGACAGAAGCAAGCTGGTCAGGAGGGCCAGCTCCACTCTGGGCTGCTCCCTGGACTCTGTGGAGGAGGTGAGGGACAGGAGGGTGCTAGTCAAAGCCACCTCCATCATGAACAACACCTCCCACTGCACAGGACTGTAGAGGAGCTGAGGAGCTCCTTCAGTGGAAGACTGAGGCACCCTCAGTGTAGGAAGGAGCGCCACCGCAGGGCCTTTATCCCCACCGCTGTCAGACTGTACAATAAGTCACTTTAAGTCACTGTATAAGACTGAAAAAAACTTGCACTACTATTGACACTATTTCTGATTGCCACTTTTAAATTGCCACTTTTTTTGTTGTACATAATATATCCTGCATTTAACATGTTTGCACATTTCCTCTCTTTTTGCACAATCTTGAGTGTTTCTATCCATGCCAATGTGACATGTAAATTTCTCCTTTGTGAGATAAATAATGCATATCTTATCTTATCTTAAAGCAAAAGGGACTCAAATTCCAGATGGATATCATTATATTGATTCCTTGTATTAATGTATTCAGGGACTATGTGCGAGAAGAGCTACAGTCTGGTTATGAAGGAGCCTTGTACCTCAACTCTCTGGCCTTCAACAGATTTGTCTCAGCGCTCACAAGTGAGTAAGACATTTTTCCAATACAGTAAATTACCCTGTTTGCAGTACTTCAAGAAAACTTTGGGAGAGATGTCATGTTTTAAATCAGATATACAGTATACACAGAGTAGAGACGCAAAGACTTTTTCTTCATTGTCATGTTTAATTATAATTCACTTATTTAAATAACAAATTGACATGAATATGATAGCTTTGTCTTAAAAGGTTTCCTAGAATGGCATTTATCAGTTATTTTAAAAAACATTTTGCATTCTTGGTTTCTTGTGTCTGTCAGGTCAGATTATCCTCAGTACTTTGTGTGCCTTTTTAATGAAGACAAGAAAAGTGTGGATCTTCTCCGCGCACATGCTCCCTCTGCTGGCCCGTGTGTGCGCTGTCCCTCACACCACTCTCCTTGTGGTCAATACTTTCTCTATGGGGCTGACTGGAGCAGGCATCACTGTGTTCCTGCTCTCACATCTGTTTGTGCCGTATGGCCTTGCAAGAGCAGCCTACTCAGAGCTTCTTCAACTCCAGGTACTACTGCATTTGGCATCATGGTGACAGATTATAGAGCTAACTAGTGTTTTTATTTCAATACTGTACTTATTCTTTCTGGTATAGGTACTTTCCTTTACTTTGCTACTTATTGTTTGGAGTACTTCACAACTTTTACTCCTTGTTTTAAAGAGGAAATATTATGCATGTTAGATAATACAGATAATATATAGACTGAAGCTGCCTGCAGGATAGTTGTCGCATGGAACGTTAAAAGATGATTTTTTTTCATGATGATTTAATATGAAATGGAATTGTTGCTGAAGCTGCAAGATGAGTATGTTGATTTGGAAGTTCCTCTGCAGGTAATTGACTTGTACAGACTTATGGCGGTGGGCATCTCCTTGTGGACACAGTTTGCCGTCCCTGTCCTCTTCAGTGTCTTCTGGTTCGTCCTTTTCGTTGTGCAGTTGGGCTCGGATATCTTCTCTGGCAACGCATCAACGAGCCCTCAGGGAATTATCTTCTTCCTGCTCTCAAGGTTGGATTTAATCTCACACGCAGCATCATCATTGTTGTCAAGTATTCATCTAGTGGGACACGATTATGTTTTCTGTTCCTTTCCCTGATCCAATTATTTACTTTGAATTAAGGTAGACCTACTGTGTGATGTAATGTTAAAATGAAAAGGGCATGTTAATCCTAATTGTATAGCATTGCATAAATCACCATTGAGAGCAGCACTAGATTAATACTTGATTTCTCCCACATTGCTTCGGGTTTGTGTTGTATACGTATTTATTGTTAAGAAGAGGATTTTAGTCTTTCTGGTAATTCCATGTTGTGCTGACATTGATGTTTCTTGTGACAGTGTCTCTGAGTGTTGTGCCACTCCATACTCGCTGCTCGGCTTGACTTTTGTTGTGTCCTATCTGGCCCTGGCGCTGCTAAACCTATGCAAATTTTACCTGGGAGGATACGCTGCCGTCCAAAACGAAAATGTCATGCACAGGTAAAGATCCCTGTTGTGTATTCATTGTGTTTTGGGCTCTTGCTTATGATCTTCATATTCTATTTGTCAATTCTGGAAAACATTAGGACTAGTTTAGTCCTGGGTCCTTAGTTTAGTTTACATGGGACCTCAAGAGGCTTTCCCAAATGAATAAAAACTTTTTTCTTTGTAATATGAGCTGTACACATTGATTATTGCTTAAATTTTGTTTATTTTTCTCAGCTTTGTAACTAGACTGAGAACTCAAAGCATGGTTTACTTGCTTTGAGTTCTCAGATTATTGTGCTTCATTGTAATAGTCAGTAACACAATGGTTTCAACACTACCAATTAATGCTATCTTGATTTGTTCAGCACTTTGAGTCGCCTTGTGTATGAATTGTGCTATACAGATAAACTTGCCTTGCCTTACCGTTATGTATTTTTTCACGTGATAGGGGTGTGACTGAGGGCGTGACTTTGCTGCTTCTTGCTCTTCAAACGGGTCTTTTGGACATGCAATCTCTCCAGCGCACCTTCCTCCTCAGCATCATCCTCTTCATTGTTGTCACCTCCACTCTACAGTCCATGATTGAGATTACAGACCCTGTCATTTTAGCTCTCGGAGCCTCACGCAACAGGTATTTGTGTATACAATGAGGGAAAAAGTCAGCTGTGGACGTCCTTCCACTTAAAAAGATGAGAAATGCCTGTAATTTTAACATAGGTTTACCTCAACTATGAGAAACAAAAGTTTGTCAAAGAGCATTTGGATGACCGATTGGGAGAAGTCCAATGAAACCAAAATAGACATTTGTTGATGAAAAAAATAAATGAAAACAGAACACCATACCTACTGTGAAGCATGGGGGTGGAAACATCACACTTTGGGACCATTTTTCTGTGATGGGTCCAGGGCAATTGATAAGATTGATTTAAAGGAAAGAATGAATGGGGCCATGTATCGTGAAAACGTGACTGGGTCCTTCAGCGTGACAATGATTCACACTGCCCGGGCAACAAAGGAGTGGCTTTATAAGAAGCAATTCAAGGTCCTGGTGTGGTCTATCCAGTCTCCTCAACCTCTGTCATTACCAACAAAGAGTATATACAAATGTGGTGAGATTGACTGCTGTTATTGACCAAACACTTAACATAATTAGAAAATATGTTCTTTAGAAAACATATGATTTTCTGTGGTTTTTTTCCTCTCAATTTGTCTCACATTGTTGAGGAATACCGATGATGAAAATTAGGTATTCTCTCATCTTTTTAAGTGGGAGGTCTTGTAAGTCCTTGCAATTATGAATTCCCCACACGCTGAATTGTACTGTTCTGGTTATATTGGTGATGTTATGGACTGTATTTGTAATTTGTTTTCTAGGAGTCTTTGGAAGCACTTCCGTGGCCTCAGTATGTGCCTCCTCCTGCTTGTGTTCCCTATTTATATGGCCTTCAAAATCTCCCAGTTCTTCCACATGGACTTTTGGCTCCTGATCCTGGTGTCCAGTTGCATGCTCACTTCACTTCAGGTATGGAATCACCGGTCATTCATTAAAACATCCAGTTATTGTTGGTTTCATATATTAGCACAAACTATTACAAAACAGTGTATTAATTATTAAGAAAACTACAATTAACATCTTTATTGTATTTTGGCAGGTGACAGGCACAATGCTTATCTATTCCTTGTTCATGGTCGAGTTGTTCCGCAGTGACCCGATTGAGAGCCTTGATGAGGTGATCTATTGGGTGAATGCCGTGAGTCGCGTGCTGGAGTTTGTGGTAGCCCTTTGCGTTGTGGCCTATGGGACATGGGAGTCTCTTTTTGGGGAGTGGAGCTGGATGGGAGCCTCTGTCATTATCATTCATTCGTATTTTAATGTGTGGCTCAGAGCACAGTCAGGGTGGAGGAGTTTTCTACTGAGACAGGAAGCAGCAAAGAAGATCAACTCTCTCCCCAAAGCCACCACAGAGCAGCTGCAGCAGCACAACGACGTCTGCTCCATCTGCTTTCAGGTGGGCTTGTTGGTTGATTTTACATGTGTGTATTTATACCACTTTTCATTGTATTTATTCGGCAATCAAAATTCATACAATCTCTGGAAAGGACAAGATTGTGATAATTATATACAGTTGTCAATACTTCTTTTATTAGTCATTTTACACTGCAGATCAGTGTGTTTTAGACCTGTGTTGAAAGGTGGGTTAAAGAGGAGGTGTCTTCAATCAGGGGCGACAGTGGCTCAGTTGGTAGAGCATTGGCTCTACCAACACCCACTGATGTCTGCTGCCGTTGTGTCCTTGGGCAAGACACTTAACCCCACTTGAAATCTCCGCTAAAAGATCAAGGCTCTGCTGTCACCGACAGAGCAGCTATCCTCCTGTGGACCCACCCCCTGCAGGAGGATCAGTGAGGAGCTGGTGCTATGTGAGTTGGGACTGCCACCACCGAACCAGAAATAGATTAAGGGGAAGAAAATGGCAGATAAAACAGTTTGTGTCTGAATGCAGCTATACAGTACTTGTTTACACTGAACATGGCTCGGTAGAAAGGGGAGTTGAAAGCTGAATCAACGTGATGCGGTGTGAATGGAAACGACAACCCTGTGTTTTGGTTAAAAACACTGTATGAAATAATGCATCGCTCTAAACTTATGTTTACATATAAACATTTTCAATCTTCAGGGAATTATACTTACATAGTAACACTGAACATCATTTATGTTCCCTAATACATCATTGATCTACTTTCATTTTATCCAGTTCCCTCAGGCCATTTTCTTTCACCGATGATGTTTTATTGTGCGACCGGTCTTGACACATACTGGTTTATTGTCAGGGAAGTGGAAACCAAATTCCTGAAGTGAGCAAAGATCAACTTTAAAGGTGTACTGTAGCTATAGAAAAATGTAATACAATGTTATACAATTTGGTAATCATATCCATTCTACAATGATTACTAATATATCACCTGATTTGTGTGTTTACAGGAAATGAACTCTGCTGTCATCACATACTGTGGGCATTTCTTCCATGGAAACTGTCTTCGAAAGTGGCTTTACGTGCAAGAAACATGTCCAATGTGCCACCAGGCAGTTCGACCCAAAATGGAGGATGATAGCCATGGGACAGATCCCCCTGTTGCAACACCCAGAAATAACCCTGATTTTCCAGAACAGGAAGATTTGAACAACCCAAATGAAGAAAATGAAACTGAAACAAATTTGGATGACCAGGACGCTGAAAAGGATAATGAAAGCAATCAACTAGGTGAAAATAAGGCAGACTCAAGAGGTCTACGATTCAGCTCAAGTGGAGAATTTGTTGGATTTGTAAGCCCAAGTAACTCTACTGACCAGCTTGGTGATAGAGCTCATGCTCCCATACAAAATATTGACGGATGTGGAGATGTACAAAGTTTACAATTGACTTCTGAAGCAATGAATGGAGAAAGTAGTACTAGCTGTAATGCTGAAGAACTCAAAAACAGCTATGTTTCTTGTCTTACTGTGCCACAAAATGTGAACTTTGACATTGTTGAACCTGGAAGAGAAGCTGGTCTTTAGTGTGAGTTGTCAACTGCCTTTAAAAAGTATTCCTCGGTCTAAACTTGAGGTATATTGACAGCAAATATTCAGATGCTGAGAATATGTCAAACCCGTCCCGCAGGTGTGTTGGGGCGTCCCCTTTTTGTGCCTTGAAGGAAGTTGTACAGCGAGTGACCTCCATCTGTGAGGATGTAAACTCTGCCTGTCAATCAACAGAAAATAATTGTACAAGTATCATGTATTCCTAAAGCAGGCTTTGGCATCAGTTTTGTACAGTGAATTGAACTGGTGATACACTTGATCCTGATTCAGTCATGACAAATGTTTCGTTGGTGGTCAGGGGTAAATTACGGTTTAGCACTGAATGTTCTCCGGGTCCTGTTTAACATAGCTCTAGTTTGTCCTTGAATTTGTTTCATTTTTTTTGTTAACTGATATATTTTACCACTAGAATTGCCAATACATGTTTTTCCTGGTTTGAGTTGCTCACAACAAGATGAAAGCCATTAATTGATTAAACATACAAGGAAAAAATATATATATACTATTAGGACCAAAACAGCGTAATATGTAAATGTCAATTCACCACAACAATTTAATGAACATCTATTTATGTCTACTATTAAATTGATTGTCTCTATTTCACATTTTCATTAAAGACTTTTTCATGTATTTCCTGTGTCTTACCCCATCCTAATTGTGCATATATCATATTGTTCTGTTTGAATCAAGTCGTATTTTCATGTTTCTCACACATTCTTTTTTTTTTGTTACTTCTAACAAAGATAAGTTGCACAATGTGAAGAAAATGTAGATTTGTGATGGTATCAATAACTCAAATATGAATAACTTTTTGTGGTTTGTGACTTTGAGGTGCACTGTGATGCACATTTTCTAAATGATACCCTGCTCCACCTTGGGTTACTACTACTTGATTTGTATATCAGGTATCCTATTTTTTATTTTTTTTTAATCTTCAGTTAAATGTATCTGATATCTGACTATATTAACTTTTATCAGATAGTGATAGAGAATTATTTGCAGCTGGTTGTCTGGCAAAAAGGGATACCACATTTGTATGGTTGTTTGAAATGGCATTTCCTGACGCAAGTTGTTCCACGTTAAAAACAAAAAAAAAATACTGTTTCAACTCTATTCTGAACAGCTTGATCTTTTTGTTCATCTTACCCATTTCAAACGGGCGAGATCTATCATTTCTGGGACTTGTTGGTGTTTCTTGTCTAATTAAATGCTGACATGTTGAGGCTGCTGTGTTGTTTGTCAGTGGGCTTGTGTCCAATCTCACATCACAGACACAGGGCCCGCCCCGCTTCACAAACCTTCAAATACATGAGCTCCGCCGCTAGTTGGCCATCAGGCACAAAACCAAAAGGATATTGTTCCTTGCCCGGTTTGCTCCACCTGGCATTTACGGGAAATACTCACACGTAATTGAGGCCCTGACGTTTCTGTATTTAAAGTGAAGATTTGTGAATCATTTGGACGCGCATCTCAGCACTTGGATCAGAGGAAGAACAACTCCGCATTGTCAAGAAAGGCCTTTGGACTGACTGACCCATCAGTGTCAATTGTTCGCATTTGACCAAATCTACCCTGGCATATTCAATTTGCCACTTGGATTGTAAATAACAGATAAGAAGATCAAAACAGAATGGCCTTAAAAAGGATTCAAAAGGTAAGGGGGCCTCCATTACGTTAGCGTTAGCATTAGCATTAGCCTCCTGTCTTCCTGCTGCTAATGCGTAATGGCGGTGCGTTGTTGGAACTGTGAACAGAAACTAAAGATTAAATGGCTATGCAAGTTATATAAAATGGTAATATGTGGCGTGTGTTTATAAATTTGTGTTTATTTGAATTACAATGAAAAAAGCGAAAGACCGTGATAAGCATCAACTGCGAGTAGCTATTTGTGGTTAGCATTTGTTAGCAGTTTAATGTTGCTTCTCCTTTGACGCCGGTTGGAGAACACCGGGCCGCAGACATTGCTCAACATTTCGACAAGACAACAATTGTGTCGAAGTTACGCGAACACAACTTTTATTTAGACCACGTATCGTCTGTGAAAGCCGTCGTAGTTGCCCCATGCTTTGAGGTTTTACTAGAACAAATGAGTCACCGCACTCTGAATGTGCTGAAGCATTTCCTTGGTATGAACGCGTTATTTGTATGATGTCGCAGGGTGTGTGCACTTCATAAAGGGACGCAACAAACTGAGGAAACCGAAACTAAAATGGGGTTAAAGTTGTTTTCAAGAGGTTTGGGGGTTTAGTGTTTTTTCATACGGAACGATGGACACAAGCAATGACACAGGCTTTGTTGGGTGTGCTGATGTGGGACATTTTAAGACTACTGACCCAATACTGCCTTCAATTGTCATCTTCTCGAGCAAAAATAACCGGTTTTGGTTTCGAGTGGTTTTAACTAAACTATATTGTACACATGTTTTTAATACTGTCTTTAATCAATTGGATTTAGGCTGTTTTTGAATGTGAAATGGACATCTGACAGTTCGTTCCTTTTGTGAACTTATTTAAAACATGTTGTATAACCAGAAATATGACAACTGCCAAACAATGGCAGTTTTGCGTAATAACATAAACACGCTGTGTAATAATCATATTTATACCATTTTCAGTTGACTCTGGATTAAAATGATTACCGCGCCAAAGACTATACAGAAATAATGTATAAATATCAATAACATTTCTAGAGTTCTTTTTGTATACTTTCTCTTTTGGTCAACACATTAATTACCTTACTTGTTTGCAAATATCCCGAATAAACATAAACAATGCTCTTTGTGTTTGGCAAGTAAAGTTAGTCCATTAACGAAGTAATCATTGGTCAGACTGCACAAAAAAATGTGTTGACATGAATACAATAATACCTAGTCATATTTTTTCAGGAGCTAACTGACTTGGGTCGTGATCCTCCAGCACAGTGCTCAGCTGGCCCAGTTGGAGATGATAGTAAGTGGATTGTACAAGGGTTTATATCTAATTGTAATTTTTGTGATTTCACATTACGATTAGCTTAGCCACATGTTTCAATAGTTAGTCACAGGCACTGTACACGGTGGTAATGAACAACAATTTTACAAAATCCTAAATGGGCAAGCAGTAAAAAATGTTTGTCGTTAATTTCCTTGTCACTGTTGATTCCCCTTTATTTTAGTGTTGTGATAGTTTATTTTTATTTTTTTCACTAGTGTTTCACTGGCAAGCCACAATCATGGGACCTGTAAGTATATTTATTCAAGCCTACATGAACTGCAGTATTTCAAATTTACCACATCAATCCTATTTACATTAGTATGATTCTATAAATGTTATGTCATTGTGCTAAATTATGTACATGTTTTTTCCACTGTACAGACGGACAGTCCATATCAGGGAGGAGTTTTCTTCTTGACAATTCATTTTCCTACAGACTATCCCTTCAAACCACCCAAGGTACAAATGATTGTGCAAAGTTTACAAAGTGTTAATTAAATTACAATCACGCTTATCTAGCTCAGTGTTTATGTGGGTCCCGCACCGGGTGACTGGCATAAACTTGTCCTGAACACTGGAAAATAATTGTCAAACATCTGGGGTTTATGGAATTTAAGTATTGTAATGAATCACAAATGCCTTATTTTTTTTTTTCATAAAACTGCCAATAACACTTGTAGGATCATATTTAATAAGTTATTCATACACTATTTACTTCATCAAAACTTCCTTATGACTGCCCTTTGTTATGTAAAGGCTGAACTTACTGACTCCTGGGGTGTTCGCTAAACCGGAAAGCAGCCACGGAACACGTTAAGCCTTATCATTAGGGCTGGGCAATAATTTGTGCTGATCAACATTTTTTTTAAGATGAAAGAAATTTAAGATTTTGAAATTGAGGTCAGGATTATGTTTCTTCTAGCCTCTGGTTCTCTGGGGCTATGTAGTTTAAGCCCAATAGTGAAGAGCCAGTGTATACAATAGAGCTGGCCCCTATGAAGTGTTTTCAGAAAAGGAACTATAATATATTTGCTATTTCAACGTTTGTACTTTCATGATCATTAGGGATGGAAATTTGAAAATGTATTTTGAAACTTAGTTTTTCATTACATTTAGGCGACTTTGGTTGTAATCTAGTTTTAAGAGATTTAATTTTACTGGCATATCACCCAGCCCAAATTATGATTGGCTCTGTATACATATTATTAAATATGGGCTTTACTAGTGGATTTTCATGTAAATGTCTTCAAAGAGTGCAGCTCTGCAGCATCTCTGGGTTCAGTGATCCTCCTGAGACGTCAGATTAAAGCAGTATCTACTCACGGAGCTGCGCCATGGATGTTTTGTATCATTAACCGGTACTTCCGTATCGGCAACACTTGTATACAGACACAGTAGAATGTCAACTCTGGATGAAGACATGTGATCAGTACTGCGTCCCCCAATTATAATCCTGGTTTAGCTCTTGTTTTGGTTGTTTTTAGAGTCACTTGGTCTTCCTGTTTTGACTGGCCTGTGTACCCATGACCACTTTGCAAAACATGTCTGCAATGCCGTACTATTGCTGTCCGTTACAGCAACTGTATTACCGCAGTTAATAATCATGTCATATACCGTGACACTTACTCATGTGAATGATAATGCTCATTCCTCATAAATCTCTCTTGCTGCACTGATTTTTGACATTTTTATGTTTAATTTAATTTGCAACTTTCTATCCTCCCTCAGGTGGCTTTTACAACACGAATTTACCACCCAAATATTAACAGTAACGGCAGTATCTGTCTGGATATTCTCAGATCACAGTGGTCTCCTGCACTTACTATTTCTAAAGGTAAGACTTTGCTGTAACTAAGGTGATCGATTGGTCACTAATCCTGATCACAGGAAAAAAGTAACGGACAATACCATATCTGTATGCATGTGTTTGGCCATGCTTCAGTCACACTACATGCTTCTCTTAAAAGAGCAACCTGCATGGCCCTGCCCACTACATCTGGTCTACATGGTCACTTTTCTGTCCTATGAAATTAGTGTTATCATGAACAAAGGCTGGCTGATACCTGTGGCATGTTATACTTTTCCTATTAAATACAATAAACTCTAGTTCTTTCAATCCATGTTGGGGTTCTTTTATATTTACTCGCAATTTATGTATTTTGGACTGAATAAATTCTGTCAAGACACCTGGCTTATTCTCACAGACATGCTTGATGTTTTTTTTTGTCTGCACAAAATGTGATTTTTGAGGTTTTTGACTGCTTGCATGTCATCAGTTTGGGGGGGTTAAGCCCATATCCAACCAGAAAGTGGTATCCAGGTCATCCAGTTTTAAACTGGGGGAAAACCTAGGCATATAGTTTTCATAAATCCATGTAAACAATAACTTTTGAAGCAAGAAGTCTTGTCATGTCATAAAAGTTAATCGGTGTATACAAGCTATTGAGCAGTGCAATCCTGTAAACATTGTGAATCATGTTTTTCCCCTTCCTTTCAGTTCTTCTGTCCATTTGCTCACTGCTGACTGATCCCAACCCAGATGACCCCTTAGTGCCAGAGATCGCACGAATCTACAAAACTGATAACTCAAGGTATGCCTTCATCTCACCACTGGTTTTCTTATTTCCCACTTAATCTGGTGTTTTGTGGATGCTTTGGCCTAGTTTAGTATATCGACGTAACTGAGCCCATATAGATAATCCTGATTTCACCCTGTCAGGTACAATAAATTAGCTCGGGACTGGACAAACAAGTATGCGACATAAGGTAAGTCGGAGCCAGCAGAAGCGGCCGGGTCGTGTTTTGCAAAGCAGGTTTAATCTCAACTCTGAGCTAGTCAACCCTGAAATGAGGCCTTTGCAGAGTTTGTGAGAACGTTGCTGCTACTGACTAAGGAGCATGACTTAAAGATGTCTCGATCAAGGGCCTGTCTTGAACCTTTTTTCAATATCATATTAATGGTTTAGGCATGTTAAATGATAGATTGATGCAGATTTGGTGTTCCTGTGGTAATTTTGACACCTGACCAAGCATGGTTCTAGATCTGGACATGTTCAACAGCTTTGAAGGATGGGTAAAATATAGTGCGCTAAATAACGTTGGTTTACAATCAACTTTTGGCAATACATAAGGATCACTGTTATTTTAGTTAGGATTATTAGTTGACAATAAATGTGAACTTAGCTGGATTGTTGTCATGGTTCTTCCTCTTTGTTTGGTGAACTGTATTTTCCTCTGCTTCATTTTGCGTTGACATAACTTGGGTCTTAGAACATGAACCCACAGGAATTAACTAAACTCAGAGTTTGTCGAAACCTTCTTTGTGAAACAGACCCTGTATTTGTCTGTAGTTTTTATTTTATTATCATTCATTGGACATCTTGAATGCAACATTTTAGTCTCATTAATTTAGTACTCAATGTTTCTGTCCATTTTGGTGGATGATTACTTGGTTTGGTGTTTACTGTGGTTTACAATGTCAATTAAGAAAATGGCTTTTGTTCAGATTTAGCCATTAAAACTGGACTGGGCCTGTGCATGTTTGTGTGGGAATGTTTTAAGTATTTTTGCTTTGCGCTGGTGACAGAAGGAATAGTTTTGTTGGCCAGGTAGAATAAACTTGAGTTGGGTTTGATTTCTTGTATGACTAAAACCTGGACTTTTGGCAAAGCTACCCAGGTGACTATGTTCTTTGGTCAAATTTAACTTCACAAAATATACTTTGGTTAAACTTGGTGTACTAAACTTAAGTCCATGGATTGGTATTTGCCACACATGTACTGTTGGGACAAGATTATCATGGGAGCCAAACATTGACTTAGATTTTAAGACCACTCGTAGTCTACCAAGTGAAGGCATCTGTCGACACTAGTATACGAGGAAGAGTGGCACATACAGTGGGGCAAAAAAGTATTTAGTCAGCCACCAATTGTACAAGTTCTCCCACTTAAAATAATGAAAGGGGTCTGTAATTTTCATCATAGGTACACTTCAACTGTGAGAGACAGAATGTGAAAAAAAATCCAGGAATTCACATTGTAGGATTTTTAAAGAAGAAAAAATTCAACTCAATACTTTGTCATATAACCTTTGTTGGCAATAAGAGGTCAAACAATTACTATAGGTCTTTACCAGGTTTGCACACACAGTAGCTGGTATTTTCTCCATGCAGATCTTCTAGAGAGCAGTGAACACGGACTTTCAACTCTCCACAGATTTTCAATGGGGTTGAGGTCTGGAGACTGGCTAGGCCACTCCAGGACTTTCAAATGCTTCTTACGGAGCCACTCCTTCGTTGCCCGGGCGGTGTGTTTGGGATCATTGTCATGCTGGAAGACCCAGCCACGTTTCATCTTCAAAGCTCTCACTGATGGAAGGAGGTTTTGGCTCAAAATCTCACGATACATGGCCCCATTCATTCTTTCCTTAACACGGATCAGTCGTCCTGTCCCCTTAGCAGAAAAACGGCCCCAAAGCATGACGTTTCCACCCCCATGCTTCACAGTAGGTATGGTGTTCTTGGGATGCAACTCAGTATTCTTCTTCCTCCAAACATGACGAGTTGAGTTTATACCAAACAGTTCTACTTTGGGAGAATGTCATGTGGTCAGATGAAACCAATCCTCTGTTGTATCATCCATGTGCTCTCTGGCAAACTTCAGACGGGCCTGGACATGCACTGGCTTCAGCAGGGGGACACGTTTGGCACTGCAGGATTTTGATTCCCTGACATCGTAGTGTGTTTTCTGATGGTAACCTTTGTTACTTTGGTCCCAGCTCTCTGCAGGTCATTCACCAGGTCCCCCCGTGTGGCTCTGGGATATTTGATCACCGTTCTAATGATCATTTTTGTCCCCACGGGATGAGATGTTGTGATCGAGGGAGATTATCAGTGGTCTTTTATGTCTTCCATTTTCTGATAATTGCTCCCACAGTTGATTTGTTCACACCAAGCTGCTTGCCTATTGTAGATTCACTCTTCACAGTCTGGTCCAGGTCTACAATTCTTTTACTGGTGTCCCTCGACAGCTCTTTGGTCTTGGCCATAGTGGAGTTTGGAGTCTGACTGTTTGAGGCTGTGGACAGGTGTCTTTTTATTAATGGCACCTGTTTGAACTAGTCATCTGTATACAGGTAACAAGTGGAGGACAGAAGAGCTTCTTAAAGAAGTTACAGGTCTGTGAGAGCCAGAGATCTTCCTTGTTTGAAGTGACCAAATACTTATTTACCACCATAATTTACAAATAAATGCTTTAAAAATCCTACAATGTGAATGCCTGGAATTTTTTATTCTTTTTTTTTTTTTTTTCTTTCATTCTCTCAGTGTGTGCCTACGATGAAAAGTACAGACCTCTATGAAAGTTCTCCCACTTAAAATAATGACAATCGGTGGCTGACTAAATACTTTTTTGCCCCACTGTAATATGAATCCACACAGTGTAATGTAGTTGTCAGTTTTCATACACTAGGAACAAAGCTACATTTTTCACCTGGGATAACTTGGAGAAATGTCTTTGTCTTCTTTAAAATCATGTAAAGTGTGAGGGCTTGTTGTGAGACAGTACTTGGAATCATGTGAACACTCAAACCTCAACTGGACTCCAGGAGTATCTGTCTGATTTCTAGGTGCGAGCTTGCTGTTAAAACTGTTGGTTCGAACATTTGCTGACTTGGTTGGACTTCCCAGAAAGTTCAATCTTGTAAATTGCATAACCTTCCCCTTGAACCCATTATAAGCAAAAACAATTTCTGAAGCTTATTTAAAACTAAACTGAAATGCAATGATGCATTATGAACGCAACCTATGTCTTCAGAGTGGCACTAGGTCCAAAGCGGTGCATGAACCATTTTTAGATTACCGGCATGACTGTCATTATATCCATATATTGTGTAGCAGGCGTTTAATGTCTTGTTTTTTCTTTTCAGATACAGCAAAACTGCGAAAGACTGGACACAAAAGTATGCTATGTGATGGGACCATTTACGAAGCTGGACACGTGAAAATTGCTGGTTCAGATTTGAAAAAAAAATTCCTATTCTTTTTCACCTAGACTTTTTTTTTTTTTTTTCTTTTTTTTGTTAATCAAAGCATTTTACCCCTTTTCCTCTCCAACTGCAGCGCTCATAAGATGGTGTTTTCTCTCTAGGACACGTGCCAGTTTTAAATGGCGTTTCCAAAATCGCCGTTACATTTTTGAGCTTTTTTCCCCCTTTGATTTGGTGGGTTGGATGTATGAGCACTTGAGTGATTTTGTTTTTTTTTCTAAACTTGTAATTTTAAAAAGTTGTGGTCTAAAAATGAATAAATATTCAAAGCTCTTAAAGTTTTGGGCTATCTGGTTCTAGTCCTCTTCTATAAAGTAACATCAAGTTTATTATCATTAGCATAGCAATACACACATTGACAATAAAAAAAATGTCTAATTCACTTAAAGTGTACAGAGAAACACAGCAATATATCAATGTTAAGGAAATATAAAAAAAACATTGTATTTTATGCATGTTAATAAAGTTAGGCTATTATATCTGAAAGTGTACGGTGGATTGTAAAGCAGAGGAGTTTTGACACGTTTCCCTTCAAATATTTTTTTTTATTTTTATTATAGAAGAAGCCAGTAATGGGAGCTCTTGGTTCTAAGCCCACTTGGACATTGTCTTCTTGTAGCCCTTATGAAGATTGACACAAAGCTGATGGTTGATAATCAACTCGTGGCTCTGTTTCTTTTTAGTTTCCCTTCAATAAAGCTACTTAAAACCAGAAATGTTGACTCAACTTTTTTTCAAAGCACAAAAGTTGTCGAAACTGTTTAAGTAAACCTTTTAAAGTCGTGTGGTGTATGTTTGTCCACCATTGGCACACATTCACTGGAATGATGAATGGCTTATAATTGTTGCACTTGGGTGGTCAACTATGGTATGATTGAAAACGACTGATCTAGTTAGAGGGGTTATTATAAAAGATCCATGGTTAGAGCTCGGTTCAGCAGTTTTTAAATTTTTTGCTCGGCTATTTGTAGACTGCCATCCTTCCGAATAAACTGAAACAAGTGTTTAAACAAAGGTCTTCGATATAATCTGTTCTTACTTCTGATGCTTTTGACACATGGAACATACATTAGTATGTAACGTCACATTTATTAGCTTATTTACTTTTTAGTCCGCACTTCCGGTTTTTCCCTCTTCTACGTAGATCAGCTGATTCACAATCACGTGGGCGGAAATACTAAAACAATTGGCAAAGCCAAGACGTTTTTCTATCGCGGCTTTATAAATTCGACATGACATTTGGCGACCTTTTTATACATCTTTTGCTGTTTTTATACTTTGGTTTTGTATCCGGAAGTAAACTTTCCCTGGACGGTAAATGGAAGCTGCAGAACACGAATGGGTCTGTGACTTTGGGAGCACAGGTCCCAGGATGTGTGCACTCTGCTTTGCTGCAACAGGGACTCATCCAGGTAAGAACATTCTTTTTAACGATTCCGATGTTCGTTGTAATTCACTATTACAAGTAAACTTGGTAATGAACGTTACAACTACGAATCCGGATGATCAGAAGGAATGAAAAATTAGATCAAACTGATTCTTTTAAAAGTTCACAAACTGGTCGAGGATGGCACCAATGGTGTAGGTTTGGTTCCAATCTTGGTGGGGACATTCACTACGACCTGAGTCTACACCCATTGACACGGGGTCCAGAGTTTCTCCCCCAGAATTTGTTGTGTAATCACACACTATATTTGCAATAGTGTGTTGCCTTCTATACTAAACTCAGCTGTAGACTGAATGAGAAGCAGTTAAGGATTTTTTCTAATAGTTAAAACAAAATCAATTGGATCAGAGCTTCTGAGTTTTGTGTTGCGTTCATTCTAACTTTGTCCACAAGATGGCTTAAATGTTTATAGTAAATAAGATAGTAAGTATATCCTGTATTCAGGATCAGGCTGATATGGTTAACAACCTATCTCAAATATGCTGTCCCTGGCACTTTCTTGAGAGTGACTCTCATTGGCTGCCTCCTAAATAGCAAATACACTGTTATGAAACTTTAAAAAATCCCATATTTTATCTTCATAATTCCAGCCTCACCTGAAGCCCAGCTTCGATATCTGCCTGCACTACATCTTCCCTGAATACCTGAGTTCCCTATAATAAATAAAACACATGTAGTACATTAAACAAATCAGATCTAATCATATACAAAATAAAACCACCAACAAAACCAAATAAATACTTTCAACCTCACCTGAAGCCCTGAAGGTCCAGCCACTTCCTCATCCTCTACCAGCACTGCACATTCCCTGTTTGTCTGACTTTCCTTTATGGTATTAATAAAAACACACATTCTACATTGAATAAAATGAAACCTAGGCATGGTACACCAGTCGCTAAATATCTCATGAAACTAGAATTGGTTGATGGGTTTAAGATTTTAACTGCTTAATCCTAACCTCACCTGGAGTCCTGTCTTGTCCTTGTCTTTATCTCCTTCTTGAATTTCCATTATATCTCTCAGAATGTTTGCATCATTATAGTAGTAAAATATGTTGTAATTGGCATAGGTAATTTCCAACCAAATGATGTTCTTTAACTTTAGTATGATTCTATACTGACTTAAACCTAATCCAAATCTACATAATAGCCCTCACCTGAGGCTCTAACAGTTCAGGAACTGCTCTCGATACTTGAAATAAATCATGCTCTGATCTTTCAATTTCCTATAATAAATAAAAACAGAGGAGAAAATATTGAATTAGAATCTACAGTGAGTAGCTCACTACATTGTTTGACATATACGATCAATCTCTAAAAACAATTCATAGTCCCATGCATACCTACAAAATTCCAACCTCGCCTGATGCACTGAAGGGCCTGTTGCTTCTACCTCAACATTCCCTATATTGTTCTCTCTTGTTGGTTGAGTTTCCTATGTATGTTAACAGAAGATTAATCATCACAATTCATAATTTGCTATTACTTGTGCTTTCTCTTACTTACTTTCCAACTGTTAAAAAAGATCCTGATATCTTTTATCTTTTTTTGTGGAGGTGGCATTTTTTCTAAATTATATAAGAAGGTATAGACAATCAAAAACAGACATTCATATACATGAACTGCAGAATCATTTATATAACTTGGCCAATGTCAAAAGTTACATAGTATTTCTCAATACAATGAGTTAACAAGAGTTTGGCAATAAGTAACAGTGTGGATTTTTCTATATTTTCTTTTTTTTATTCCACTCTCAACCCAAAAAGGCAAGTAATGACTCACAGGGCTCTCAAGTATGCAAAATAAAAACTTAAATGACCTGTTGTGGTGTGTTTTGCGCACAACCAGCATGCATCGTTAACGCAATGAAAAATTTACGTATCCGAGCTTTAATTTCGGGAGCGCTGGTTGCGCTTTGGGAAGAGTCAGGGGAGAGACATGTCAGAGACACAGGGGAGAAACGGGGGAGATACGAGGGAGACCCGCACTTGCAACATGGTTCTGTCTGCATATGGTCCGAGCTCGGTACCATGTTAGAGCTGTGCTTTCACTGAGCGCCGCGGCTGTCATTACAAAGCGGCAGCAGCTGCACCAGGACGTGCACATTCGAGTGCATCGCTTGAATGTGCTTAGAGCAAATAACAGCAAGTGCCCGCTGTCACACATTTCACAGAAATTACATTATCAGCAGATAAAGGTTGTAAATCGTGGATCCGTGGAATATTTTCATCCCTAGTTTATCCTGATTCACACAACACACCCACTTATACATTTTGGATAGTAAGAGCACAATAAGTATTTTTTCAGCCTTTCAACCAACCTGTTTCTTTATTGGAGCCAGTTCTGTTCTGTCTCTGTGCCGTGTGAGCTCCTCGGAACATTAAACAGTGCGCTGACAGATTAGAAATAACGTAAGTACTTTGAATGGTAATAGATCTACAGTACTTTCCTCTGATTACTCACGTGCTACAACGCTCAGGGAACGAAAAAAAAACACTTGCTTCACGCTGGCTAACTTTTGAAAATTAAACAGTCGCTCAGTGCTTCAGTTTGGCGCTGAAGAAGACAGCCAATCACTGCAGAGAACGGAACGGGTCACGTGCTGCTGCTGCTGCTGTTGCTCTGGAGGCGAGGAGGAGGCGCGACGTATGCACAAACGGAAGACATGTGTCCCGGACCGTCCGGGTCACGGGACATCATGTCATTTTGGTGGGGACTTTTTAGTCCTCACCAAATATTGGTGGGGACATGTCCCCATGGTCCCCACGCAAACGTACGCCCTTGGATGGCACTATGTTTTTGTTGTTACTTTGATCATAGAAAGGAGTATTATTTAATAAGTTAATTTGTAGACTTGAATTACTGAATCGTATACTCTACATATTTTATGGGATTAATAGATGCAGTACATATTTGACCAGTTATAGAACAGTAGGAATGAAGAGCACACAGCACGAGATGGCAATAACTACATTTTAACAATCAAATATTTATAACTTTAGCATGATATAGAAGAAAGTCAGCATCACTGTATATTCTAGTGCAAGAATTATGTAGTTGTTTGTATACATCTTACATGGAGGCAGCATGAGGGTTTGGGACAAAGTGGCTAGGTAACATGACAGTGGACACATCCAGGTGGATCCATACAGCCCATTCTGACATTTCATATTATTGTACAGATGCATGCCATGCTCATTGTTCGTTGTACTCAAATTCATTACAAAATAGGGCTGGGCGATATGGCAAAAAGTAAAATCTCGATTTTACTTCCTGCTTTGGACGAGTTTGATTTTTAATCGATTTTTGTTAAAGTCACCGAAGACAGACTTTGCCCTTTGCCCATATTCAAGTTTCAAAACTATTTTTAATTAGTTTCCCCCAATACGTATCATAAAAGTTTTGCACAGACTGTGCTGATATTGCAAGTATTTCATGTGCTGCTGGAACTCTCTCTCAAATCCTTCATTTGATTTCACGATTTTCACATTTTTCACATTTGATTTTTTCAAAAGCCACTTAATTGCCTAAATTCGATTTATTGCCCAGCCCTAATACAAAACACTTTTCTCTGGTGGTTCATTTTTTCGGCCACACATACTAATACTTCTCTCACTGAAATTAAGCCTTTGGTTTTTATGAATCATTTTTGTTTATTCCAGGATCCTTATTACAGATTCAATGATGGGTTATATCAGTGGATTGCGTTAGAAAACTGGACTTACAGCTCAACATTTTCTCTCATCTCACCATTCAGGTCTGTGTGCTATATCATTCAGAATTCTCTGAAACACATAACATTTCTTGTGTTGGGGAGGCCATGTACCAATTGTACCATGGAAACAAGGACCCATGCTAGATTTACAAATATAGCAGGAATGTCACAATATTTTCCTCTGAACTGTCTCTTTGATCAAATAAATATAATATATTCTAACAGGCTTAAAAAGAAGGTGTTACTTATCTTCGATGGCATTGACACTATCTCCACAATTTCACTAAATGGCATTACATTGGGAAAGACCGACAACATGTTTCAGAGATATGTACGTACTTGAGCACACACTTTCCTTTTATGACTTTCATTGCATTGAATTTAATTGTTTTCCAAAAAAGGACTTTTCTGTCAGAGGAATTCTCAAAGACACAGATAATATTCTTGAAGTGAGTTTGACTTCTCCGGTTCATTACGCCCAAGAACAGAGGAATCAGTCGTGCTACAGAGTCCCCCCTGAGTGTCCCCCGGATGTGCAAAAAGGACAGTGCCATGTCAATTTTATCAGAAAGGCAAGTAATGCGCCTTAATACTGTTTTTTCCCACGGTAAAATTACTATATATACATGTTGTGCCTTCTGTGATAGGAAACCTTTAAGATTTAAATAATTTAATTAGTCTAAATAGGAAAAAGGTGCCTTGCCCTCTTCAGGTGGGTGGAGAGGTCCTTCCTCAAGTGGAGGAGTTCAAGTATCTCGGGGTCTTGTTCACGAGTGAGGGGAGGATGGAGCGTGAGATTGACAGGCGGATCGGTGCAGCGTGCGCAGTGATGCGGTCGCTGTATCGGACCGTTGTGGTAAAGAGGGAGCTGAGCCGAAAGGCAAAGCTCTCAATTTACCGGTCAATCTTTGTTCCCTCCCTCACCTATGGTCATGAGCTGTGGGTAATTACCGAAAGAACGAGATCGTGGATACAAGCGGTCGAAATGAGCTTCCTCCGCAGAGTGGCTGGGCGCTCCCTTAGAGATAGGGTGAGGAGCTCGGTCACACGGGAGGAGCTCTGAGTAGAGCCGCTGCTTCTCCACGTCGAGAGGAACCAGTTGAGGTGGCTCGGGCATCTGTTCAGGATGCCTCCTGGACGCCTTCCTGGGGAGGTGTTCCGGGCACGTCCCACCGGGAGGAGGCCCCGGGGAAGACCCAGGACACGCTGGAGGGATGTCTCTCAGCTGGCCTGGGAACGCCTTGGGGTCCCCCCGGACGAGCTGGAGGAGGTGTGTGTGGATAGGGAAGTCTGGGCGTCTCTGCTTAGACTGCTGCCCCCGCGACCCGGCAACGGATGAAGCGGAAGAAAATGGATGGATGGATGGATAGTCTAAATAGAATAAGAGGAAGTTTTTGATTTAAAAAAATCAATGATATTGGTTTGTTCTCTGGAGTAAGGGTTTGTCTGTAAATTGTATATGGACCAGAACATAAAGGATACTATACAATTAGTAGTTGCACGTAACTATAAGGTGAGATGGTGTTTTAACTTGTTCTTGTTTCTTTTCTTTAATATTTTATTATATTGTATTTTTGTACTTTTTTTTTTTTCACGTCTCCAGGAACAGTGCTCCTTCAGCTGGGACTGGGGCCCATCTTTCCCAACAGTGGGACTCTGGAAAGGGATTCGTCTTGAGACGTTTGACCAGTTTCAAATCCTCCAGGTTTCGGCCGTTCCTCTTCTCAGTAGGTGGCGTTCAAATGACGTATCTGAAGATATGCCATTGGTTTCATGTGTCCAAATACCATTTTTAATGTAATCTTAAAATATTGTGAAAATCTATATAAATAAATAATAATTGGCTGAGACAAAATAGTTTTCTCTAAAGCACAGATTTCCCCCCAATAGATTCCAGTGGCACTCAGTGGACGGTTGACGTGGAGTTGGTTGTGGATGCCGTTTACACAATGGACAATATGCTTGTGACTTCGGCCATACCAGGACTGATGTCTGTGGAGTCCCATCTGGTCCAGTTTGTGATGGGGAGGAGCAAAGTCAAACTAGTCTTACACATAGACACGGTACAATTCACAGTCTTGTTTGATTACATCTTTACATAATTGAGTTTAATGTCTATTATTTTCATAGAAAAGTAAGGTGAAGCTGTGGTGGCCAAGAGGACATGGTGATCAGACATATTACTATGTCTTGATTAGAGGTTATCTGAAAGAAGAGATGATCTTTGATACGTCTGCAATGGTAAAGATTTAAAATGGAACGTGGAGTGATTGCTAAGATGGGACTTAAAACAAATCTTTGCACAAGGTAATTTAACTATGGTGGTAATTTTACTTCATGGATCAACTTTAAAAATACTTCCAAATTGCCTTTACACCAGTGCCTAACATAGAAGAGCAGACATTACACTAAATTTTATTATTAATGATTTAGAAATTACCCAAACCTTTCAGCCCCAAAGGTCTATAAAACCAACTCGTGACCCACACGAATATCATAACACCTGATATGATAAAAAAAAAAACATCCGTTAAATTTGTTTATTCACTGCGCTATTTGTCTGATAACTTTTAAGCTATATTAGATAAGTTAGCTATGCTTGTGTGTGCGCCTCAGAATCTATCCTATAATAAATAGCCCCAAACAAGCTCAAATTGACAAATAGATTTTATAGATAACATTATATTTATTGACCTTTATTTAAACCAGGTAAATCCCACTGAGATGTTACAATCTCTTTTCAGGGGAGTCCTGTCCCCAGGGGGCGGGAGTGCGGTCGAGGAGGGTGTTACGGGGGACAACATTCGGTTTACCTGACACGTCAAATAATCGATACATTAATAATATATTCTTTATTATTTCAGGTTTATTTCCGTACTGTTGAACTAGTCCAGGAGTCGATCCCAGGCTCTCCAGGACTGAGTTTTTATTTTCGCATCAATGAGAAACCGATTTTCCTAAAAGGCTCCAACTGGATTCCACCTCACGCCTTTCAAGACCAAGTCACAGAAGAAACGTGAGGTTTTTATTTATTATTCATAATATTGTTGTGTATTTATACATCAGTGTAAATCATTTTATCTAAAGGTTGAGGAACTTGCTACAGTCTGTGGCAGATGCCAATATGAATGCCCTCAGAGTCTGGGGTGGAGGAGTGTATGAGCAGGACCTGTTCTACACTCTCTGTGATCAAAAGGGAATCATGGTAAGTATAAAGCATACATTTTCATCCCTAATTGTTGTATTTTCAAATATTAGACATTTTCATTTATTTTCTCGACTAAAGATACAATTCACATTTTTGTCTTGGTATTTGAGTTGGATGGCATTTCAAAACCCCCTCTGTAAGACCTTTTGGTTTATGCCTTTACAACATTTTACAACATTTGTTTTAAGTAGTTTTATATTAGTTTAGCATGTCATTTTAAACTTTGAAATGAAACTGAATTGCAAAGTTGATATTTTGCCTAAATGGTTCAGCTCTGGTGTGACCAAATCACAAGCAAATAACGGCAGAGAACTCAACTGGATCTACGGGCTTTTCCTCACAAGGGTTTCAGAATTCATGATACTGCTTTTGAGGAAATGTTATTGCAAAAATATAAGGAATACTTTGCCATATTTGATTATGCGATATAGGCCTCAACAAGCGTTATATATTTATCCACAATATCAAAACATGATGTCTGCAACTTGTCTTTCATAATTGTATTTCAATTTGAAAAGAATTCATACCATGTAACCCTGTAGCATCATCTTTATTTAGTATTTTTTCCTAATATACTTAAAACAGTCCCTTCCCTTGGAAAAAGCATCACCAAAAATATTTTCTGGCTGAGAATAGTAAGAACAATGGTGAGGGGCCTCAGCTGTCTATCAAGGATTTTACTTAATTGCATCCAATCAGGAACCTGCGGGGACGGGTTTAATGTAAATGTAAAAATGTAAATAATAACTCTTGGTGGGTTTGTTTTTACTATCTTTAATGTAAAATAATAGAGTATACAAAATACATACAAAAGGAGCGTAAAACAAAGGTATTTTAGCCATACTGTTATACCATAATACAAAATACTGTTTAATGCAGGTATTCAGTATTCTGTGCCTAAATACATTGGTTATAGGTGTGGCAGGACTTCATGTTCGCTTGTGCCTTATATCCAACTGAGAAGAACTTCATACAGTCAGTGAGAGAAGAGGTCATTCAACAGGTACATGTATGCTCCATCTGATCGTACACAAGAAACCAAATAAAGATTGCTACATCATCATGTTTCTTGGTTCTAGGTCCAGCGTCTGAGGCCTCACCCCTCCATAATAGTGTGGAGCGGCAATAACGAAAACGAGGCAGCGCTGGCGACAGACTGGTTTGACATCCCCGGGACCCAAAGACCCAAATATGTGAACGATTATGTCACGCTCTATGTGAACAACATACGAGACATTGTTCTCAAGGTGAGATCGCACAAACACAGATAAATCTACTCTATTTAAATCAGTTTCCAATAAAAAGGTAGTTTTCTTTTCATTACCAAAAAGAGCTCAAGTGATGCCCCTGGTGGTGAACATGCTAGAGATGACTTGTTTGATTAATAATACTCATTAAGAGACAAAACGCATTATCCATCTTAGCCCCCACCCTCTCGAGCTCTTTCTCCTTCACCGCAGAAACTCAGACTCATTATAGGCAAGGCAAGGCAAGGCAAGTTTATTTGTATAGAACTATTCATACACAAGACAATTTGAGGTGGTATGATTGTCAATCCGAATTCAGCAAGAATACTTCCTTCCTCTACTTTAAAATGGACTTTTCATTCAACAGAGAAGTTCCTGGCTGGGTGATCTTTCACAACTTTAACATGTTTTTATTGCCACTCAGTTCTAAATGTATGCCACAAAGGAATCCAGTTGAGAAGAATGTTTGGTGGAATTTAAGCTGTAGTGAGCATTGGTTCTGGCCTGGTGGGACGAGTTATCCCCCTGCTTGAACAAACAGGAAGCCAAAAATCCTATCTGTTTCATTGTTCACAACAGGAGGACCCCAGTCGCCCGTTCCTTGTGTCCAGCCCCACGAACGGAGTGGAGTCGGAGAAAGAGGGCTTCGTGGCTCTGAACCCATACGACCCGCATTACGGAGACACACACTTTTACAGCTACACTCACGACTGCACCGACTGGACCAGCTTCCCCAGGACCCGCTTTGCCTCAGAGTACGGCTTCCAGTCATGGCCCTCGCTCTCCACACTGCGCCCGGTAACGTCACTTATACTCTCATGGTTCTTGGCTAGGATGTCGGATCAGATTTTAATCATTATTCTCAATGGAGAGCAAAGGTGATTGTAAGTTGTATCAATATTTTTGTCTTTCAAAATCCAGACGACATAGTGGTCATCCAGATTGATGGTTTTTATTTGTCTACCCCTTTTGCTATTCCACTTCATTCTGCATTATAGTTTAAGCTTGAGCTGTGTCCTGGAGTTAGGAGTTCATGCAGCAATTCTATTCTTTTGCACTTATAACAATAAAACATGTGATTTTTTTTTTTTTGGTATTATATGGACCTCCATATCCCAGCACATTTAATAAATCGAATGTATTTACAAAACACAATTTATGTTTAACCTCAATCTTGCATTAGAAAACAGACAATAAAATCTTGATTTATATATGGTCATATGCAAACAGACGGTTTAAATGTGGCATGTCTTACAAGCTCATGAAGTTTTTAGCTGCATGAATCTGAAATGCCCCCATGTTTAGTCCAAACCTTTGGCTGATTTTCTACGTTTCTTTTTGTGACTTGTAGGTTTCTATAGAAGACGACCACAAATACGACAGTGCCTTCTCGTCCCATCGGCAGCACCATGACAACGGGAACCAGCAGATGTTAGACCAGGCAGCGCTGCACTTCCACCTCCCCAACTCCACGGACACTTTCCAGAAATACGTGCACACGCTCTACATCACACAGGTCAGAAATACACTGTAATACCAGTTTGTATTGGCTTGAATTAGGATTTCGAAGTTGTGCCCAAACAAATGAAAGGTATACAAAAAAACAATAATAATAATGATAATAATGATAATGATAATAATAATAAACTCGCATTGCTTCAGTTATAAGTTATATCCATGACAGAGAATAATAATAGTACATATACCTTTCAGTTTTAAGTAATATTTATGGAATTCATCCAATTGAAATGGTTTGTTTAGACTTGTAAAGACTATATCATACATAGGGTTTTTGAATCTCTGCTGGATCTTCTGGCCGTAGACTGTAAATGAGGAACTATTTTTACACTTACAGAGCGACTAAACACCTGTGCCCAGCCGTACTCTGCCCACATGAAGATTTGAAAATGTTCTCTTAAAAGGGCGTTGCCTGGAGGACCAAGGGACAAGAAGGGGGCTTAGAGATGGGCGTGGTCTGGGCTGTGATTGCCAGCTCACTTGTCACACAAAAAAAAACAGTAATGCTTAAAGCATTAGTTTACAGACCAGAAATTCTCATTCCACCCTTGTTTACACACTAAGATAATTGTAGAGCTACACACCTGAACCTAATCCACACAATTATCTCAGAATTACTCATGTAATTTCATTTTAAACCACTAGATGTCGCCAGAATACTCCAAATTACTCCTGGGGCGTGTGTGAGAGTTGAATGGGTTTATATCACTGGCGCAGACAGACTGACGTCACACATACCAACTGACGTCACACAGTATTACAGAGTCAATGAAGAGGCCTGGACCAAATTCAAATGTAGAACCACCAAAAAAGGTAGGGAGGGCGCCACACAGACGTTTTTTTGGCTCAAAAGTGAGATTTTATCGAATTTGAACTAAAATGTCAAAAAAATGACCAGGATATGTAGAGAGCACTACAATTAACAAATTTATGCAGTTTATGAATAATAATAAAGTTGATTTGGTGTTTAGTTGCTCTTTAAATTTAGAAACCAGAATCAAGGACATTAAGTATGTCCTTACACATCGTAAGCAAGATTTGTTATTTAAGAGTATTTAAACGTATACTCCAGGTCAAGTTGAGTCTTGCGTTTCCACTGTACTTAACGCAGGGCTGGACTGGCCATCGGGCGTACCGGGCAATGCCAGAAGGGCCGATGCCCATATTTGGGCCGGTCTGTTTGCCTCATACAAAAAAGATGTTTGTGAAAAGTGTAAATCCGTTGAGAACTGTTCGAGGGGGCGCGCGTGTCCGCGGGGCACCTGCTGTATGTACTGGAACGGGATTCTACCACCTCAGCGGCCGCAGTGTTCCGGCATCCAGCGGCTCTGAGCTGGACGCGGGAACCGCTCACCGGGAGCCGCTCACAACACGGTGAGCGTGTAGCCGCAACGTGCCCATGTACCCAAGACCATAAACGTGCACAGGACCATGCGTGTCTTTGCGTAATTTGTGCACCCAATAAATACACCGCTGCAGAAAACAGTCCGCGTCTCCCTCTCCTCTCGAAGTGCGACTAAATTAAAGCTCGGGTGCCTAAATTTCCCATAGCATTAAAAGTTCATGTTTGATGTTTGATGAAATGTTGTGAAAAAATTAAACAGATTTAGAGCCAGCCAATGGCTGACATTATGCATTTCAGTCTTTCTTGACCAATTCTCATCCCTGTAACAAACAACAGTGTTGTCTGCGTCCACCTCCCTCACTCTGAGACATGTTTATTACTCTCTTGTAATGTAGACTATTGCACTTTATTTTTTTGTTGAAACTGTAGACATCCTGAATCTCTACAGTATGCTTCCACATACTGTATAAACCAGGGGTCGGCAACCTTTAGTGCTCCTCCAGTGGCTCCTGGAGCCTTTTCAAAAATGTCTGAAAATGGAGTGGGAGGGCTATATTTTATTCCTAGTTTGAATGTGGTTTCTGTGGGAGGAAAAACATTCCTAACGTATTTCAATGCTGTAAAAATGTGTATAAGTAATATTCAATTTCAACATTTCTGTCAACGTAGTGAGTCATATCCTGTGGCGCGGCCCCGCGGCAGACGGCCGCTGCTGTAAACAAACCGGCGTGTGCGCACGGATCCCAAAGATAAAAAGAGAACGAGTCGATAATAAGACTGGACTAAGAACAAGACTGAACATTTGCTTTTAGTCAATGAGGAAGGACTGCTTCATGTTTGCGATGTAATAGGAAGTTTTGTTGCAACACGAGGAACAATGAAGCACTAAATACCGTTCACAGGGATTACGTGAAGGATTCTTTCATACAAAATCCGGAGCACCTTTTTCAGACTTCAAAAACCTCCACAAAGACTGTGAAAGAAAAGGCCATTAAGGACATTCAGCTCCAGCAAACTTCAGCCTGTGACGTAATCGATATGAGTGGACAGTGCAGGTGTGTGACCTTTGAGCCAAAAAGCAGATTTATTTACTGTATTTCTACAGTTGCATGAAGGCAAAAAAATGGAAGTCAAAGTTAAAGCAGAGTCATCACATGGTGCGTCATTCTCTCCAGGACACGCTGCAGTGAAAACACACATTTGATAATCATGAATGCTTATTATGTATTTGTAGCCTTTACTTGGTCATTTAGATAATAGGCTAATGTAGCTAATGTAGCTACATTGTGTAACCTTCATATAAGCTTTATACAAGGCTGTTATTTTTTTGCGGCTCCAGACAGATGTTTTTAGTATTTTTTGTCAAATATGGCTCTTTGAACCTTTTGAGTTGCCGATCCCTGGTATAAACAAACTGTAAAAAACGTGACAAAAACATGCCTGGGCCGGTAAGAAGGAAAAAATGCCCGGGCCGTTTTTTTGTCCCAGTCCAGCCCTGACTTAACGTGTATTAGATCACAAACGGGTCATAAAGTGCAATTTGATAAATGTAATAAAGGGTAATTTAGATGTTCTTGTATGAATTGCAGGTGATGCAGGCTCAGTGTGTGAAAGCGCAGACAGAGTTTTACAGCAGAAGTCGAAATGAAATCATCGAAGGTAAAGGTCTAACCATGGGCGCCCTCTACTGGCAGCTAAACGACATCTGGCAGGCTCCTTCGTGGTCATCAATTGGTGAGAAGACTTGATGGACCCAACCATATGGAGCCTCCCCTTGATGAATTATGCATCTTTCTATAGTCCATCTTTATACTTCTGTTTTGCAGAGTTTGGGGGAAAGTGGAAAATGCTTCATTATTTTGCACAACGTTTTTTTGCTCCAGTTTTACCAGTTGGATTTGAGGATGGGGACGACTTATTCATTTATGCCATTTCAGATTTGAGTGAGGATCTCAATCTCGCTTCTGCTGTAAGTTTGGAATATTTCTTGAATCATATTTTGTCATTAATTGAATATTAAAAAACAAGCAAAACCACTGCAAATGGTGTGTAAGTGGACTGAAAAGACTTGCTTTTCTGTCCACTTAAGTTTGTATCCAAATGTTTCATTATTTTTTAGGGCTCCAGATAATCATCGGGTATTCTATTGATTATTTTTTGCAATTTACAAGTAATTTATGAACTTTTATACATTGTAAAATACATATTAACATTACATATGTCCACAAAAGTGATAGTCAAGCATTGAAACCCTGTATTTAGGAAAAAGTAACACTCAAGAAATCTAATCTAATTTCATATCATACAATTTTTGTGTTCCAGATTTTTGTTTACACCTGGTCCAAAATGGATCCAGTCTGCTCGTTCTCCAACAAAGTGCCCGTGCTGATCCCAGGGGGTAGCGCTGTGAGGGTCTACCAGGGGTCCACTATGCATCTGCTGGAGGGCTGTGGGTGCACGCGTCAGTCCTGCTTCATCACGTTTCATCTGGAGTACAGCAACGGACGAACGCGGGGTCCAACCAACTACCACTTCTTCTCACCGCTGAAGGACGCCCACGGACTCCTCCGACCCAACATCACTGTAAGAAGATCACTCCATATAAAGGGTTCTTCTACACAAACTCACCTGATTCCTCATTCTTTTACTATGTTTTACTATCATTTTCCTCTTTGGTCTTCCTTCTTTCTAACTACTTATAAATCTATTGGTTTTAATTAGTCTGAAATTATAGAAAAACAGATTATTCTATTATATTTTTGGTTCCCCGATTGGTTGTAGTTTTGAGCTTGCTGACTTCACTTTTACTGGTTTTGTGGTGTTACATCCACAAATAAAGCATTTTTTCCCCAATTGGTCCAGGTAAAGGGATCCTGACAAAAGAGTTTCAAAGATCTGCCAAACCGATTTTAGTCCAGGGAAATACTTATAATCTTAAAACAGCTTATTATAGACTAAAGTTTTGTGGTGCTAAAATTAGGATTTGCCCAAATGTCTATTGTGCTGTTATTTGCCAGTATTTGATGCATGTTTTTATTTTATTTAATTTCATGACGGAATTGCACCATATACCAAAGTAAATTACCAGTTTGGTACTTCCTATTACTTATAAAGGCAATAAACCAACTTTGATTGTGATTCTCAATGTGAGTTTAAGTGATGCCCAAGTACCACCAGTGCTACATCTACCACAGTTTGAGAAACAAGCTTCTGTAATGTGCCACAAATTGTAATAATAATGACGTCTTTGTCTTTTTCTAGGCTCAGGTGTGGAAGCACGAGGCCTTATTCTATGTCCGCCTGCAGTCTGATGCCATTGCTCCGTTCGTGTGGCTGGACGTGGCTGCCGTCCTGGGACGTTTCAGCTCAAACGGTTTCTTGATGGTCACCAGCAACATCACAGTCAGCTTTTCCCCCTGGAGGTCAACCAATGTCACAGAGCTGAGCCAGTCTCTCACTGTCACCACTCTACGAGACGTTTACTGACGCTGCAAAAACAGGAAAACAAGAGAAAAACTGTGAAGCTGAGTTATGTCGAGCTCTGTAATGTGTGGTTTCATCTGATCACAATATCCAAGTTAGCTGTATATAAATACTACCCTTTTTTTACCGCGCCGAACACATTTGTACATATATATTTGTATATGATGCATAAAGTCTATATTGTTTTTAATAACTATCAATTAAGTGTGTTTTTTTAGCATGTTAAGACCTTTAAGCATTTTAAGGCCTCACATTACTTTTTCTATATTTAACGTATATTTAACTGTTGAGACAGGATGCCTGAAATTGGTACGGGCATTAATTTTTTAGAGTTTTTTTATACTTCATACATTTTTAAACCCGTACATTCAGACAAATACAAAATTATATTTTCAATCTACAAAGTCTGATTAAGCAGTTTAAACAGAGACGCCCAGACTAACGGTTGTTATACTGTCTAACTGTTGTTATACTGCTATTAATACAATGTATCAAAGCTGCTGCACACAAATTCTACAAAAGAACCGGATATACAAACATACAAACATAAAAAACAAACTAATATTTACAGTCTATGATTCGAACCATGCACGTCCTACTGTTTAATTCTCGGGGGACATAAATGAAGGTGCACTCCCCTTTATTTCCAGCAGGCGGCTCTCAGCTCTACTCGCAGAAAGCTGTGTTTATTTTTTTTTATTTTTTTTTTCTGTCTCCAGCTGTTTTTTTAATTGAAGCGCCCCCTCTCGCTCACACCCCCTTGGCGCTGGGCAGTCCTGTGCGTGTGCGTCTCTGGCTCATTGTGTGAAGCGCACGTTACATTACTGCGCGTTCTGGAGCTGTGGCGCACGAGGTCGGTCCTCTCCATTTTTTTGTCCCACGTCCCTTTGGGTGAACTTTGAACGAACGCAGACGATTGATCGGTCAGGCGACATTATTAGGACTTGGTAAAAACAAAAAAAAAGTAAGCTAGTGCGCGTTTGGATCATGAACCATCTCTGCGCAGGACCAGCACGGATATCTTGAAGGATAATGCTCTGTTCATCAGCGCGATAAGTTTAGAAGCATCCCTCTACGCCTTTGAGTAAAAACACAAACAACATGGAGAACGTTTTGAGTTTGTTCACGTTTTCTTTCATAGTAAACTTTCTAAGTGTAGCCACGGCAGACGGATATGTTTATTTGGAAAACATCCTCCGCTTCTTTCGACAAAATGAATCGATTTCGACGCGGAATTTAGAAGAACTGTTGCTTTTGATTTCGGCCAGAAGACCAGAGTCGATCATTTTAGATAATCCACTCACAGACCAGCAGGTATGTCCTACGAGGATTACATAGGCCATTATTATTATTATTATTACAAGTGTCTATGCATAATATTGTATCCTATATAATATTTATTATGGTTTTGCTATATTGTTATTTTCTTATTATAACGTACTTGATTATTATGACTGGTGTAAAGGATTTGATTGATCGTAAATTGTTTTTTGTTTAATCACAGAGCATGAATGAAGTAGTGTTCTCAAAAGTATCAAAAGTAAATAGAAATCAATACAATACTGTATGCATCTGATCAATTGATTATTCATTTGAGCAAATAATCAATGCCAAGAAATACATAAGCAGAAGAAATTGGACATATTCAGAACCCTTTTAGTATTTTTTTATTTTTTTACTTACAGACTACAGATGTAAATTGGCATGTTGGTGAATGTTTTATTATATTTAGTTCAGAATATTAATTTTTTGCAGTAATGTTGGCCACAGACCTTTACAAAATGTTATTGTGACAACATAAGACTACGTTCTTGCCTGAACTATTATAGCTTTGAGCTAAATATTGGTTCTTTTGAAAACATTGCATGTAGATTAATCACTGGAGTAAAGTTAAGTGTGTTAACTAAGAACATAATGACAGAATGTAATAAATGAATTTTGAACATAATGAATCAATCCTGCCTCTCTAGAACTGGTGACAAAATGGTACGGTCCTGTAGATGTTGCCCATCACCTATTGTGTGACTACATTGTACTTGTAGTTATTGTTGTCTATTTGTCCCCAGTGTCCTTCAGCGGGGCAGATGTTGGCACAGTTGGGGTTGTCTAACCTCAGTCAGCTGAATGTGGAACATCTGGAGAGGCTGTGTCCGGCCGTATTGACCCAGGTGCTGCTGCCCTCCTGTCCCTACGCTGTCGCAGAGCCACTGCCTCCCGTCGACTACTCCGGTCAGTGCTGCTTCATCAAAAACAAATATCTCATCAAGGCCATGCACTTTGGATGGAAGTGTTACTAGTCTAGGATCAAACCAGGACTTTGCAAATCTGTCCTGCTCTATTTACACCCAGCTGTATTCATTTCACATTTTGGAGAGGAGACATTTTGGTCTTATTGTCGGCGCTTCAGATTGAACAAAAGGAGACAAAGCTTTCTATATGATTTGAATCAATGTGCTTAAGACCAGAAGATGTCATCACTTGAGATACACAAGATGCATGCTTAAGATATAGTTACTGTAGTAACAATGTGGTCAGGATAAATGCGTTCAGTTCTAATGTTTAGCAGTAATACAGATATAACAGGGATCCACAGTACAAAATATACAGGTCTATCGTAATTCATTTTGACTTTGGTCTGTGAAAGGCGGTATATAAATAAAGATTACTTACTTACTAAAAGACAAAGTCACAAAGCGGTTTACATTTGTTATTTTTGGGCACTTGTCCTCTCACTCCACACAGAGATGGGAGCAGGGTCGCCGAACAGGAGGCGCATGCCAGACCTATTGTACATATTTTTAGTGGTAGGGGAAACCGGAGTACCCGGAGGAAACCTACGCAGACACGGGGAGAACATGCAAACTCCACTCAGAAACTCCACTGGTCCGACCGGGATTTTACTTCAAAGTCGTAAATAAAAGGTGTGTCTAATTACTGAAGTGAGCTATGTTGTAATGTACATATCTTTTATACTAAAATATATTGAAATAAATCAATGTTTGCAGCTGTTGTGGAGACAGTTGGGAGATATAGATAAAAGTTGGTATTTTGGTAAAACAACTCTCAAACCAAACGACATTCTGCAACCTTTAATATTGCCCATACTCGTGCTACTCCTACGTCTCTCTTGCACATGCTGGTCCTTCCACCCACCCTGAGGCTACACTGGCTTCCTCCTAAATACAGTTATGAGTGAATAAATTACTGTAAAAGCTCCGTCAGTCTGAATGAATGGGGTCTGTGTGCCCTCCGTCATTACCTCGATACAACAAGTCACTAAAGCACAGAGACATCTCCTGTCGCTATTATCAAGAACTAATCAGTTATGCATGGTGCTATCTGTTAATAACACAGAAGCCAGCCCACCTTTTGTGTTAGTTAAATTACCATGTGACAGGATTCCCAGGAAGGGCTTTATAAAGTGTGAAACAAGTAGCTTGGGTCAGTGAAAGCCAAGACTCACAAATAAATTAATGCGCTTATCTCAATTAAACGCTGGTGTTGTTTTGGTTCACTCCTAGTACTACGCCTTAATTTGAATGTGTGTGTTCGTTTTTGCCAGACTAAATGCTTTTTCAAAGATCTTATGAAAAAGTACTGAATGACAATTTTTGTTTGGAGACATCGCAAAGGAAAGGTTTAGTAGACATTTTTCGACTACTTCCAGACTGAAACTACTACTCCTGCAGCTGGTGGCACTTTTACCACTGCCATTTGGACACATTACCTTCTGTTTGCAAGGTCACCCACTAACCCACTCACAGCAAGGTCAAGCAAGACTATGTCGCTAGACTTTATGTCTTTATTAGTCCCACTGGGGGATGGTACAAGATTTTTTTTTGTCTTGGTATCAGTGCAATACAACATTTAAAAAAATATAATAACAACACAGAACCTGAAAGGCACAATATCACTGTGGTTCATAACTTACTTATGTCGTTCTAGAAAATTAGAAACCGTTAAATTATTTCTAATATTCTATTTTAATAATTCTAAGGACAAAGATTCTGTTTCCTGAAATCTCTTTTCATCCTATACACTCTTTGGTGTTATATTTCTTACGTTCTTGACCTGATCTCAACTCGACCTCCAGATTGTGATTTTGAGTCAACTGTGGAGTTGTGAAGTAGTCTTCCCAATCTCTAATCTAATCTCTTACACATATATTTGTTAAACTGAGAGAACATTTACCATCGTCGAGGGCCTCTTGCGCATTGTAATAGTATATTAGTGGGTCCCAAAAAGGTGCTTTGAACCCTGAGGTGATCTGGAAATATTCTCTTGTCTCATTTTTGGTGGACATAAAGAGCCTTGTGTGTATTTATGTATATATCTATTTATTTATTGGATCCCCATTAGGTTTTACATTTGTAGAGAAAAATTCTTCTTGGGGTCCAAGATTCCCGAAACTTTAGACATTTAAGACAAGTGTGATTCAGAGTGAAAAAGTAGTTTGTTGGTGAAATACAGAATTAATTTAAATTGCAGAATGAGAATTATTTTTGTGCTAAAGTTTCACATGGGGTTAATTCATTATAAAAATTATAATTTGTTTAATAACAAATATTTGTTTCAGCCGCAGATCACAGTGCAGTGAATCAAAGCGTATTGCAGAAGCAGCGGCTCGATGATTCACTATGTCTTGTATTTGCACTGTGTATGACAAATAAACTCCTATTCTATAAAAAAAAAACTTTAAAAGTTGATGTTGATTATATCTGTTGACCAGTTTGCCTCTGCCTCTTGTGTTGCAGTGTGGGGATATGGGTTTCTGGCTGTAACTATCATAAACTTTGCGTCACTTCTTGGTTTGTTCCTGCTGCCGTTCACAAAGAAACCATATTTTCCAAAAGTCTTGACCTACTTCATTGGTTTGGCCATCGGGACACTGTTCTCCAATGCTGTGCTGCAGCTCATTCCAGAGGTATGCATACATTCAAATCATATCTAATAATAATATTGTAATGTTCAACGTGTTTGATGTCATGTGAAAATGTATTTTTCTTTATTAAACAGGCCCTGGGTTTTGATCCCAAAGCTGACAACTATGTGTCAAAGGCAGTGGGCATTTTTGGGGGATTTTATGCACTTTTCTTTGTGGAGAAAGTTTTGAAGATGGCCCTCGGCGTTGACCAAGAGGTGAGAAACTAAAATAAATCATGAGGGCTAATAGGTATTATTATAGATCTATGGTTTTACCGGTACATTCAACGCAGAATATAAGCCAGAAAAAGTCCACGCATGTCCTTTTGTGTAGTGCTGTCACAATACTACACTAACTATAAAACCAGTTTCTTCATACGCTTGCCATTATATAAATCAAAGCATTCTATATTCAAAACTTCCTATTTGTGTTTTCAGCATTTAACCTGTTCATGTGCAATTTCAAAAGTTTTAGTGCTAAAACAAAATATACTGTTATCAAAAAACTGATGAAGTGGCAAAGGCCCTTTCGAGCCCGGTTGAAGACTGTTCAAGTCTTAGCATTGGTAAATTTATTATTCAACATGTTTTTTTCGGAAAGTTGTTTGGAACCGAGTGCATTATTATTTATTTATCTGCCATATTTTTAAGCAGGTTTTCTCATTGTTGTAGTTGAGTTGTTGTAGTTTTGTCGCATTCAATATTGGATGTACACAATGTAAGATTTGATTGAGCATATGGTTTTCACTGAGGGCGACCTACAATCCTGTGTAAGTTTTGTACCACCCAGCGTAGCACCCCTTTTCCAGCCTACCCATTATATTTAATTCAAGGCAAGAAGTCGAACCCTATTATTTAAATGCTCCCATCAATCATCAATTATATACAGTCGTTTACAACAAAAAAACACACTTTCCTCTGAGATTATGTAATGGTTTGATATGGGTCATTAATTATTCTTTGTCTGTAGCACGGACACAGTCACTTCACTCCAGTGGACCATCCTACTGAAAACGGGGGGATTGCAGAAAAGAAGGACTCCATCATTTTAACCAGTATCAATTCCATCGCCACAGACATGTCACAGCCTAACATGGTGCCTGCGCAGGTATGTGTACATAAGTATTTAAATAGGGCCCACTTCAGCAAAATGGTGGAAGGCATGGCTGTTAAAATTGATACTTTTAACTCTATAGATTATCTTTAGGAGTGGCTCAGAGGGGGCAGATTAGTCTAAAATCAGTGGTTTTGCCCCATGCAGCTGTATCGGAAAGACACATGTGCACGGTCAAAGATACACCCTGTTGACCAACGTTTACGTGATTATTATTTTATGATCAGCTGTGTACTTCACATTGGAAAACCTTGCATCAGTAAACCAACACATTATGTAGTGTCAGAGTGTCCTGATTAGGAGAACCAACAGATTACTCCACAATAAGACAGATATCCTTGCTATCTAAACATAAATACAAGTTATACAATCATTTTAGTATTGCATAGAGAGATGCCATTAATTCAATAAAAAACATTTAGTATGTTTCTCACTTACACACACTACTTAAAGAAGATTCACTCATTCATATAAATCATCAGTTAATGGGTAAATCCATGTGACGAGACACTTGTTATCTTGTTTTATTTATTGAACCCTTATCTGTGTCTGTGAAGTAGCTGCTAATGTTTAACTCCACTGCCCTGCGAGCCGCATGCCACCAATGAAGGCATGAATTCTCTTTAATACTCTTTTCAAATGGTATACACTAGGCCATTCAGAAGTTGTGGTTTTAATGTCATATTTTCAACTTAATTTCTACTTATGTCACTTATTTTTTGATACATCTCATTGAGGCAGAGTCTAGTCCAGTCCTTCTCTTTCAAAACGGTGTGCTTAGTTCGTCCTTCTTGTTTTGTAACTTGGAACTATAATCCCTACACACTTGTACTTTCAGAGTCATTTGTTTGATCTAAATCTAGAAGTCTAGTCCTGGCTGAGGTCTCCCCGGTGTGGGGGTCTCAGAGCACAAAGCCATCCCTGTCTGGGTCCAGTAAATGGCTGTTTCTCTCTCAGGTTTCTTCTAATCACACTGGCCTCTTTCTCGCGGTGACTGAAGCATACATTTGCAAATTCTTTTCATGCATTTTTGGGAAATAACTCATCGATGCTTCCATTTCATCATATCATTTGTGTAAAAGTAAGGTTTTGTTCACTCAATAAATCCACATGTGCCATTGAGGATGCTGCCAACTCAAACAGGGAATTTGACCTTTACTTGAAGATAACATGGATTTCTATGTTTTAATTTGGGGACATTGTATTACCCGTACCTTAGTGTCCATTTCTTACATAGTACGTTGTGTCCTTACTGTTTTAGGATGTGTCAGGCTCTGAGGTGCGTTGCCATTGGTTACGAGGCCAAAGGATCACCGACATTAAGACTGTGGCGTGGATGATCACCCTGAGCGACGGGCTTCATAACTTTATTGACGGTTTGGCAATCGGAGCCTCTTTCACCGTGTCCGTGCTCACCGGCTTCAGCACCTCCACCGCCATCGTCTGTGAGGAATTCCCACATGAACTGGGTAAGACGAAGCAAACATGTACATTTATATGAGATATGTACTGTATCTATAATAATAATAATAATAATACAAAAGTTTGCCCTCCCATGTTTCTGGTGGAAGGCACACTACATGCTTCTAACAGGGAATATGATACTGCATCAGTCTATTAAAGTGCTTTTCTAGACACTAAAAGTTGTTTCACATCCAGGTTCCATGCTAGGAGAACAGTTTAGCACTTTACTGCCTCAGCCGTTCCACTGTGGCACCTGGTATTTTCAGCCTTCTCACAAGGCAATTACATGCATTTATTACACATCACAAATAAACATTACTTGTGCTAACGGGATGTGCTTGTCTTACCACAGATCTGTCCTAAGTAATTATACCTCAATTATTTGGTATGAGCGTCTAATTGATTGTATTGAATGATCAAGAACATTTAATGGAAAGATATGGAACATTCCAGGCAACAACAAAAAAACAGACGATATCTCAATTTGTATTAATTTTCAAAGGTTGCTTTAGATTAAAGTAAAAGGATAATCGTATTGTGGTCTTTTATGTACAAAATCTGATGGTTCTTTATTTATAATCCTAACATATGGAAACACTACAGAGTCTATTGTTGTTTGACCGTTCTATAAATGTGTGTTTAAATGTGGTTTTGTTGGAGGGAAATGAGGTGTTTTCATAGAGTTTGCAGCCGTTACCATGACGATTAACCACATTGAACAGTGACAGGATTTACGCTCATATGTTTTGCGAAGAGCTTGAGATATACAAGTCATCTAATGATACACAATTTCCAAATATTTTTGTTTTAGGCCCAAAGCATTTTTAGTTCTAAATATCAAAAAAGTACCGGACAAATAAGTAACCATGGCTTTTCCTGAGAGCCTGCCACAAAACCCTCAAATGGACCACTCTCCTCTCTGTCAGTCAGGGACGTGCAGGCAGGGGAGGCAGGGGAGGCAGAGCCTCACCTGCCATTATTGGAAACTAATAATTATTTTAGTTTAAATATATAATTTATATCCACTGTCCTATGCTTTTAATGTATATTCGGCACGGTTCCCATCAGTTTTGATCATTTCTGAAGTCAAAATCGCCGAAATCCCGTTATTCCTATTCAAAGAGACGAGGTGAGGCAGCGCTCCTGCGTGCCTCACCCCAGACCGCTCCCTCACAGTGTGTGTGTGTGTGTCTGAGTGCACTCAGCTCGTGCAGTTGATATATCACCGTTTGTTTCAAATATCCTGCTTTAAAAACATTTTTTAAACTCCTCTTAGTGTTTAGTAGTGTATTGCACGTATGTGTGTACAATTTATATTTAGTTTAAGTCTTTTGATCGTAGATGAACACACAAGGAAAAAGCTTGGCGTGAGGCAGGCGGTATCTGTGCCTCACCGCTAGGGGTGATAGTGAGCATAAAGTTCATACCAGAGTTGCTAACAAACAATCAGCCCAAAATGCTATTTCTTTTGCTGGAAAATGGATGATTTGAATGAAGATTTTTTTTCTCAATTGGACTTTCAAACAAAGAAAGAATTAATATAGACTGGGAGACCACCACTGGACTTACGAGGTTAGTCCGGCTGCGGGGAAGGAGTTTGTTAATCTGTGTTTTATGTTGAACATTGACAGATACCGGCAAAGTAGTGCTTTTCCGAAAAACACTGATTCAAACACTGCTCAAGAGTTCTGCAACTTGTTTAAATTATTGTTTATGTTCCTCGCGTCTCTCTCTCCTCGCGTCTCTCTCTCCTCGCGTCTCCGTCTCTCTCTGCTCCTCGCGTCTCCGTCTCTCTGCTCCTCTCTGTCTCTCTCTGCTCCTCTCTCCTCGCGTCTCTCTCTCCTCGCGTCTCTCGCACCTGCGCTTCTTAAAGATGTTGTTTGATGCGGAGCAGAGTCAGCAGCTAGATTTGTTGTGAGATTATTAAAAGAAGCTGGTTCTCTTATCTTTACAGTATATAAAGTTTGTGGATGTCATTGCATTGGTGATTAAATGCTATTTTATTTGAATAATGATTGTAAATCTGACTTTTAAAGTCAGTGCCTCCCCAATCACAAACCTCACCGCACGTCCCTGCTGTCAGTTGACATACTTTCAGATTAACATAGTTTGAGTTTTCAGTCTACAAATAACTTTAATTGCTGACTGTAAACCTCATTTTTTCTTTTGTTAAGTAAAGGGTACATTTAAGGGTATATTTAAAGATAAAATCCTGGTATGTTGACTTTTAGTTTTACTTCAAAAATTCTGTTTTACCAACATAAAATTCCATATTGAGCTGTATCTGCTCACACACACACACACACACACACACACACACACACACACACACACACACACACACACACACACACACACACACACACACACACACACACACACACACACACACACACACACACACACACACACACACACACACACAGCTAACGTTTAGACCGATTCAATTAAACATGAAATTAGTCTCTACAACAAAAGCGTAAACAAAAGATTCCTTAGATCTTTTTGAAGTGTCTGTATTGGTAAAAGGACTTGATATGCAATTTATTTTGTTGCAATATGCTTGTTAGTATGTGGTTACTCCCTTGTTTAATGTGTTATGTAAATAAATGTCCTTTCTATACCACACATTTTCAACCTACTCTTATTCACAGTATATCTGTGTCGCCCCCTATAGGAGACTTCGTGATCCTGCTAAACGCTGGGATGAGTGTCCCACAGGCCATTTTCTTCAACCTGCTGTCAGCTTTGTCTTGTTACATTGGCCTGGTGTTTGGGATTCTTCTTGGGAGAAGTTTCGCCCCAAATATCATCTTTGCCATCGCTGGAGGGATGTTTCTATATATCGCTTTAGCTGATATGGTAAGTTAGTCACAATGCGGAGCTGTTCAAATATTTTAAATGGCTCTAAAATGTGGTGGTGAATATATAATTATGATGTAGATCGCTCAGATTTCCGTTATTTTTGATGCAGGGTCCAAACAAGCGAGATTTTTGACCAACAAAATCACTTAAATAACAGCACAACATTAATTTTATGTGATCAATAAACTAAATCCAAATAGAATCTAGAGTCAGACAAAATGTGTGCTTTGAGACAAAAATACACATGCACGAATGAATAAAATTATTTCATTGTCAATGGTTTTCAAAAATGTTATAGACAAAACAATGTAACTATTTCATCATCGATTAGTTGCAATAAATTGATTAATTTGTTAAAACGGTATAGTCTGAATTCAACATAAATTCTGTTGTGGAATTCATTTCAGCATTGTAGTTATCTAAGGCCATCGCCGTACAATGCTCCAGTGTCACAACATAAAGCTTCCATTGTCTTTCTCTTCCAGTTTCCGGAGATGGACAAAATCGCACAGGAGCAGACTAAACGCTCGTCCAAGATCATATTCTTCCTGATCCAAAACGCAGGACTCCTCACCGGATTTGCCATCATTTTACTTATTACCATGTTCGCTGGAGACATTAACCTTGGATAAAGGGACCAAAACTATAGACCTCTTAAGTCACATGCTGCTTTAAAATTTTCTTTCTTAACAAAGGGGGAAGAAAAGTGTATGTACAAAGAAAAAAATTGAAAATCTTTAACATTTTAGTGGACTGCTGTTTACTCCTTTTAAAAGGGAAAATCGTTGCAATCATTTGTATGAAATGTAGTTAAATCTATTAGGAGACAATAAATTATTTTTTTAGTCTTCGCAAATATTGTGAGATGTTTATAAGTGACTGCACTTTGTTCTTCTTGGTTCACCGAAATTTCTTAATCTGCAACAAACGCAGATATACTAAGGTTGATTTTCTGACACTTTGTTTTTGATTTTTTTACGTGTTCCAAAAGTATATAGTTTAAGGATGCATGCATGTGAAAAGTAATGATGGAACAAAACTGTTTTGGGCGATTGGATGAATTTTATGAGAGAGTTTATTTTTCAGCTTTAACTTTTAAAATCCCAAAATTAAGACTTAATAAGTCTCTTTACTGACCTTGAATTCTATGTTTACATAATAACATTAAAACTGTTGCCCAAACAAATTCCTCGACCTCCCCTGAAACCTCACGCTGAGAGCCTCAGGTGCTCAGCCAATCAGCGAATTCAAGATACAGATTAGGTGGCGTTCGCAAGTCATAATGTGTCGGATTGTGAAACTATGAGTGCTTCTTTACTTTCTCCAAACAAATGATCAAATTATAAAATAATCCTTTACGCCTTAAAAGATTGGTAATGCAGATGTGTGTATACAGTGGAAAATAAGCGAAACATCACTACAACTAACAATGAAATAGGTAAACCAATGAGTATTTCGTTTAACGTATTCTCTGAGGGAATCATGAACGCACCACAGCAGCACAGTCAAAGAGGACAACCACTGTAAATATTAAGAGGACAATCCAGACAATCCAGTGATCCAGACAAGGTTTCCTTACATTAAGAACCATAGATTGAGGTTTTGAGTCATTTGGCCTACTTCTGAGAAACTTCAAGGTATGTTTGTCTTCGACCTTTTCAAGCGTATCTTCTCTGAATAAGCTAACGCTATCGGAAGCTAACTAGCTTTAGAGTTTATGAGAACGGTGTTGCCCATGCCATGACTAGCTACACCGAACACTATAATTACGATACACTTACATACACATGGGGGAAGTAATCTGATTGATGATCAATGCTATTTGCGATACAAGGGCAGTACTCGTTTGGTATAAATTCTCACGTTCATAGATGTTCCTTTTTTTAACGAACAAGAAACTGGCACGTGACCTTTTGTTATACATAGTTCCCACAGACCAATGAATGTCACATGACCTCCTCGGAGACGCCATCTTTGATGGCACGCTGCTGTGTTTGTGCATTCCATTAAACAGAAGAATGAGAATAAATGTAGATATTCAAACGCAAATTGGAAAAAAGGGCAACTTTTGAGCAAATAATTGTATATTAATACAATGGCACCACAGTTTAACGTGCTACGGACATGTTTTACATATTTGATCAAATTATGCAGCAAAAATTAACAAGCAATGCAAACATTTCTCAAAAACTTTAGATTTAATACCAGTTGGAGCTCCATTTAATTATTTTAATTATATTAACAATTAATTTAATTAATGCTAATGCCACATGGACACTCTGGATTGCTGTTATTGTTTATTTCCGCGTTTTTGACCGTATGTTTTGGTGAATGGTGGGCAACTGATTTTTCCAGGCGTAAAGAGCAGTTTATTTTATGACACAGATCTTTTTACAGAAGCAATGCTGTTTGTGAACATTGTTTTAGCCCACCATAGAACTATTATTATCTATTTAATACATTTACGTTGCCCTCGAGAGCCTCGGACGCGACACCGATCCTTCTCATAATAAAGTAATCTAACGCTAAATAATGAAACTCTCAAGTTACCAGCTATCAGCATACACAAGTTAGTACTGAGTAAATTACGTCTGTCAACACATTATAAGATACGATACGCACCTGACACAAAGTACTCCGAGCATATTCTTGCGTGTTTTGAGGGAGTTTCTTGCCTGTTTATCTTCGCAAGCCATAACCTCCGTGGTTGTTCTGACAAAAGCTTAGTCTTCTCACATTCATGAAGTCTAATGATGGGTATACTGTAAAATCCAAGTTTAACGGAACCTCCGGCACGATTTGAACATCCATTGACCCAGCAGGAGACGACCATTTTCAACTTTATCACGACATTAACACGTTTCAGCTTCTTTTTCTATTGTTTTGCCCACAGCATGCCAAGACAAATGGCGCCGGGTCGGCAAATCCCCGTATGTAGTGACGTCATGTGGGAACTATGTATTGTCTGCAGAGGTCTCACACAGAAAATCAAGCGGAGGGAAATAACTTTTATTAGGATGTTTATTGATTGACTGCGGAACCTTCCGCAGTCAACCATTGGTTTTGTATTTCTTTATTCCGTCATTTTTTTTGACACGTTTCACAGCTTTCACATTTTCAACAATTTCCACAAGTTATACATCAAAACGTTCCACATGTTTGGGAGATTATTGCTATTACTTTTGGGACTTCAGCGATTTCCGGTTTTTCCGCAATCGGACAAAAATCTGCATTGAGAATTCTGCAATGCATTTTAATAGGCCCATGCATTTTAATAGGACTTCAGCTCTTTCAGACATTTCTACAGTTTCAATGATTCAACAGTTTCAAGGATTTCAGCAGTTTCAAGATTTCAAGAGTTTCAAGGACTTCAACAGTTTCAAGGACTTCAGCAGTTTCAAGGACTTCAGCAGTTTCAAGGACTTCAGCAGTTTCAAGGACTTCAGTGTAATCATGCAACCTAATAGGGATTTTTCCATGTAAACCAGTATAATGCAACTTAATAGGGATTTTTCCATGTAAACCAGTATAATGCAACTTAATAGGGTTTTTTCATGTAAACCAGTATAATGCAACTTAATAGGGTTTTTTTCATGTAAACCAGTATAATGCAACTTAATGGGGATTTTTCCATGTAAACCAGTATAATGCAACTTAATAGGGGTTTTTACATGTAAACCAGTATAATGCAACTTAATAGGGTTTTTTCCATGTAAACCAGTATAATGCAACTTAATAGGGATTTTTCCATGTAAACCAGTATAATGCAACTTAATAGGGGTTTTTACATGTAAACCAGTATAATGCAACTTAATAGGGTTTTTTCCATGTAAACCAGTATAATGCAACTTAATGGGGATTTTTCCATGTAAACCAGTATAATGCAACTTAATGGGGATTTTTCCATGTAAACCAGTATAATGCAACTTAATAGGGGTTTTTCCATGTAAACCAGTATAATGCAACTTAATAGGGTTTTTTCCATGTAAACCAGTATAATGCAACTTAATAGGGATTTTTCCATGTAAACCAGTATAATGCAACTTAATAGGGTTTTTTTTCATGTAAACCAGTATAATGCCACTTAATAGGGATTTTTTCATGTAAACCAGTATAATGCAACTTAATGGGGATTTTTCCATGTAAACCAGTATAATGCAACTTAATAGGGTTTTTACATGTAAACCAGTATAATGCAACTTAATAGGGGTTTTTTACATGTAAACCAGTATAATGCAACTTAATAGGGATTTTTACATGTAAACCAGTATAATGCAACTTAATAGGGATTTTTACATGTAAACCAGTATAATGCAACTTAATGGGGATTTTTCCATGTAAACCAGTATAATGCAACTTAATAGGGGTTTTTACATGTAAACCAGTATAAAGGATAACAGTTTAAAGGATATCAGGAGCTTCAAATACTTCAGGAGTTTCAAAGATGTTTAAAGTATTTTAACAGTTTTTTTCAGCAAGGATTTTTCAGCTAAATTCCACATTAGATCTGTTTCGCAGTCAATCGCAATGGCTTCAGCCATTGCAACGGTTTCTAGTTTCTAATTGTTAATGTTGACATACCTATTATTTGATACAAATGAGACATTTTTTTGTCCAAAAAAGTTTTGTAAAAGTAAAATGTGAACAAAACAGATCTCAACATGGTGTCCTCGGCTGAAGACGCCGTCTTTTTATCTCTTACATGCTTGCAATGGCTTTAAGAAAATGAACCAGAGTCACTCTTTGGGGTTTAGAGGGGTTGTGCTCTTGTTTTCACGGAAAAACAAAGTGCATGCATGTTTTAGAGTGATTAGTTGGATGGATTTTATTACGTAGCTCAATTTTGTTGTAGTTGAAAGTTAGGCACCCCATTTTTAGCCAGTTACTGGACAATGGTTAATGCAATTATCAGAAGTTAAGTTGTGTAATATAATTAAATCATTGTAGCATTTTAAAGAAGTATTTTTCATTAATAATCATTCCAAAATAATAAGTATTTATTATTATCTGCATGACAAAAATCATAATGTTTATTTTTCATTTATTGTTGTAGTCTAATTTCTAATATCTGTTTCAAGCAGGACAGAAACATGGCGGATGGTTTTCAAATCAGAAAGTTCCAGGAGGAGGACGCAGAGGCAGTCCAAGAGGTCTTCACTGTGGGGATGAGCGAGCATGTTCCCTCTTCTTTCACACACATTCTAAAGCAGCCGCTCACACAGATGGTGCTGATGTGCGTGTTTTGTGCTTTGATGACCAGCTCCAAATCCTTCCTTCTGCCCGTGCTTGCAGTTACGCTGCTCCTCGCTGCCATCCGTCAGCTAGTTGTCCACATGTTTAATAAGTACATTGAAACATCACTTAAAAAAGACCTTCATAACATTTCAGAGAGCTACCTCAAACAGAAGGACTCATGCTTTTGGGTGGCAGAGGTAGATGGCCGCGTTGTGGCAACTGTCGCTTGTCTTCCAAACAAACTTGTGCCCGAGGCGTTGGAGTTGAAGCGTATAACGGTGCGGCGCAGTCATCGCAGGATGGGGATCGCTAAGGCCCTATGTCGGACAGTGGCAGAGTTCACACGGGACAGAGGGTATGCAGCTGTTGTTTTGTACACATCCGTGGTGCAAAGAGATGCTCAGCACCTCTACGAGGACCTGGGCTATGAGAAGACTAAGGAGTTTTCTGCACCAGAGTTTATAGCCAAAATAACTAACTTTAATTTATTTGAGTACAAGCTGCAGTTGAAAAAAGGTGATTAGATCATTTTTTACTTAAAATACGGAAATATGATTTAAGAATTTCATGGGAGAAAACAGTTTTTAAATCAAAATAATGTTCAAACCTTTGTGACTTTATATTAAAGATGGAGTACCTAACAACAGAATTGGTAACATTTTATAAACAAATGTCAGTCTAACTTAGGCTAGCTGTGGCTACAGTAGTAACTGACTACCATGTTGTGAAAAATGCCATGAAAAGTGTTTTATAAGAAATATGTATTATCATAATCTTTTGCATACTTGAAAAACACTAACTAATCACTATTTTACACTCAGTTGAGCTAGAGGGGTCCTCTCCTTTTCACTTTTCTGTCTGAAAAAGCTAATCTAAAGATTATAGAAACTGTTTGGGTAAGAAACTTGTTAGATGGATTTTGTTAGTTAAGTTTTGAATGTTGTAATTTGAAAGTTAGGTACCCCAGCTTTAGCATTTCTTCTTTCGGCACACACATCTGCATTCTCCTGACATATGACCTGTGTGCTCCTTTAACGGCTTGTATTTTCATAATGGCGGTTAATGCTGCCTTTGCATTGTTTTCAGCAAATCTAACATGTGAGTTGAGACAAGAATACTTGATTCATTCTTTCCAGATGACCAAAATTATACTTTTATTGTATTGTTTATTTTTGATCATAATTTGTATTAATAAAATGTTTGCAACTTCTGAATTTCTATTTCACTGTATTAAAATCTATTGGTCTTATGATAAAAGCATATTACTGAAAACAATCAAAATCAAAATCAATCAAATGCTCTTTGACCTGTGGCCACCAGGCGGCGCCACATCACACAGCTGCAGTGTCCATCTTCCACATGCGTAACAGGCAAAAGTGAAACTCATGAGTTCACCTTCAGATAAATACCCTGTATCCTGCTTTTAAGCCTTAAAACCTAATTCCTTCTTTATAGACAGAATGAACGGGTCGTTGCATTCATCTTCTAAAGCTGTGGATATTAAATTAAAGCGTGGGCCCGCAGGTAAGAAACTTTAGCATTGTTAGCTATGTTAGCATCTGAGTTAGCCACAGAAAAAATGGCTAACTCAGCTGGCGATCAGCACATAATCTGTCTGTGCCACTTGTGTCTGATTTGCATAAACTAAATTTGAAATTAACATTTGCATTTTATTAAGTTTATTCACTTCATTGTATCATATGTATTTGTGTGCCGTGTGTCGCCTCATTAAAGAGATCAAATGTCACTATTTCCTGTCACAGATGAGATGATTGCCATTTTTACTGAACACTTGGAAACATGTTTGTATTCTACATATTGTATATATTATGTAACAAATCGACAGTTGTTAAATACGATTGCCCTTTGAACCATTGAGATAAAAGCTGTCACTTATCCGACAAAGTAATTCCAAACAAACAAAAAACCCTGACGAATGAATCTTTTGTTTAGGTTTGGGCTTCAATATCGTCGGGGGCGTGGACCAGCAGTATGTGGTGAACGACAATGGCATTTATGTCTCTAAAATTAAAGAAGATGGAGCCGCGGCTGAGGACGGAAGGCTTCAGGAAGGAGATCAAATTGTGGCGGTAAAGTATACTTAAAAGTATGTTTGCATAGATGTTTCTTGGGAATGACGTCTTGTTTTACTTGTTGGCTCACGGAAGCATGTCAGTGCATTCCCTAAAATAACAACTGAACTATTGTGTGATAGAGGTCTAACATCTTCATCCAACTCCTTGTCTCTTGAATATGTTTTTACTTTGTCTGGAAAGTTCCACTGTTTGCCACCTCTTTTCCCAAAAAGGAATACTGGGATAAAGCTGGGATTCCCAACTTTCAACCCGCAACAAAGGAACTATGCAAAAAATTCCATGTAACTAGTTCCAAACCAAACCTCACAAAAAAGACCCATAGACCCAGGGCTGGTCATCAAATTTTCCCATTTAGGGTATATTTACACTTTTAATCACAGTGGGGAGTCACTTTTACCCAAGGGTCAAATCATAACTATTGTAGTCAAAGGTTAAAACAGAATTATTATTGTATTTTCTTTAGATAAACGGCGTAAACCTGAAAAATCGTAAGCATAAAGAAGTTGTGGATCTGTTCAGGACAGCAGGAGATGATGTAGAACTGAAAGTGCTAAAAAAGGTAAGGTTCTATGAATACTTAATGTGTTCAAAATATTGATATATTATCAGCAGTAAATTTATCGATGTGTTTTATTTGTTCTGTTGCAGTCTTCTCGTCACATGAACGGACCTTTTGGCTCACAACCGGACCAAGACTCCTCTATTTCGTCTATGGCACTTTTAGCTCTGTTTGTGGCGGGCGCTTCTATTGCTGCTTTTATTTACTTTCGAGGCAGGCAAGTTTAGCTAAGGTTTTGAATTACACGGATAAATAAATGACTAAATTAATGTTTGCTACAAGCCAAAGAAATGACCGGGAATCAAACTCGAGTTGATGATTGATGTTGAGATTGAGTTTGTCCTTGTCTCTGTATGCATGGGTTTCAGAATGATGAAAAAATAGGGCTGCTATTTAAAAAAAACAAAACATTTCAAAGCAAAGTGTTATCTTTTCAATGGGATAGTGTTGCATGAAAGCGGAAACCCATGAATATAATGATTGTTAGTTAGCTCCTTTGCACGTTTCCAATGCAAAACTATGCTCTCTTCTCACAGAGGCACAACTGATGGGAAGTGGAAAAGATGACATTCCCGCTGCAAAGCTGAGCCGGGCTAAGTGTTTCAGGCAGATTTTTTTTTTTTATATCTATTTGTTGTTGACAAACTCTGATAAACAATAATTTATATTTTAGTTGCATATCATGCTTAGCAAAAATCAGCTTTGTTGGTAGTAAATCTCAATGAAGGTCTCTGCCAAAGAATAAAGCGAACACCAAGATAGATAAACATAGAATGCATTGGGGAAAATTCAGCATAATTCCATCGACGTATGACCATTCAAAAGACAGTAATAATGTTTTTGCCTGAGTGAGAAGAAGCTATTACACTTTTTATACATACTGATGTCATGTTGCACTGTAGAGAAAGGTTAGAATTAACAGCAGGACTGATCTACCTGTAACAGCGGCATACCATGTCGAGTGCCTTCAAATCAAGTGGCAAATGCTGTAAATTTCAATATTTTAACAATGTTTTTGGACATTGTGAGAGAAGCCAGTACTGCTGACAAACTGGTCTTCCATGCTAAATCTCATGTGCAAATAGTGTGTCTGTCTTCAACATTTACAACACTATGGTTAAATAAGAATTGTCTTGTACATTTTTAAAGGGACTCGTTCAAGTATTTGTTTTGCATCACTCAAATCATTCATGTGTTTTTGTAAGCAGCTTCCCATGTGTTGTGAAGGACTTCTTTTGCACTAGCCAAAATTATGCAAATAATAATAGTTGAGAAATGGCTTGTTGGTGTTTTCTCTACAGCTTATGCTGTACGGAATTGTCTGTAAATAATGTTTACACCTTTCCTCAACTCCTGTGTAAAGAAGTGCATCATGCCAGAAATAAAGATCAGAAAAAAACACTATATAATAAACAATGATCTAGTTTTTATTTATTTTGCAAATGTACATGAAAAATAAGTCAACATCTCAAGGACCTTGATGTGGTAAATGCTGCTGAAATCCATTATTATTGAAAGGTACTTTTCTGCTGTGTTTTCCTTGGAGAAATATTTTTCTTGGAACACGCATGGAGCACGGTGGCTGAGTGGATAGCACTCTCACCTCTCAGCAAGAAGGTCCTGGGTTCGAATCCCGGTTGGACCAGGGCCTTTCTGAGTGGAGTTTGCATGTTCTCCCTGTGTCTGCGTAGGTTTCCTCCGGGTGCTCCGGTTTCCCCTACCACTAAAAATATGTACAATAGGTCTGGCACGTGCCTCCTGTACTGGCACCCCCACTCCCAAAAATAACAATTGTAAACCGCTTTGAGACTCTGATGTGCAGTGAAAAGGCGGTATATAAATAAAGATTATTGCTATATAAATAAAGATTACTACTTCAGTATGAGAATAAACGTTTACACTGTTTTTAGTGCTCACAAACATGAATTCTTACATACACTTGCTTGTCTCTGCTATACTGTGGAACATGAGCCTTTTTAATGTATTAAAATATGAATATTGTTGTGGCCAAAGCTTACGCAAAGTAGAATACCATAACCATATAATTATAGATTATAGGAGAATGAATTGGTTATTAGTTATGCAGATGTATGCATATTATTGCATATATTATAAATACAAATACATATGCATTTCGTTGTCCAGTCACTGCCAAACTGGCGCACGGGGGCAGTAGTGCGTCTACATCAGCTGTGATCGGAGGATGTCGCCTCGGAGGCAGATATGATGTAATCAAAAAGCTTCATCAGAAACGGGGCATCGCCACTAAACATCACAGAAACAGAGCGAGGATTACCTCCGCTCCGGGACCCTCCTCTGACCTGCTTTCCCCGCTTATCCAGCCGCGCTTGTGGTCACATTTGTCCGAGTTCAGGTTACAGGCTGCACTTGGTTAAATCTGCAGCGGAACCCAGGGATGCTGCACTCAATCCCACTGCTTTTTGCCTTGTCTCTGCCGGCTGTGATCGAGCTCTATCCACCACCTCGAAAATGACCCACACCCCGTCTCCATCCGCCAGACGCGCCTGCTGCTGCCGCCGCTGTGGCGCTTCCACCCGGGTGCTGGGTCTGCACAGGCCCCTGATGTCCGCTTTGGATCAAGTTACCACAGTGTCCAGGAGTGATTTTTAGCGTTGCTTGTCGCTTTACAATTCAACCACATATCCAAATCGTGCGTAATTTCTTTATTATTTACATCGTGGGCAGCTTTATGGCTTCGTGACAGCTCGTTTTGTGATCCTTTGGGCGGGGGTATGTCCAGGCTTTACCGGGCAAACAGCAGCCCCCACGCCGCCTTTCCAGAAGCTGTGCGCCGCTTGGCCCAGTGACTTTACACCGCTGCTGCTGCTGCTGCTGCGTTTGTGCACGGTGGAGGAGAGCTGGGACGCTGAGTGGGACGGACAGTGGCCTTTCCAGCTCAGGACTAAACCATGGCCAATGAACCTGTCATTCTTAATGTGTACGACATGGTAAGAACAGCAGCAGGGAACACTCAATTAAAGCCGTGTTTTCTTTCCCTCCGTTGAGAGTAAAACAAGAGAGGCAGTCAGATCAGCTACACTTCAATCTGTTTGTGTTCTCTATGCCAAGTCCTTGTCTCAGTGTCTGTGACAGACTAGCACAGCACCCATTTAGTCATACATTAGTTAGGGCGCTTATCTTTTTCATGTTAGGACAGTTTCTTCATGTAGGCCTCTTTGATAATTCTACACTTGGACATGGAGCTAACAAGTGGAAAACCCGAAAGTTTGAGGTTAATTTCAAGTTGTTATTATCACATAATATATGTTTGTACACAGGAATTCATTCTTTACATGAACATCCAAATAGATAGTTATGCCATAAATATACATGTAGGAGAAACAGGCCAGATACGCTTGACAAAGGTAATCTGGTGCACAACTCATGAGGCCAGTGTGAACACAGGCCTTGTCTCTGTCAGCAGAAATCACACATAAACTACAGCATTGATTTTATGAGACATGCTGCAGGATAGGGCATGGGCCAAGGACAACGCAACAGTGTTTTACTGTGGAGGGATCCAAAATCACTCCCCCCTTGGACTGCCACCTTAACGTGGTGGGGGAGTTTGAGCACTCGGATGATCCTGGGAGCTATGCTGTCTGGGGCTTCATGCCCCTGGTAGGGTCTCCCATGGCAGACAGGTCTCAAGTGACGAGTCAGACGAAGCGCAGTCCGAAGCCAACCATGGACAGCACGACAACGAAAACCGTGACGTCGCCCGGCATGGCGCAGCCGGGGCCCCACCCTGGAGCCAGGCCTGGGGTCGGGGCTCGCAAGCGAGCGCCTGGTGGCCGGGCCTTAGCCCACGGGGCCCGGCCGGGCTCAGCCCGAAGGGATGACGTGGGCAGTCCCTCCTGTGGGCTCACCACCTGCAGAGGGGTCCGTGGTGGCGAGGTGCAGAGAGGACTGGGCAGCAGTCGAAGGCGGAGACCTCGACGACCCAGTCCACACACCCAACATCTGGGTCTTGGGACGTGGAACGTCACCTCACTGGGGGGGAAGGAGCCCGAGCTTGTGGGGGAGGTTGAGCGATACCGACTAGAGATAGTCGGCCTCACCTCCACACACAGCTTGGGCTCTGGAACCCAACTCCTTGAGAGGGGTTGGACGCTCCACTTTTCTGGTGTTTCTCGCGGGGAGAGGCGGCGAGCTGGGGTGGCCATACTCATTGCCCCCCATCTCAGCCGCCACGTGTTGGAGTTCTCCCCGGTGAATGAGAGGGTCGCGTCCCTCCGTCTCCGGGTGGGGGACAAGTCTCTCACTGTTGTGACGGCCTACGGGCCTAACGGTAGTGCAGAGTACCCGGCCTTCTTGGAGTCCTTGGGAGGGGTACTGGACAGTGCACCGCCCGGGGACTCCGTTATTCTCCTGGGGGACTTCAACGCCCATGTGGGAAATGCCAGTGACACTTGGAGAGGGGTGATCGGGAAGAGCGGCCCCCCTGATCTGAACCCGAGCGGTGTTCAGTTGTTGGACTTCTGTGCCAGTCACGGCCTGTCCATCACGAACACCATGTTCGAGCACAAGGGTGTCCATCAGTGCACGTGGCACCAGGACACCCTAGGCCGGAGGTCGATGATCGACTTTGTAGTCGTATCATCTGACCTTCGACCGCGTGTCTCGGACACTCGGGTGAAGAGAGGGGCGGAGCTGTCAACCGATCATCACCTGGTCGTGAGTTGGATCCGCTGGCAGGGCAGGAGGCCGGTCAGACCTGGCAGGCCCAAGCGTGTAGTGAGGGTTTGCTGGGAACGTCTTGGTGAGCCCCCTGTCAGACGGACTTTCAACTCACACCTCCGGGAGAGCTTCTCCCAGGTCCCGGCAGAGGAGGGGGACATCGAGTCCGAGTGGACCATGTTCTCTTCCTCTATCGCCAATGCGGCGGCTCGTAGCTGTGGTTGCAAGGTCTCTGGTGCTGGTCCCGGCGGCAATCCCCGAACCCGGTGGTGGACACCGGCAGTAAGGGATGCCGTCAGGCTGAAGAAGGAGTCCTATCGAGCAATGATGGTTCGTGGGACTCCTGAGGCAGCTGTCCAGTACCGGCAGGCCAAACGTGCCGCGGCCCGGGCTGTTGCAGAGGCAAAAACCCGGGACTGGGAGGAGTTCGGAGAGTCCATGGAGCATGACTATCGGTCGGCCTCGAAGAGGTTCTGGCAAACCGTCCGGCGCCTCAGGAGGGGGAAGCAGTTCTTTGCCAACACCGTGTATGGTGCGGGTGGAGGGCTGCTGACCTCGACTGGGGATATTGTCGGGCGGTGGAAGGAATACTTCGAGGTTCTCCTCAATCCCCCCGTCACGTCCTCCGTCCAGGAGGCAGAGGCTGAGGATGTTGGGGCGGATACTTCCATCTCCCTGGCCGAGGTCACCAAGGTGGTTGGCAGCCTCCATGGTGGCAAGGCGCCGGGAGTGGATGAGATCCGTCCTGACTATCTAAAGTCTCTGGATGTTGTAGGACTGTCTTGGCTGACACGTCTCTGCAACATCGCGTGGCAATCGGGGGCGGTGCCAATGGAGTGGCAGACCGGGGTGGTGGTCCCTCTCTACAAGAAGGGGGACCGGAGGGTGTGTTCCAATTATCGTGGGATCACACTCCTCAGCCTCCCCGGTAAGGTCTACTCCAAGGTACTGGAGAGGAGGCTACGTCCGATGGTCGAATCTCGGATTCAGGAGGAGCAGTGTGGTTTTCGTCCCGGTCGCGGAACACTGGACCAGCTCTATACTCTCCATCGGATACTCGAGGGTTCATGGGAGTTCGCCCAACCTGTCCACATGTGCTTTGTGGATTTGGAGAAGGCGTTCGACCGTGTTCCCCGGGGTGTCCTTTGGGGGGTCCTCCGGGAGTACGGGGTCCGGGGTCCTCGGCTGAGGGCTGTTCGGTCCCTGTATGACCGGAGCCAGAGCTGTGTTCGCATTGCCGGCAGTAAGTCAGACCTGTTCCCGGTGCATGTTGGCCTCCGCCAAGGCTGCCCTTTGTCACCGGTTCTGTTCACTGTATTTATGGACAGAATCTCTAGGCGCAGCCAGGGGCCGGAGGGGGTCCGGTTCGGGAACCACAGGATTTCATCTCTACTTTTTGCGGATGATGTCGTCCTGCTGGCTCCAACGAACCAGGACCTGCAACATGCACTGGGACGGTTTGCAGCCGAGTGTGAAGCGGCTGGGATGAGAATCAGCACCTCCAAATCCGAGGCCATGGTGCTCGACCGGAAAAAGGTGCCTTGCCCTCTCCAGGTGGGTGGAGAGGTCCTTCCTCAAGTGGAGGAGTTCAAGTATCTCGGGGTCTTGTTCACGAGTGAGGGGAGGATGGAGCGTGAGATTGACAGGCGGATCGGTGCAGCGTGCGCAGTGATGCGGTCTCTGTATCGGACCGTTGTGGTAAAGAGGGAGCTGAGCCGAAAGGCAAAGCTCTCAATTTACCGGTCAATCTTTGTTCCCTCCCTCACCTATAGTCATGAGCTGTGGGTAATGACCGAAAGAACGAGATCGCGGATACAAGCGGTCGAAATGAGCTTCCTCCGCAGAGTGGCTGGGCGCTCCCTTAGAGATAGGGTGAGGAGCTCGGTCACACGGGAGGAGCTCGGAGTAGAGCCGCTGCTTCTCCACGTCGAGAGGAACCAGTTGAGGTGGCTCGGGCATCTGTTCAGGATGCCTCCTGGACGCCTTCCTGGGGAGGTGTTCCGGGCACGTCCCACCGGGAGGAGGCCCCGGGGAAGACCCAGGACACGCTGGAGGGACTATGTCTCTCAGCTGGCCTGGGAACGCCTAGGGGTCCCCCCGGACGAGCTGGAGGAGGTGTGTGTGGATAGGGAAGTCTGGGCGTCTCTGCTTAGACTGCTGCCCCCGCGACCCGGCAACGGATAAAGCGGAAGAAAATGGATGGATGGATGGATGGGATCCAAAATCACCCACACACCTGCATTTGAAACATACTTAGCTCACTGAGCTTCTCACTTTGAGACTAGCTGATACTGTGTTTATAATCACAGAGTGAGTTCACAGACCTGTGCAGACAACTGTGGCAAAGATCATAGAGGAACAGGTGTGCATGACTGGAGCCATCCTTTAACTAGCCACCGTGCCTAGGGCGGCACGGTGGCTGAGTGGATAGCACTCTCGCCTCTCAGCAAGAAGGTCCTGGGTTCGAATCCCGGCCGGACCAGGGCCTTTCTGAGTGGAGTTTGCATGTTCTCCCCGTGTCTGCGTAGGTTTCCTCCGGGTACTCCGGTTTCCCCTACCACTAAAAATATGTACAATAGGTCTGGCATGCGCCTTCTGTTCGGCGACCCCGCTCCCATCTCTGTGTGGAGTGAGAGACAAATGCCCAAAAATAACAATTGTAAACCGCTTTGTGACTCTGGTCTGTGAAAGGCGGTATATAAATAAAGCTTACTTACTTACTTACTTAACTATATACTGTATATATATCCACTGAATCAAGAAGAGGACTGAATAAAGGGTTTTCTAATGTACATTTTGGTATGACTCAATTAGAATGTAGGAAATACTGTCAGGGGGTGAGCTAATTTGGAATTTTTATATTTTTGTTTATATTTTATATTTGTTTATATATTTTTGTCATATATTTTTTGTTTATTGAGACCAGACAGGTTACACCACTTGGGGCTGAAAATGAGGCATCTCAAAGTGCTAAACAAGATAGAAACATACTCTAACATCCTAAATAATCCCAGTTCATTTAAAAAGAGTGAAGATACAATTCCTCAGTTGTATGTAAACAGAAGTAGAAGTCTGTCTCATCTTTTCAAGAAGACTGAGATTTTAGCTGCATAAAGCTCAAATGATGGCCTCCCCATGTTTAGTCCGAACCATGGGCACCAGCAGGAGGCCAGTCCCTGTGCTCCTCGGAGTCAGCGAGCAGGCAGAAATACTAAAATGCTTTTGTGGGCCCCATTTACATACATAATTTCATAGATTATTAGAGCTACATGAGTTAAAATGATTGTGATTCTTGTTTTATTCACTTATCAGTTACTTTTCAGCCACATGTAACATGGCTTTAAAACATACATCTCGACCAATGATCAAGATTATGTATCATATGAGCCAAATATTTCTATTTTGCTTCTGTGCCAATTACAAGCAAATGTCAGAGACTTTTTATGTCACTTCAGTTGGATGAAAGAAAGGGGAAACGAGGACTCCTCTTGTGTAGAGACAATGCACTAATCTTGTTGAGTTAAAACAACATTATTGATCCAAAGAAGAAAACATACATTTCCCAGAAGTCAGTTGGGCCCGTGTTCAATATTTACAGCGCTGAGGACAGACAAATGGCTATTCTTGTAGAGTAAAATGGACCCGCTTTGGGAAAATGTGGCAAGTTTGTACGACTTTCGCTATCTAAGGACCCATGTTGGTGCTGACGTTTCAAATTCAACGCTTAGGATTCCATTCAGAAAGCAGAAAAGTTAATATTATGCAACATGTTACAGTCGGCCACAGACGCTACAGTGAGAAAGAGTCAAATCCTTGCGACCATAATTGGGTTTTGGGATGGTCCATGTGTGTGTTAGTGAAGTATAGTGTTTTTGAGTTTAGTTTATAAATGGTGAATCTTGATGGTTCATATCTGTGATGGAGCTTTGATAATCTTTTGGTGTGTGTGTGTATAGACAGACAATAAGCTTGACTAAAAACAGCAAATTATTCAGGACTTTCAACTTAACAATTTAACTGAAAACTCCCAGACAAAAGCACTCTTACTCCTTAAATAAAGTCCTTTAGATAAGTAAACAAAAGGCTGAAATACTGAAATACATTTTTGTGTTTTTATGCCTCCACCACTCACTGAAAACACAATTCAAGCAAGTTTTCCAAATCTGCAGAGAGATGAACTGATTTCAGGTTTTTGAGCAGTAAAATCCTTATGCAAGTATTATATCACACTGAGGTATAGTGCAAGCCAAGACATTTAATCTCCATGACAACAGTAAGTAGCAGACTCCATTAGAAAAGTTGTGCATTGCACCTTTAGCGTGGTCCTTGGTTGGAAGTTGTATTTTAATCACACAGTTACAGTCAGGGCTAAGTGGCTCTGATAAGTAAATGGCTTCTAAAACAAGAGCCGTTTGAGGAGATGATGAGTCGATCAGCTACGGTGTAAATCGATGAGACTGAAGCAGTGTCCAATGGTGCATGCAGTGCTCTGTGGGAGGTTTGGTTTTCTCAACAAAGGATAGAAAGCAGCAGCCAAAGAAAGAACTACACTGCAGCGCACAGACGGGCTCTAAAAGCTTTCTAATGTCCAGGCACAGTCACACAACCTCATTTCAGGCTTGTCCTTGGGTGGTTTATTTCCCTTTTCAACACTTTGTATGCATATCTTCTCTTTCTAGGAGCTTTCGGTCACAATAATTCAACCTGGATTTTTCAAAAGATGTGTTTTAAAAGCATGCATGCAAAAATAAGAAAATCCCTGACAAGTTGATAAAGGAACAACCCAAATTTTGAATGGAACAACTAAACTTTCAAATCCGGCGGTTTTTATAAAATTTTTGCTCACTATATACGATAAGATTAGAGAACCTTTATTTGTCCCACAATGGGGAAATGTTGTTGTTGCAGCGCACATACAGGACAGTAGTAATAGCACCCAAGGAGCACACAAAATATACAGAGATAAATAGCTCTGAATGCTTCATAAGAGCAGCAGGTAAATATCATGACCTAATTTGACAAGGATCATCTGGTCAAGTCTGCACAAGAATTGAACAAAAGCTTTGTGGACTAATGTTTTTCCAGGGGGTATTGACAAAAGATCAATACTGCAAATGTACTAAATCCTTAATTTAATGTTAGGCTCAATATGGATTTTCTGTATTTTAGTTATCGTAAATGGTCATTTCCCTGCTGTTGAAATAATGCAACCAGATAGTAGACACTTGTACGTAAATGCAGCCCATTCCTGAGAAAGACCAGGGCATGTGAGCGGAAGTGAACAGGTCATATTGGAAACCTGAGAAGCCTCTGTTGTTGACAAGATTGAAATGCTTTTTATCGCATTACTCCGAGGCCGGAAATGTCTTTTATAATTAATAACTAACAGATGGGGGTTGCCTTTTCCCCTTCTGGGCTGTCTGGAGATGGAGAGAAGAGTTTAGGATATAAGAGGTGAAGGCATAAGGTCTGTTGATGTTACATAGAACACATGTTATTATTAGTAAATCAATAACACTTTAGTAATTGTGGACTGGAAACCTATTCAATGATTACATTTAGTCAATTAATGACATATTGTAATGATAGAAATAGGGGAAAATAGCCTGGCTCCTGTTGGCCTTTAGCTAACCGTTAAGGGAAAAAAAACAATGGCCTCAAATGTATGGCTTTAATAATGTTGGTTTCTTTTGAATTGAATTGTCTATGCATAAACTTCCCATCACACTATCACTGAGCATATTTCTGCTTCTCCACCTGATATTCAACTTATTGCCGTGATTAATAGAAAAAAACCTGTGTGAGTAATGCATTAATGAACCCATGATAAGGAGTATACATTATGTTTAAATAATTCACTGATCTGGTGGTTTTACAGGTACTTGCACAGCGCTGCTCCCACGTTGTAACTTTCTATCGTCTGATAATTTTTTCATCGTGTTTTTCTCCAGTACTGGATAAATGAATACACCTCCAATCTGGGCATTGGCGTTTTCCATTCAGGCATTGAAATCTACGGCAGAGGTAAGCAGAGGGCTTCTTCTCACAGACCTGGAACATTGTGCTGCTAATAATATGACCTCCATTCTGGGGTCGAGTCACCACTGAGTCACGCGTCTGCTACAATGTGTGTGTTTCTATGCCCCGCAGGCTAAAGTGCATATGACGGCGTTCATTGTTGTCCCAATTTGACTCCATTGGATTAAAATATAAATGGCAGTTTTGGCTCAATTTACAAGAAACACAGATATTAACACTTAAAAAATGCTCTAAATAAACATATCTTCATCATTTAATTCGCCAATAATGATTTCTGTTTTTTTACAGTTTGTTTTATGGTTGGTATGATGTCATCAAGTATAACCAGGAAGTAGAAATATACCAATAAAAATATGGTAAAACTGAGATGAAATCATTAAAAGTAAAAATAATGATAATATTAGTAGTAAAATAATTAGCTAAATCTTAAATGCAGTGATGATAATGGTGTTTAGTGAAAAGTCTAACCCTGTCATACATATTTTAATAGTTCCTGTCTATATGAACAAAACATACGACTTTCTTCTTCAGTCTTATTCTGATGCCTTGTGAAAGGTGGAAAATAAAAATAATTGACATTAAAACCAGTCTATAGAAATGTATTGATTGAAATATAAGTGAAATGTAAAGAACTGTAGTATTGTTTAGCTGGCAATTAAAATAAAATATACTGACCAACTGTTGTGACTAAGAAATATGAAAAAAAAAAAAAACTTCTAACCTAATTATAATTTTAGCATCTGGAGGTCACGTCATTATACCTTCTGTTCATTGACTTCCCACATATAATCCATTACACAACATTTCATAATATAAATAGCATTAATCCATATTCACATGCACTTAAACACCTCCTTTTCAAATCCCACACTCCCACGGATCCTTTCTTTCCCTTACGCAGTCGAAACGCTCTGTAATTAGACTAATGATTCAAACCCATAGAGACGGTCATTCATTACATGCCTTTGTGTAATTACGGTCATTTGTGGCTTCCAGTTAAAGTTTAAACTAACCTGCATCTTTGTTTGGCGGTGTGCAGAATTTGCATATGGTGGACATCCCTATCCGTTCAGTGGCATCTTTGAAATCAACCCTGGCAATGCTGCTGAGCTCGGAGAGACGTTCAAGTTCAAGTGAGTCTGTGGGACTTTGTGGTGTCGATGATACCCGATATTTACCCTTCTGCACTCACAGATACCCATATTTAACAATACACCTATTAAAATGCAAATAATAACTGAAAGAGCTATAATAATACTAATATTTATTCAGCACTTTACATTTAAAAGAATCCTCAAAGTGATGCATACGATTAGACCAGTGGTTCCCAAAGTGGGGGTCACGGGATGATTTCCATAAAAATAAGAATAAAGTTGAACAAATATATAGCTCTTGAATATTTTTGTTGGTATTTATTTGATTCATTAGGACCACTTGATAAATTGTGTTTGGAGAAGAGTCTAAGAAAAATGTAATATATTTTTCATTAAATTTGTAATTATGTCCCAGACATTACGAGATTACGACAGCGTGAATCAAAATAAACTTACGTAGCTACTCTGGGCACAGCGACAGAACGTGTCCTGATAAAGCTAAAGGTGTTTGGAGGCTAAAAAAAAAAAAAAACCTGCTTTAAAGTTAAACGTTGGTAATATCCACAGCGACAGGAAGGGTTGTTGAGGTGGGGGGTCACGGGGCAGCAGCACATTTATCATGGAGGTTGCGGGCTAAAAACTATGGAAACCCCTGAATTAGAATATAGGTTTTTATTTTTGGACCTTCAGAGGCCTTATTGTTCATACAATTTTCATTTAGGTCAATCTACCAACTATTTGATCAGTCAATCAAAAAATTGTATAAAGCTTTTCATACAAATAAGGTAAGAGTGGATAGCACTCTCGCTTCTCAGCAAGAAGGTCCTGGGTTCGAAGCCCGGTTGGAACAGGGCGTTTTTGAGTGGAGTTTGCATGTTCTCCCCGTGTCTGCGTAGCTTTCCTCCGGGTACTCCGGTTTCCCCTACCACTAAAAACATGTACAATAGGTCTGGTATATGCCTCCTGTACTGGAAACCCCGCTCCCATCTCTGTGTGGAGTGAGAGACAAATGCCCACAATTGTAAACCGCTTTGTGACTCTGGTCTGTGAAAGGCGCTATATAAATAAAGATTACTTACTTACTTGCTTTACACACCCAGCGATATCGGACTCAGAACACTTTTTCCACACTCATAGTTTGTGCTTGTGTGAAGCTATATATTCTGTACTTCTAAACATGTTTTGTATTTTCAAATGATGACATAATTGAGCCGATCTGCGGAGATCACAGGAACTGACGGCTTTTTTCCTTAGAAGAAGAGGAAGCTTTTCCATCAGACAGAACCTCATCCACAACTACCACAAAAAATATATTAAAAGGAGCAACACACACTAAGGAAACTTCTGATCAGTGTAGTTTTAATGCATCATCAGTTTTATTAGTAGTTTCTATTGTCATTGTCATTAAAAAATAGAAAATACGTTTATTTACAACAAACACTTTACACAACCTCAGAGCATGAGTGAAAAAAATTGTCAACTTCAAAGCTCAACTGTAAGTCAAGTTTGTGATCTTGAAACCACAAGTTTGATCATTGTCTTGACCCCACTCACTAAAAAAAGAGATGTTTTTCCAACATTCGGGGGAATACTGTAGAAGTAACAACAGGCTTCCATGTGTGGTTGTGTTTGACAGGGAGGCCATTGTTCTGGGCACCACAGACTTCACAGAGGAGGACATCGATAAAATCATGGAGGAGCTGGGCAAGGAGTTCAAAGGGAACGCCTATCACCTCATGCACAAAAACTGCAACCACTTCTCCTCCTCGCTGTCAGAGGTTGGTCCCTCACAGCTCTAGACATTGGCGTGCACGAGCATCCAACAGTCATTGCTCAAAACCCACCTGTTCAGAACTGCCTACGCACAACTGTTTACTGTACCTTTTTTAAATGACCTGTCCCTTTTTTGTGCAGTGTCTTTTTGTGTCCACAATCCGCCATACAAGTACAACGTTCCTTTGAGCTTAGTTTATTTTATGACGCAGAATTACAGTTTCTCTTTGCATTGATGCAAATTGATGATGGTAATGACCACTGCAACAATCCTTGTTATTTACCATCATTTCTGAAATCCCTGGATTATATTCTTTAAAATCTGCTAAAGTTTTTTCCTAAAAAATAATTTACTGAGAAGAATCATAACAATAATATTAGAAACCCTCTAATTTGAATGAGGGAAATTGGCGTCATGAACAGGAATAGAATTGTGCTCATTAATGATCATTAGGTTTGAGAGAAGGGCTGATTTAATTGCATATACAGTATCTCGTACTAAAAGGTCCTGTGTTGTTTCCAGCTGCTGTGTGGGCGTGAGATCCCACGCTGGGTGAACCGCCTGGCCTACTTCAGCTCCTGCATCCCGTTTCTCCAGAGCTGCCTGCCCAAAGAGTGGTTAACGCCGGCCGCGCTGCAGAGCCACATCAGCATGGGCCTCCACAAGGACGACCAGCGGGACTCCAGCGACGAGGACCCTAACTCTCCATCGGGGGGCGCTGCCACCGGTTGCTCCTCTCACGGCTGCAGACACACCAGGGTTTGACCATAGTCTGTAACTCTATAATATACAGTCTATGGGTCTGACCCACATGGATGGACTATTTCATTAAAGTGCATATGACAGGTTGGAATACATCTTTAATGAAAATGCAATTAAATTAAGCTTATATTTTAGACTTTGCTATATATTTGACTCACTATATTCCTTCTTTGAAATAAAACATGACGGTAATCGCACACAAAGGATTCCTTCCCCTAAAATTATAATGATAATGAGATGGATAAACTAGAACACTGAATTAAATTTCAAGATGCCAGTGTGTTGTGCCTAAATTTGAAAAAGGCTCATATAAGGCTGCAACCAATTCAGAAGAAAACAATAAAAGGGATTTTTCTAATTTGAAACTGCTTTGGTTGGTAATAATCTTTATGCTATTTATTTTAAGTTTTAAGTTAAACCACCAAAACTGTCATATGCACTTTAAACTGTGGGTCTGTCATTCCCATTGGCCGCAACAACAACCTGACCTCTAGAATACGGGCAAAAGCTGCTGCCACAGGACAAGCCATGACCTCTGTTAAAATAACATGAGGCGAACTTTCCTTTTGAGCTAAAAAGTGGCTCGGACTCAACTTAAGACTGCAACAAGTTTGTATTTATTACTGTCAATCTTTTCCACTTTTTTCAGCCTTTTCCTTGCCTTCGAAGCTGTTTCTTTTCTTCCCTTAATCCTATTTTTAAAGGGACACTTAAATGGGATAATGCATTTTGATTGTTTTTCAAATCCGATCACATATGTTCAAAACACAGAGGTCCCATTATTTAAATCTACATACAGACACTTCTCTGAACTTCCATGTTATACTTCAAGACATTGTAAAATCACACCTCATGTGTCCATTGCGAACACGATGGCAATGTCTTCTGCAAATGATTGTGAGTTATTATTCACATGTTTATTGCTGTTCCAATGTTATTTTAATTTTAATTAGGACTAGTAAAAGACAACACTAGACTGTTCATAGTAGGGAAACTAACAGGTGAACTCCTATTCTTATTCATTTGAACGATTCAGATCAATAACCTCAACGCGGCCTTTGGTAAATAATAGTGTTGGACACACTTTTCTATTTTCCCTTTTGTCATTTTTAGAGGCAACTTTAGAAAGAGGATTTGACTGCTCCTCGGAATGAGAAACGCAAATGTTGCATGTGGAAATGATAAACTCTTTATTTTATTTTATTTTTCCTATTGTGCAAGAACTACCTGCAAACAAGCCAGGGTTTCTGCAGGCTTGTGTTACTATAATCAACTCTTATTCAATGCTTTAAAAGATGTTTATGCATATGTAGTACATTCATATAATTTATTATCAATACTTTGATACAAAACCCTGCAAACACCCTGCTTTGTTGCAAGACAAGGGAAAATACTGTTTATTCATCACAAAGGAGTCGAGCTGCTTGATGCACAACTTATAACCCCAAGATGCTTGATTTTACAGAAAAAAAAGATAGAAATACAGCATAGAAAAACCCCTGAGTAATATTATCTTCTAAATTTTAAGATTTTAAGGGAATACTCTGATTATTTATATTAATAGGACTTTAATGGTGCTCTTGTATCTCAATCAGGTATCAGCTACTTCTTTTTTAAATGTGTGAGATTCTGTAAGAAATGATGAAAGTTAAAACATTGATATTCTCTCATCTGAAAAGGCAGCATCCAACATCATCTTTCATTGTTTAGAGATTACCCTATTTTCTTGAGCAGGTTTTGGACTGAAAGAGGAAGAACCTTTAGACAATAAGTTCTCACTTGCGCTGTGATGATTATGATGAAACGATGTTCTGATAGGTAAAACCCTCAGGTCAAAGTGGTCACACAATTTAGAAAATACACGCTTCAATTACTTTTCAATTTAATATTTTGAAAGTAATAATTTTAATTTCAACTGTTTTGCTATGATCACTCAAACTTTTATTAGGCCCGAGCCCCGAACGGGGTAAGGGCCTATTGCTTTCACAATGGTGAAAACAAATGGTGGCGGTGCGTGACGGACGCGTCAGCGCCCGTCACTCACCAAAATGTGACAGTTGCGTGCGTAAACTCAAAAGCTTTAAAATGATGTATCACATGCCATTGAAACCTATATTGTTTTTGCTCGAGACGTTAAAAAAAAAATTCCTTTTTTATTTATTTCTTTCTTTCTTTTTTCTTCTGCACTTTGAGCCTTAATTTGACCCCCTGAACATGCATGAAAAGTTGTTAATTTTGGCCCAAAAATCAGACCTGGCGAAAAATTTGATATTTTGGTGTTTATTTTTATGGGACTCAAAAAATGCCAGAACAGCGCCACCTACAACAGCCAAAATAATACCCCTATGGGACTTTTTGGAGGTCAAGTTTGTCGTAGAAACATGAGATTTGGTACACATGTTCCTTGAGTCAAGACATGAAAAAAATATTATTATGGCTCCGCCCTCTGACAAACAGGAAGCCCATAAATTTCACTGCAAAATGGAAAAATGAACAGCAAAAGTTTTCATACATGTCGGTTGGAAAGCGACTCCTCCTCGGCCGTTTCACCGATTCGCCTCAAAATCGCTCCACATCATCTCAACACATGTACCTTCAAAATGACCTCAGGGATTTTTGATCAGTGAAACATTGTTTGAGCAGCGGAGCGGCAAAATGTGACCTTTTTTTGGCCGTTTTTGACAACATTAAATTTGCTCCCGTTTGCACAAACAAAGTCTGATTTGCACAAAACTTTAATACATTGTTCAACTTTAGGGTCTAGGTCATTTGAAAGTTAAATGATTCACATTGACACATTAGCGCCCCCTACAGACTATTTCAAAGTTTTAGATGGGCATTTTCAAATTTAGTTTTTTCAAAATGTTTGAAATTTTGCACATAAATCTGTTTTGCACTCTTGATTCAAAAAGTCAATAGGGTCCAAGGCTTATTTTTTACCCTGTTGCCGTGGCGACGACAAACGCTCCAGATTCATTGCAAATGTACACCTCACACAAACATCAAACTAGCCTCGGCCGTTTCACCTATTCGCCTCAAAATCGCTCCACATCATCTCAACACATGTACCGTCAAAATGACCTCAGGGATTTATGATCAGTGAAACGTTGTTTGAGCAGCGGAGCGGCAAATAGTGGCGTATTTTTTTTCAGTTTTTGACAATAGAAAAATGGCTTCCGTTTGGACAAACAAAGTCTGATTTGCACAAAACTTAAATCCATGGTTCAACTCTTGGGTCTAGGTCATTTGAAAGTTAAAATTTTGAAATTGGCTCTATAGCGCCACCTACAACAGCCGATTTAAAAATGCCTATGGGAGGGGTTCGAGGTCAAAATTGTCATAGAACCATGTAATTTGGAACACATGTTCCTCAAGTCAAGACATTGAACTTGTTTTATTATGGCTAAGCCCTCTGACAAACAGAAAGCCCATAAATTTCACTGCAAAATGGAAAAATGAAAAATAATCATTTTCATACATGTCGGTTGGAAAGCGACTCCTCCTCGGCCGTTTCACCGATTGGCCTCAAAATTGTTCCAAATCATCTCAACACATTTACCTTCAAAATGACTTCAGGGAATTTTGATCAGTGAAACGTTGTTTGAGCAGCGAAGCGGCAAAATGTGAGGGTTTTTTTGGCCGTTTTTGACAACATTAATTTTTTCCCGTTTGCACAAACAAAGTCTGATTTGCATTAAACTTGAATCCATTGTTCAACTCCAGGGTTTAGGTCAGGTGAAAGTGAAATATTTGAAATTGGCCCATTAGCGCCCCCTAAAGACTGAGCCAAAGTTTACATCGGGAGCCAAACCAGCTCTACTTATCATATTCATTCAAATTTGACTAACAATCTTCTATGACTACGGGAACAAATCATCACACGGCGGCGCCACCTCCTTTGAGCGGTGCTGCGTGGTACGGTGTGGTGCGGCGTAGTGCGGGGCGTTGTGGAGCGGCGCGTTGCGGCTTGGTACGGGACGGCGTGGTGCGGGACGGCGTGGTGCGGGACGGCGTGGTGCGGGACGGCGTGGTGCGGGACGGCGTGGTGCAGGGCGGCGTGGTGCGGGGAGTGCGCGCGGTGCAGGGAGTCGCGCGGTGCGGCGAGGGCCGTTCGACGCCGCTTGCGGCTTTAATTTTATTATTCATTTTCTCCAACCTGTCATTCATTATTTTTTTCATTTTATAATTTATAAAATTACAAAATGAGGAAACTCAAAACTATATATTTACAATCCACCCCGTTATATTGCTCCCTTGTATATTTGTCATTGTTCACCAAGTGTCTTATGTACATAATTTTGCATTATTTTTTAACCACTCAGTGTTAAAGTAAACTTTTTGCATTTGTTCCCCCATTGTGCCGTCACCCTAAACTCAGTATCCTGTTTCTGAGATCTTCAAGAATGATCAATGTAGTAGAATAAAGAGGTGGAACAGAAACACAGGTGTTTGCACTCATCAGCCGCATGTGAAGAAAACCACTCCATTCACAGGTGGACACAACATTTTGGTTGATTGTTCATTTGATTAATCACAGATATTGAATTCACTGACTGCATTCCAACATACAGTCTATGATTCCAACCAAAAAATAATTGGGCTGAGGCAATTTGTTTATGTAAGTCCACCCTGAAATCACGTCACAAACAGCAAACACACCTACTTGATACATAAATAAATACATATTTATTAAAGCTGGGGTTCCAAACTTTAATGTTTCAACATGGCCTTACAGTAGATATCCATAAACTCTGGTCAATTATTATTCCCATACATGTAAATTAGTACGAAATTAAAATTGTACGATAGTATGGTAAGGCCAGGCCAGGCTAGTCCCAACATGTAAAAGTATGATATTTTGCGACTACATCAAACCACAACATGCAGTCTTAATCTTATGAATGTTAAAAATATTGATTCAAGAAAACCATTTTAGAGCCTGGAACTAGAATGATTTTATTGCTTATTCTATTTAGTGAGATTTGAATGTAGGTACCCCAGTTTTAAAATAGAATTTTAATATACATATTAAAAACAAATGATTTACAAAACTTCATAGTATTACAAGTCACATACATAGTAATTTCTAAAGTTTGTAGGTCCATCCATCCATCCATCTTCTTCCCTTTAATCCATTTCTGGGTCAGGGGGGTGGCAGTCAGAGATGCCACCCAAGTCTCATAGCACCAGCCCCTCACTGACCCTCTGCAGGTGGTGAGTCCACAGGAGGACGGCTGCTCTCTGAGTGTGAGCATAGCCTTGATCTTTCAGTGGGGGCTTTGGGCAAAGTGGGGTTAAGTGTCTTGCCCAAGGACACAACGACAGCAGTCATCAGTGGGAGTCTAGTTTGTAGGTGTATTTTCTATATGAATATCAACTTGCTTTATAAAAAAAGCCATGATTACCCCTTAACACATGAAACATAATTTGCATTAGTAAGTATTTATTAGGAAAATGTTAAAAACACAAAAAATGTAATAGTTAGAACTTTGGCAACAAAAATACAAAAAGTCAAAACATTTCAACATTCAACAATTTCAAGACGTTCAGAACAGAAAGTGTGAACATAATAGCTTTCAGTATAGGGACACAACTATATTTTACGAAATACCAAAAAAGTAAAAATTACAGGCACAGATACATTGCTATATATGGATGTATGTTTACCAAAGACTGTAAATATTATTTTTACATTATTTTTAGGAAGGAAATAAGGAGCACTATGCCCAAATTTCATTGTCCTCGAACATTGTTGTTATAGGAGTCATGAGGGTTTACTGTGACTGGACCACTCGTTTGTGAAGTGACAGTGTGTGCACCGCTGCTTAACCAACAGAAGTGTTTTACTCATTGATTTGGACACGTCGCAATTATTGGAGCAGACGGGACACCACATAAAAAGCTCCATCAGTTTATCTTCCTCAACAATGAACTGGGACTTCTGTGGAGGGACTTCTTTGCTGAGGAAACGTAAAGTATGTTTACATTAACACTTCATAATACAGAAATCAGTATCTGAACAATGGAAAGGAAACTGTCTATTGTAGCCTTCAAGTCACTGGATAGTAGTTCCAAAAATATTCCAAAAGAATGTTACATGCAGTGGTTACCAAATACTGAGCTATACAAAATATAAAGTGAATGATAGTACCTTGTACGGTTGTTGTTATCGCTTTCAAAAGTGCAGAAGCTACTTGAGACACCATCTGACCCCTCACATCTCCTTCTCTTGCCTTGACTTATTTCAGAACTCTCTGCAGGGAAGTTGGCAGAACACTCCACACTTCTGCATGGAGCTCGGGCTTGGATAGCTAGGCAAAACAGATCTGTAATGAAAATGTGCTATACGTACACATTTATTTGTTTTAATTCCTTAGCAAGAAGTTTTTTTGGAGATGTTCAGCTCTCACCACACTGATCAGTAGAAAGATAAAGCTATATAATGGATGCAACATTATATAGTTTTATCTTTCCACTGATAATTTTATATGAACTTCCATTTACAAATGAGGCGTAAAATGACTATGCTCAGAACAAACCTGAACCCAGCAAAAATGCAGCAAATTATATCAGTCACCTTTGCTTCTAAAAAGAGGCTTCACCTGAGCCTGGACAAATGCATGCTTGGTGAGAACTCGGTCCGTCTGACAGCCAACATCCAAGGGGCCTTTAAGCTGGGAATTAAAGCAGGAAACAGGTATTTTGAAAATGTATCGTCATGATAAACCTGACTTTCTAACCACAATGCATGTTTTTTTGACCCCGGTCACATTTTAGATCAGACTTTTTAGACATAAAAGTAAAATAGATAGGAAATTGATAGGTAACTCTCTGTTGAGACAAGCATAATGTAATATTCATGTCAGTTTGTTACCACGCACTGACAAAATAGATGTCTCAAACTCACCTCTAACCTGGGCAGGCTCAGTTGTGGCTTTGTGTCTTCAAGATGTTCCTGTAAAAGAAGACACCATGTTAATCTTCTTCCCATACATAGTCGGGTTTCAGAGGCAGATACAAATGAGTCTTTTTGAAGAAGCTGTTTACTACTAAGCTACATCTACCAAGACACCATTGTTTTATCTATACAGTCTATGGTTTTATCCTTCTCATTTGTTTAAGAAACTGAATCATTTAGGTGAAACGGTTGTGGTTTGTTGACATGTTTGTAAGGCTGCTGATGGTGCAACATATTCTCAGAGCACGTCCGTGGACTGTTTACAACCTAGTTACTCAGTGATAACAATAACCTCAAAAAGTGTCTCCCCACACAGGGAACAAAAGTCACATTACGTTTCCGGTTCCGTGTTCAGGCGCCATTTTGCTACTGTTCCTGACACGCAGCAGAAGCAGCGCAAAGTTTGGACCCACGACTTAAACAAGCTTACTCTTGCTTTGCATCCTGGTAAGATCGATATTCTTTTGGGGAAGTCGGTTCAACTATGCATTGAATTAATAATTGTTGAAGCAGCTTTCGGAACGTTAACTATCGGAACAGAACGTAACGTGAAATCCTAACAGCTAGCTACAAGCTAAGCTAGTTAGCAGCTATTCATTTCTCAAATGCGCACTAGCCACAGAATATGTTACGCCACGATATGCATGGTTGGTAATCAACCATCCTAAACGATGTGATTTTTTTTCACATCTTCTGAAACATTTGCCGACCAAACACCCGTTTTAGTTTGGTTTGTAAGATCGATGCTTGGGGCCTTACTCGAGTGGAATTCGCTGGAGGTTTGTCGACGCCACACATGCTCATTGTAGGCCCATGGTCGTGTGGGGGTTCTTTGTGGAATGAATTTGGTATTCTGGGGTGGAACATTCTAAACCATTTCAATTCGGATCTGGCCTTAAACCGTTAACGAAATCTGAATATTACTGACGTCTAATTTTACAACATTACTTTAGTGTTCAATAGGGCTAAGTTTTTCTTCTAATTTCATTATCACTATGTGCTTCTACTATGTGTATTAGAGTAGGGTTACTTCGTTATCATTTTCGATGCTTTGCGTCCATCGCCGGATCGAAGGTTGACTTTAGCAGGAACATTTGGTGGTGTCCGCGGTGGCAGCTTGACGCACGCTCCGGGAGTCTACGTTATTCCGCCACAGGCGCCTTGTCTCAAAATTCAGCGGGAAACTATAACGGTATTTACAATGCAACCGCGAACATAACATGTTTTTACCATCTTGTAAATATTTTCGTTACATGAACGAATTCTACAGTACTATATTAAAAGGAGACTATTCTTACAATTTGCCCAGGATAATGTTTCTACTATGTAAGAGTTAATGTGTACACCTAACCCAACGGATCTATACTATCTAGGAACTTTAAGTTTGAGGTTCTTGTAGCAGACTTAAGCTACATGCCCCATAGTTGCCAGATTTTCAGAATGGAACACGTGACCAATCCTCTTTAAAAGAACTAAACTGACCAAACATCGTGATTAGCAATAACATATGTGGGCTAGTAAAATAAAATTTTTTAATGGAAAATGGTACATTCATCTTTATAAATGACCGGCAAAAGTGTACAAAGTTAAGTGGGTTCAAAGGACTGGTCAATCTATTGTGTACAAAATTACAATGTTATGTAGTTAGTATTTCTTTTATATAACAATCATATGCAAAGGAGTACTGAAAGCTTTCTTTAATTAGGAACTTAGTCCACTTTTTATTGTTAAAAAAAGCGCCATAAAATACATACTCCAGAAAGAGCATAACTGCAACTAAGGAGTGGCCAGTGTTGTGTGGTGCTGTTAAGTGGGCTTTTACGCTGCCTATTGGAACTGCAGTCTCTTTATCATTCAAATACACTTTGGCCCACAATATTTGCATTGAAACAGCAGACATTTAGCTGATTAGAAAAACAAATCTTTCAAGAACACCCTGATCTCATCTCAACCAATCCCGTTTCGACCCCAGGACCAATCCCCATGGACCACCCTCTGCAAATACACCACCCTCTGCAAATACACCACCTGTGCCATTGCTTTGTTCAGTCACTACTACTAACTCGACGAGTCTGTTCCCCATTTGCTGCATCTTTTAAAGTGATTTGTTCTTTTTTTTTAGTTAAAAATGAGTGGCTGTCGCGTTTTCATTGGCCACTTGAGCCCACACGCCAGAGAGAGGGACGTGGAGAAGTTTTTTAAAGGATATGGGCGAATCAGAGAAATAAATTTGAAGAACGGGTTTGGATTTGTGGTAAGTAGATTTATTGTTCAATGATTTGTTTCAACATGGTATAATTTACTATGATGCTTCTTTATTTGTAGGAGTTTGATGACTACAGAGATGCTGATGATGCTGTTTATGAGTTGAATGGAAAAGACTTGTGCAATGAGAGGTAACTACATCACTACTTAATGAATAGTGATACATATAGGCGGTGTGCCAGTGGATAATATTGATTCAAACTTTGCTGCAATTTAGAACAACTTTGAGCGTTATAAAATTTTGGTTTTGAGCATTTTCAGAACATACTATGAACATTTCAGAATGTGTTTTACCATAACAATTATCTATGTTCATATTCCACACCAGTGTCATGTATGTAACATGGACAATTCCAACAAAAAATATAATTTAGTCTTTTGACGTGTGAAGCATTATCCATAATGTTAATGTATGCTGTTATTTATTGTGATACACTAGTTAATTATTGACTACTAGTTGTACTCTGCTCCAGTCTTGTAGGGAGTGAAACCTTTAGTAAACGTTGTTTCTCATATATTGTTTCTTTTATTTTGCAGAGTAACTGTTGAACATGCTCGCTCAAAGAGAGGCGGCGGCGGTGGCGGCGGCGGAGGAGGTGGAGGAGGAGGAGGCGGCGGCGGCAGAGGCGGCCCAGGAATGGGACGTTTTGGCAGCTATGGTTACCCTTCATCTCGCAGTTCAGGATCTAGGTAAGCTCCTCATTTTCCTTAAACTGGTTGTTTTGGAAGCTGCATTTATTAAGTTGCAGGCTTTTCCTGTGTTGTAGGTATGGACCCCCTGTTCGCACAGACTACAGGTTGGTCGTGAAGAACCTCTCCACACGCATAAGCTGGCAGGTAAGAATGCATTATTATTTTGTTCTTTCCTAATATGTTTTGTTAACATACTTCCAACCTATTATTTTTAGAGTTAAGCATTTCATTTAGTAATTGGGCCATTTACTAGTCATAAATTCTTGATTATAGCTTATAACATACAAGGACTGCAGTTAGACTTCCATCTTGAGTTTTCCTGTAACTGTTGCCCTGATATGGTCTCCTATTATCAGAGGCACATCCTTTTGTGGAAGTGTGTAGTGCCCTCTGCTGGTTGTTTTTCTCAATAGTGTCCATTTGGTGCCTTTCCTCACACGCAGTTGCTGCCGGTCTAAAGTCTTGGCTGGTCTAGCGCAGGATACGGTAGCCTTAGGAGGTTCTGGGCTGGCTCGCCCCTCAAATCCACGGCCCCACTCTCTTCCATTTGGTCTAATTGTTGCTGCTGAAGCTGGGGGCGTGTGGAACTTGGGTGCACACCCCTCGCTCTGCTTGCTCTGGTGGTCCCTTACATTGGAGGCCGGATGCTGAGTCAAGGCCGTGGTCGGTTCTCAAGGGCTTTACACTGCATTGGTCCCATTTGCTATTTGGACAAGTGGCTCTATTCTTGTGTCTTCCTGGGTATGGAACGGTGAGTAACCAAAACTCATGGCTTAAACAGGGCTGGGTTTGGGTCAGGGTGTAAAAACACTTCTATCTATCCTATTTGCTTTGAAAATGGATGGACAGAAGCTGGCTTAACCATCATTGGACTGGGCTGTAAAATTACCATATGCCTGGATCATACTACAGTTGTGTTTGGCAAACTGTAGTTTTACCCATAATGGAAGTAAGATTTTTCCATTATGGGTTGGATAATTTTGGCTCTGGTCCATGGCTTCCAATATTATACTTTTTTGATACCATATTGATAGGTATGACCACTAAAATCAAATGCAATTGTAATGTTTTCCCAGTTTCACCTCCTGGATAGCTGCAAGTTAGAATTAAAAGTCTGATACTAATTTGGCTTCAGATTCTTGTTTCAATAAACACAGTATTTATTGGCACTTTTTTATTTTTAGGACCTGCACTCAAATACCACTTTTTGATGTCACATTGGTTTGCTCTGTCACCATATTTGTGACTTGCCCCTCCAGGTCTCACGGCTATCATCTAAACAAGAACAAGGCATTTAACTTAATATCTTTATCGCTACGATTACAGGATCTTAAAGACTTGATGAGAAAAGCTGGAGAAGTCACTTTTGTGGATGCTCACCGACCCATACAGAACGAAGGGTAAGAATTTATTGTATGGTATTTTCTCACGTCCTGATTTTATTTTAATTTATACTTTAATACTTGCAGAGTGGTCGAGTTTGCTTCCCGTAGTGATATGAAGAATGCCATGTCCAAACTGGATGGTACAGACTTGAATGGACGCAAAATAAAATTGTATGAGGACTCCAAGGAGTAAGTGGCTCTAATAGTTTGGTTGAAAAAAAATGCTAATAGGGTAGTGTCACTGTACTAAACACTGTTTGAATTAAATATTACTTTTTGCCCTTTAATTTGTCACAGACGATGTGTAGTGTTAGTATTTACTATACAGCATTTATAAAACTGGCAGTTTGATTTATTGCTCACATATACGCTGACAATCTTAATTGTTTTTGCTGCATGTGAACTCTGTTTATTGGGCCTCAAAATAATATATATTTTTTCCCTTTCCTCAGTCGTAGTCGCTCTCGCTCTTATTCAAGGAGCCGCTCCCGGAGCCGTGGTCGCACTCGGTCCAGATCTAGGTCCAGGGGACACTCCCGGTCCAGGTCCAGGAGCCGATCCAGGAGCCGATCCAGGAGCAGAACTCCAGAGAAGAAGAACGGATCCAGCAAATCTGCCAACAAGTCCCCTCCGAGGTCCAAGTCCAGGTCCAAATCCAGGTCTAAATCTAGATCCAAGTCCAGGTCCAAGTCTCGCTCTAAGTCAAAGTCCAGATCTCGAACCCCTGTCCCTATTCAGAAAGCACCGTCTCGCTCCAAATCCCGCTCCAAGTCTCGCTCCAAATCCCGCTCCAAGTCTCGCTCCAAGTCAAAGTCCAGGTCTCGGTCCAGATCTCGTTCAGCATCCGCAGACAGCAAACACTGAATCTACCGCGAAACAGAATCATAAGATTCAATTTCAATCTAATTTTGTTTTGATTCTGTAGAGATAAAAAAAATGCCTTCTGTGTTGTCTTTTTTTTTTTTTCGATTAACTTGCATCTTAAATATGCCCAAATGCATCTTGATTTACATTAGGTTAGATAACTGACCTTGTTCTTTGACATTTAGTTTTGTTTTTATAGCCTCTGGTGAATAAAGCAGCTGCTGAACTATCCAATATATCTTCTGTTTTGCATTGGGCTGTGCACTAACATGTGAGGATTAATTTTTAGTTTGGTGAAAAACTGATAGTGACATTCACAAAGGCATTAACAAGGTCATAGTTTGGCATAATCTTACTAATGTGCAGAAAAACGTCATCCAAATTTGATAGAATAACGTGTGTCAGGGCCTTGTCTGTTGAATGTGTGGATTTTTTTAGTTTACTGGTGTGTTAAACGTCATTCCAACCGAAAATTGCTTCTATACCTGATTTGATACCAATTAAACCATTGAAACATTTTCTTGTATGTAGCAGTGTGCTGAAGATGTTCTGTTTATTTCTTAAAAATGTTGAATGTGTACTGGCTTGCATATACATAAAAATAAACCTTTGGAAACATCTGACTTGATCTCATGCCCTCAACATTCCATGAAATACAATTCAAACGCATCACCACAAGTAATTATAACAATATGCCGTAATAATTCATCAGAGTCTCCTAAACGGGACTAACTTCATATCTGCTGAATGGAATCTACACTCAGCTTATAAATTTGCCCTGCTTATATGTGTACCCTGCTTCTAAAAAAAGTTTAAGGCTCAGAATAGCCAAAGCATTTAATTGGTAAAACGTAGGCCAAGGGACGAAAAGGGAGCCTTTACGTTATGAAAAAAGCATTTCAGTGACTTACCACAATACTGAAATCAACAAGTGGATAAATAGAAGGGACAGCCCCTCCTTTTAACCGCAATCTTTCTGCAAATCCTTCTTCAAACTGGCGCAAGTTAGTGAAGCAGTGCTCTTCGAAGTGGTTTGCACAGACAAAAACTGCCTTTGGGACATTCGTGGGTACGTTTCCTCTGTAAATAAAATCCATCCAAGAACTTCTTATAGTTTCTGTGGATGGAGGGCGGTGCAAAATGATATGCGGATCACAACAACCAAGAACCGAACACTTAGATTTATCGATCCGTACGCTCTTCATGGTGTTTAGTTGAGCTTGGACTTCACATCTGTGGCTATGGCTAGTTCCGCACAAACGGTGACGTCACACAGCCGTAAAATGACAGAAGAAACGTAATGATGTACTAGCGACTGAATCCTTTAAACCTTTTGTCATCACTGCTACTGCATGGCAACCGATTCCAAAGGCAGTGGATTTGACAATATACAAAGACACTTTAAAGACCCTTTCAAGAAGCCCCTATTGAAATAGGTCCACTTAAAGAAGTAGACCATACTTGAAAGTTTCTCCTCCCGAAGTGCAAAAATATTAATCGTTTACAGCTATATGAATAGATCCAAAGTAGTAGCCTAAAGTTGCCAGACGGGGGCAATATAGGCTCACTGTGGGGCTTTGACTAAAACCTTTTTGTTTCGTTTGTTATTTTATAGAATAATGGCTATAAAATGGATGCAGTCTTTTGTAAACGTTATACTTTGTAATAATACACTTTAAAATACATGTGTTTAACGTTTCTAGTGGTGCTCTTGTCGCTATGGAGATTACTGCATTTTCAAGATAAAAATTCCAGTTTGCTGATTTTTTTTTCTTATAGAGTAGTTGTTATAATTATATACGCGTTATTTGTTTCCTGCTAAGTTAATAAAACTAAAATATAAAATCCTGGCTCCCTATTGGCTGCCTCATTCGCGGTGTGGCATCAGTGAGCAGCTACCCTCCCCAACTGTCACAGAGCAGCGTGCACAGCCACAACAAGCCCCACGGAGAGAGCCGCCGGACTGCTGCTCTGTCTGCGGCCACCACCACTGCAGCGCGGGCATGACCTCCGACAACTACTTCAGCTTGTGAGAGACGCGGATACAACACACCGTGGTGCATTTCCCAGCTGCCAGCAGAGGTGCACCATGGCGGAGCGAAGTGGCCGGCTGAGCTTTCCGGGGAGCGGGGCGTTGAATCGTCCCGTGCCCATGAACCTGTTCGCTACGTGGGAAGTAGATGGCTCGTCCCCTAACTGCATACCGAGGTGAGATGTTACTCTTGGACTTCACTTTGATTTGTTTTTGCATTAGACCGGTGAACGTAGAGCGGTCATAGCGGTACAGCGGTGCACACCCAGGACAGCGGAGTTTGTCCCGGTGCCAACGGGATGATGCCAGGGCCTGTCTGCAGGAGAGAGGCTGGCACAGAGCTGTATGATGCAAGCCTGTGGACATGGGTTAGGATACATACAAACAATGTGGCCAATGGTTTGGAGTCTGCTTGCAAATGGGATGTGTTTAAGAGTTGCATATTATGGATGAACTTGTCTTTTATGGGGTCGACACTAGGCAAGCGCAGTTCTATTCACCATGTAGCGACTGATCGTGTTGTTGAAAAATTATTATTTTTAGTTAAATAATTGTAATGTATGTAACTGGCAGATATATTCTAGACAACAAAGTCTGTGTCAATGAAAAATTGTTATGACATTCAGATAAAGCACATTAAAAGTTACTGCAGAGTTATACAGTCCCCCATGTTACATAGGGCACTTTTACATAGTGGTTTTTGTTTGTTACTCAATTATTACACGGAACAGAAACAAACGCTATTGAAATCCATGCATACAGTACCTATTTATTTGACACATCATGTGGTCATTTTGGTGGTCTACTTGTCATCTCCTGGTTTGAGAAACCTAAATGGTCTCATAGAGACACACTATGGTTAATGCCGTGCTAATTCCCATAATCACAGAGTCAGCTGTCAGAGCTTTAACCCACTTTATACCACCATTCCGGGCTGTACCAGGGGGAGAAAGAGCGCCAATGACCCCGCTGTCCGCTGAAGATTAGGCCCTTTCAACAAAACTGTGCTGAGAATAAAGTCTATTACCAACTTGGAGTTATAAAGTTTATCTGATATGACTAACTAAAGCAATGAATTATTAATTGGATTGGCATAAGTGTGTCAGTGGAGCATTCATATCAACTGGGTACCGGCTGACTGATACTTAATTGTTTTTTTTTTTAACCTTCTCTAGTTCTGCATGCGCTTCTTGGAGCCTCTGTCGTTTAGCCCAATGTGGGTGTAAACAAGGCAGTGAAGATGATTCAGTTTTGGGGGTGATTCAAAACCCAAATATTGTATATTTGAAACTCGAACCTCTAATAATGTATACATTACATACAAACAATGTGAACATTGAGTAATATTTTGACGTCCTTAAGTCCTTCTTTAATTTATCTGGTCTTCACTGACTTTCATTTCAATTGATCTCTTTTGTCTTAGTGCATACAGATTTTTTATGTGTTGCAACCTAAAAACAAAAAAATAAATAAACCTTTAAAATAAAATCTTAATTTCCAATTAGATTTGGTCACATACTTACATTAAAATAACAAAAGAGAATAACTGTTATGACACAAAATATTGCCAAATTTAATTGACTATGAATAATACACAATAATACACAATACTCAATTTTTTCTATTCATAATAAGTGACCTCTTGCGATATACCAAACTTGTGTTTACCATCTTTTAGTTTTTGGCATAGCTCAATTCTTACCATCATCCTCAAATCTTTTATTACACTGAAGTCAAATAAAGGTTAAAGGCATAAAGGTTGCTAACACTGCAGCTTGTAGTCAACACACAATTTATAATGAAATCAAAGCTGCAGAATTGCTTCATGAATACCACTCTTTACAAATAACTATTTATGTTATTTAGGTAAATAATGTGGGTATGTTCTATTTTTTCTTCAGCATAGAGTGTTTTAGACATCTCTCACAAATGTGGAGGGTTGAAAAGTTCACAGTCTGACGTAACTGCCCTTGTGAACATAATAAGGTCATCTATGTGTTATAGCTCTATCTTCAGTACAATCCCTCTTTTTTCTTTGAGCCTAGAAACAGGAGATCTGAGAAGACGACCTTGTCCCCTCTCCGCAATTACATGTGTCTCTCCAATATGCTGAGTCAATGTGTGATCCATAAACCAGATCTCTGAGGCATTCTAGTTTTGATGGCGGAAAAATGTAGAAATTCAAGGCTCGGTCAATGTTCCTCTAATTTCTGAAATTGAAATCTGAGCAACATGAACATCTGTATCTACGCTAAAATATTATGCAATACAGTGCAAAAAACAGGTGTGTGTGAATGTGAATGGTTGGTGGAGGTCAGAGAGGCTGATTGCACATACTGGTTGCCTCCCTTCTGTCAATGTGCCCCAGGGCAGCTGTGGCTACATCTATCCATCCACCTTCTTCCCTTTAATCAATCTCTGGGACACGGGGTGGCAGTCAGAACTTCAGCCAATTCACAGAGCACCAGCCCCTCACTGATTCTCCTGCAGGTGGTGGGTCTACAGGAGTATGGCTTCTCTATCCGTGAGAACGTAGCTTGATCTTTCAGCGTGGGGTTCAGGCAAAGTGTTTTCCCCAATGACGCAACAGCAGCAGACATCAGTGGGAGTTGGTGGAGAAGGTCTCGTGGTGGGTCCGAACCCACAACAGGTTTAAAGCAATGCTCTACCAACTGAGCCACTGTCGGCCCACTGTCCACCGTGTATGGAGTGAAAGAATAATGTAATGTGAAGCAACTTTGAGTGTCCTGAAAAGCGCTATATAAAACCATGAATTGCTGTTTCTAACACTTTTTAATGTGATAAATTGTATGCATGATGTGTACAGTTTTTTCATATCCAAATTTAAAATATGACCTTTTGAAAAATAACCCAATATCCATTGAAAATACATTTTTTGAAAACTCCTGTTTATTGTTGTTTGTACTTTTCATAGTATTTGTTCTCTTGGGCATACTCCGGTAGTGCAGCTCTGATTGGGCTTTAGAATGCAGTGCTCTTTCTCAACTGACCGCTGTCTGTCAGGGTTTGGACAAGCAAAGGTGCATCACAGACTGCAGTTATCAGCCGCTCACTCTCAAGGCAAAGCTCAAGCTTTTCTTTGCAGCTTGTCAAGTGCAGTTTCAGTGATTTGGAAAACCTTTAGGCCTCTGTGTTCTGTCAATATAATGTAATATGACATTATTTGTTTCATAAGCTGACAACAGGGGGCTTATGTTTCATACATTTAAGTAGTCGGCACTGAGTGATTTTCCAACCTCTGTAATTGTAAACAGAAGTTGACAGTTTTTGCACTGAAACTTGATTTTGAGGTCAAAGTTGTCTTAATTACAGAACCTTGGAATTACCATAATTGTGTTGACTTTGTTGCACGTTTCAGCTAAGAAATCAATGATAGAAACATTGTATATTGATTTCTCAAATTTCGCATTTGTACATTACTTTCATGTTCAGGGACCTTTTTTCTGCCACATTTGGTGAAATTCTAAAAACATTCTCCAGGGCTACATTCATAGCCTCTGTTAGAATTTTAATTTAGCAGATGCACTGCCTCACTCTTTCTGTATGTTATCCCAGTGTCTGCAGGTGTGCTTTGAGTCCCTAAAGCCCACATCTATTAAAGCAGCAATGGAAAAAAGCAGTGCCTGATCGGTCAGTCAGGGACACGTGCAGCTCCACTCACCATCACACTGACTCTTAATTATCACTTTATTATTCGACAGGTGAGCCATAAGGATTACTAATGGAGAGGGGACCACAGGGTTAAGTGCCTCCACTCTGCAAATGTAGATAAGACTATTCTGTGTGCTGCTATTAGAAACTACCACATATGTTTGAAATATCTATAAAGGTCTAAAGCATTATAGCAATGTACTTTTATATTCTGTAAAAAATTGACTGAAAAAAGTTAGAGGTAAACCAATATGGGTGCCACTGCAGCTATACCAATGGCCAGTCAAACGTATTCTTTTCTTCTGTTTTAATGGCATGCCAGGAGAATTTGATTCATCAAATAAATGTGGTTTGAAAAGCTATAGCTAGGTTTAGGACATTTTGAGGCTATTACGTAATGCCCTGATAAATATTTAACAAACTGGAGGTACATCCTTACTTTTATTGAAAATGGGTTTGGATATTCTTTTTTGACCTTGACAGATGACATTTTAGATGAATTACTAATTAGAATTGATTACTAATTGCATTTTAGGTTCAATGTTTAGAATTACGGAATGAGGTATAACATGGTTGTTGGTCGTAATGTAAGAGCTTACAGCATAATGCGGTAGTATGGTACCGCATGGTCCAATGACATGGAGAGATAATGTTATACCGTTAGGTGGTGGTTGGAGAAGGAGGGCTCCGGCATGTACTGAAAGCTTTGAACGTGCAGTAAAGCACTGTGTAAAAGTCGGCTGACTGGCAGAACACTGTTGGTAGAAGGATGACTGGAGTGAAGGTGAAAAGAGCCCACTGGAAAAGCCTAGGATACCAGTAGTCTAAACTTTTGGTTAAGATCTGTTATAACTGCAATACTATATATTGTTGGTTGTCTATTCAAAACTTTAGTCTGTTTTAAAATGGCTTGCAGTACCAGTGTCCTTCTACCAATACAACACATGGCACAGTTGCAGATAGACTAGGAGAACTTAATTAACTTAACTTATTCAAATATAACTGTTCTAAACTATGCTTTTGGTAAAAGATGGTATTTCTTGAAGTGGGCACCAGGGCTTAGGGCCTGATACAGAGCAGTGATTGATGGGTCTCTGGAGTGCCAGCCGGTCCCAGTAGGCTGGTCATATTTGGGTCCGTTGGAGGCGAGAGTGCTGAGACGAGGCTTTGAACCGGCTTGGGACACTTGCTCTTTTGTCCTCTAGCTGCTGGGATGTTCACACTGCGAGAATTTAGAGTAGGATGATCGGGAGGACAGTCAAAGCACTGCATTGTCTTATGTTCCTTATGCAAATTGTTTTTCCTTGTTTGCTCTGTTCAGTTTGAAGATTCTTGACCAAATGACCTCCAGTGTTGGCTTGTTTTTGAAGACATCACTCATAATATCGACCATAAATGACAAAAGTGTATGATGTAACTAACTATTTTCAGGCCAAAGCGTATCCTGAGGGTCTGCTGGGGAAATTTTGTGAAACGCTCTGAGTCGGTTCTTCAACTCGTTGGCCAGCTTTCAAGGGAGCAGAGAAAATCAGAGTGGACTATGTTCCCCAATTCTATTGCCGACGTAGGAGCTTGGCTTCAAATCTTTTGGGCATATTTCGTAGAGTTAGCTTGGTGGAGTGAAACTTGGAATTCTGTATTTTCTTGTATCTGCCTTTTCTGAGCAAAAAAACCCCCAAAAATGCTCCAATGGA